AAATCAGATAGAGTTACAAATTGGAAATAATACGAGAGATACTTTCTAACTGTTTTTTTATTCTATTTACCTGTTTTCCATCATTGTCGAATGTGAAAATAACACTTGTTTTGACATTTGTTACGAAACTTTCAAAAGAATGTTAAACAGATTTTAAGAGACTACATTTTTGTAGGAGAAAAAAAAATCAAAAGAGTTAGGTTATGCTTCACTGAGCTCGTTCACGTCGATTTGAAGTATAATTCTTTCAAAAACTTCAAATTACTTGGTGCTTTAATCAAGATATCGCGAGAGTCTGTACTTTCGAATCTCTACATTACCGACCTTTAATATGACTTGCAATGAAGATCTTTAAAATTTGAATCATCGATATGATACAACTCAATAAATTTTATAAATAAAATAACTTTAAAAAATAAAATAACTTTAATTTTCAATCAACTGATCGTCTTAGAAAACAAAAATCGGACAAATTAAATAATTAATCTAAAACACACGTTAGAGATATTTTGTTATCAAGTGATTTCTTTGTAGTTGCAACATGTCAAATAATACCTAATTTGTCTCACAATTCACCTTTGAATGGCTTATCGTACATTTTATTAATTTGCCATGCTGACAGCTACCAAGATATTTCAAGTTACTGAATTTTTTACTATGAACAAAGTAAATCTTCATATTTCTACTTTTGAAATCACACTTAAAGCCTAGAACTAAAAACGTGCAAATTTTGAAGAAAAAAAAAGTTGAATAATTTGTTTTTATAAACTATTTGTTTCAAGGAATACAATCATTCGTGTAAGAGAAAATATTTTACCATACAATAATACAATGCATTCCCACTATAATTAAGTCAATGGCATCAAGAGAGGAAAGATAAACCACGATTTAATTGAATAATCACGATCAGATATTATGCTTATTTCTCCGTCTACTACTAACTTGGAGATTTAATGCGTTACAGAAACCAATATTATTATGCGTTACTAATATTACGAGATTCATGATGTGTTAGTGCTACATACAAAATACATAATGTATAAATAGCCAGAATATTGAAATTTCGAAGTTTAAATCTGAATTCCACATCGAAAATTAACTTTAATACATTTTGCTTGCATATAATTAAAATTTTGCATTGAATCTCGCGCGCTTAAACGCAAATAACTGTAATTACAAAGTTTTAGGAAACGATTTGAAACTTATTAATGTAAACTTAAGGTAGATTAATTATCTCGACCACGCGTAAACAATCTCACTCTGATAAGATTGCAATACCAAAGGCTTTTTTAATAAAAAGAATACTTTTAGTTAAAAATTTCTCTGAATTTTAGCACGACGTTGTACTGAGTACTTGTAATAGAATAAACTATAAATTTAATGAAAAATTATTAAAATATAATCTCATTCACTCACGTTTATTTCTTTATTCACCCACAAAATGTATTTGTAAAAATGTAAGCACATTGAGTATCTTTAATGTAATTGACAGATTAAAATGTTTATATTTTGTTACGTTATAATTTTAAGCCAAGAAAAAGTTCGAAAATCCAATAAAGAGATATATTTTTTTTCCAGTAAACCAGGACCTTTTGTAAGCTTTTGTACCATTTCCGGATAGAGGGTTCACGCAAGACTCGGCGTTGTATACGCGCCACCACCACCGCTGTCACTACCAGGAAATCAATAGCGCACAAAAGCGTGTATGCGCAATATACTCAAGGTGCACACTATGGTCAATAATTTTGCAAATAATATGGTAATACTTTCGGCATGAGAAACGGCAGGGACGTGTAAGATGACACTTTTTTTTAATATATCGTAACCGATAAATAACTGATTATTATTTGTAAAAATGCAATCGAGAGGCTCGAGTTTCATCAATTAGACTTGAGTAACACACATATGGAACGATAAAATTTACTCGAAACTGAATAATATATTATCAATGTCTATTTTCAAGCGCTTATTCGATGTACAATTATTTTATCTTGTTCATGTGGTAGCTGTATTTCCCGGTAACAAAAAAGGTTTTTCAGTGGCAACCGCAGATAAGAAATTAATTGCAATCGTCAAATTTACATCATTATTTTATCATTTAATCGTGTTTTTTTTCGTAAAACACACAGACAACGAATAACATGTAATTATTTATATAAATTCACGCGTAGTTTTTCTAAGGAGTATGGATTTTGATGCGATAATGTAGTGCTCGAAAGCTGATTAATGAAAAGTCGAGTGATTCGATAATCGCTGGTATAATAGTATAGTGAACTTCAGGAATCCGGATATAGCTGATGTCATGAGCCATTCGGGTCACAATTTGCTAATTTTGCATATGGCAATAAATTTAATACTAGATAAGGGCGATTAACGACTTCATACTCGCATATTTGCAACCCTCTTTACATTTGAATCATAAACTGACCCTTGTATGAAGTTCACAACTTCACGCACCCATTTCGAAACTTACCATTTTATCTGATCTACATTTAATACAAGTTATTCATGATTGAAATTTTCTGATATTTTATAAGCAAGTTAATTTGAAAGTATTCAAGGTGGAATAGTTAATTTGTCAAATATTATAATGTTGTTATAAAAGTTTAAATTAAAGGAAGAGTCTTGAAACATAAATAATAAGTGGTAACTAAAGTTAATTTGGAAAGTAATTTGGTTCGTGATAATTGATCGAATGCACAAGAACTAACTTTGAACGAGTGAACTCTTGTAAAAATGGTAAAATTTGAAAATTCTTATCAGTTGATCCAGCTGATACGCATTCACTTTTAGAGCAAGACATCATACGTAAACACGTAACTGTACCCTGCAATATTATACAGCCTTTCCCTTTCTTTCTCCTCGAACGGTATGCCATGTATCTATAGAGATTGACTTTCACCTTTCAAAAAGTCCTTTAGTTATACCTCGATAAAAAAAAAAGTAAATTACATCAAACTCCAAAGTTTAATATTTAATCTATTTATAATTTGCACGGCTGATTTCGCACACAGTAACGCACGTTTCTTGATAAAATAAATATAAGTCTATAGATAAAGAGTAATTTTTGTTTCGCCAGATGAGAATTAATTTTATATAGGCGTCCACACGACCTAAATTGTAAATTCGTTCTTCTTTGACGTAAGAGAAACCTCGTGAATAAAAAAGAAAAGACAGACATACGCAAGTAAGCAAACTTTCAAAGTTGACTGACATCTGTGGTTTGTTAAACGTATCTTAACATTCTCACTTCTTTTATATCGAAAAATGGCCGATGAAAATAAGAAGTATTTAAAAAATGCACTCGACTTCGGAAATGAAAACAAAAATTTACAATTTAGTTTTCGATTACTCTCAAATAGCCTTGACAATCTTTTTTTCAATTGATCTCAATTTCTTGACGGCGGTTCGGGATGGATATTATACGAAGTACGCCAGTGCGATTCAATCATGTACAAAAAATTAAGTTCCGACTTAAAAAGTCACATTCAACCATGTACAAAAAATTAAGTCCCGACTTAAAAAGTCACATTCAACCATATACAAAAAATTAAGTCCCGACTTAAAAAGTCACATTCAACCATATACAAAAAATTAAGTCCCGTCTTAAAAAGTCACATTCAACCATGTACAAAAAATTAAGTCCCGACTTAAAAAGTCACATTCAACCATATACAAAAAATTAAGTCCCGACTTAAAAAGTCACTTGGCGAAAAATATGAGAATATTTTTACTGATTCGAATTTTATTTATCGACTAATGTGCAGAAATGGCGCACCAACCAGATTTTCAAAGCACATCGGTTATCTGGCGTAGGCTCTACGTTTTAATATTATTGTGTGGTTCCCAGTAATTGTATTGTACTACTTTTTCTGCAATGGTATATCCTTGATGATCAATGCGTAACGCACGTTCCTGGACGGGCCTTCGATCATCAAGTTTCTCATTTGCGTGACCTTGTCTTTCTTAACTTACTATTCATACATATGTATGAATGCACCTGCAGAAGGTATGATCGATAATGGATAGATTTTTTGCTTTAGACATCCTACGAACTGATAAATTGTGGAATCGTTGATGATTCGTTGATGGCTTACTATTTTAGAATTTTTTTTCAACTATTTCCATATGTAGATATGAAATTTTTTATTATGGCGAAAAGTTGTAATTAAATCCTCTAGGGTTACGATAAAAATTGGACTATTATGGAGTAAAGGGTGGAGGAGGAGGATGACAAAATTTTGTTTTTAAGAAACCACAGACTTTTAATAAAACTTTTTTCTTGAGCTTTAGTGTGTTGAGTCCTATTAGTTCTGAACTTTACGGAGTCGTAATAGCTCCGAATTTGACAGATTCGCGCAATTACTCCGAATCGAAAAAAAAGATGGCTCCGTTTTTTCGGAGTCTCGTTTGCTCTGTCTAAGTCGGAGTCGAGATTGCTCCGAATTAGACAGAGTCGCGCGATAACTCCAATTTTTAAAAAATATCGATTGCTCCGTTTTTGACGGAGTCTCAATTGTTAAATATATTTCGTAGTCGAGATTGCTCCGAGTTAAACAGAGTCGCGCGATTACTCCAACTTTTAAAAAATATCGATTGCTCCGCCTTTTACGGTGTCTCATTTGCTCTGTCTAATTCGGAGTCGAGATTGCTCCGAAATCTCGAATCGACGACTTCGAATTCCAAGTCTTCAGTAGTATAGTGGTCAGTATCCCCGCCTGTCACGCGGGAGACCGGGGTTCGATTCCCCGCTGGAGAGAATTTTTTGTTTTTAGAGTCTAATTCGGAAAATTAACCTGCTCTACCAATGCTAACGAGAAAAATTTTTTCCGAAAATTTCCGGAGAAAATTTGGAAAAATGTAAATAACAAAGGTAACTTGATCGATTCAAGTTCGGTTAAATTTAAATCTGAACGGGTGCATTGTGTTTATCTATTACTGTTAGAGTGTAGGGATAATGTGATGTAGGTTAATTAAAGTACTAGGTAAAATTAACTTACGTGGACTTGTTAGAGACTTTGTAAATATGATTCCGGTCGTCATAGTAGCCGCTGGAAGACTTCATATTCTCCTGAGCCACTACAACCTGACTCCACTTGTAATAGTACTCTCGTTTTTTGCTTGATTTATGTCTAGTGCTAGCAATTCGATTTTTATCTGTTTTAACCTAGCCCCAATTCGGCTGCTGGGCACGCTGCGAGCCTTGAATCTCGATATTGTGTTGTCATCACTCGGAACAAGACCGTTACACAATAAGCATTTTCCAACTTAGTCCAAAACCTGCAAGCAAAAAATAAATTATGAATAAAACTTTGCAAATAGATACTGTATGTATAAAGTTACGGAAAATCATATCAATATTTAGTGAAAAAACTGAAGGAAAAAGTTCGGCCAAGTAATCAATTCAGTTTTGTTGAATGAATTAATAAACTGGCTATATTCTTTGCAATCTACAGCACCGCTTTAAGTAGGTAGCAATTAAATAATATTTCTATCTGTCCGTGAATTCAAGTCCAGTTATTGAGATATACTCAAAGATACTGATTATGGAAACTTTAACTGATAAAAGTTGAAAGAACTATTGTTTGGAAATAAACTACTGTAAAAATGATTGAGCTATTAACAAGTCTTATTGTAACGCTTTGTTGATGTTGTCGTAATGAGCATTTGTTTTTCATCATATCTTACACGTGCAAAATAGCAATCATGCATTTTTCAATAGAAATGACGAAATATCAAGTCATATCAAATCACGAAATGTTTTCCATCAGAAATAAACAATGATAATTTTTCGTACACCAAATAATCATTCTAACCATGGGTAATCATTGTGAAAATTTAAATGTTACTTATGCATTCATTTTCATTGATTTTCATTCAATTTTTTTAATACTATAATTACTTCAAGTTCAAAAGAATCAATTATTAAGTTGAATGAAAACATCACTTCCACAGAACCCCAAATCAAATACACACTTGTGCAACAATAATCAACAAATGTTCAGGAAAAAGTTTGGTAACAGCTACCTCATTCTTACTCAAAATGGGTCGCAATCAGTTCATAGAAAATTTTCAACTCGCGAAATAATTATTAAAAATGCGGAAGCCGATCGTTTTCGCGTTTAAATTTAAGAAGTGTTAAGGTGGACTCGAACACTGCGCTCTTATGTCCTAAAAACGTACACGTCATCGCGCTAAAAAATAGACGAGGAAGAAGAAGAAAAAAAAAGTAGCAACTCGCTCGGCACCGAGCGTGCGCGCGCGGCCGGCAACTGGAAAATGCTGTACCGTAAGTCGTTCCACTTTATACACAGCAAAAGAAAACGCTCCGGAATCCATTCGCTTGTGTGTTCATATATGTATAAAGAGAGAGAGAGAGAGAGAAGCGAATGTTGCGATGCGCACTCAGTATGCGGGAATGCAACAAACCAATAAAAATTGTCTTCCTCGGGCAGACGCGCACTCGACCATTCACTAATTCATTTGATCGACATTGTATAAAAAAAAGGCAAAGATTCCGCCTTAATATAAACAATGATTTCGTTCTTCGAGAATCCGAAATTTTTTACTCGATTAAAATTAGGATTTCGAATAGTTTGAATCTATTAGCGTAGAGTCGAGTGAATGTTTTAATGAAATTTTTACAATACTCGAGTCAAAGAGAGAATAAACATTGAGTACAATCGGGCTTGATGATTCGTTTGTTTATTTACGCGTTACAACATTTTACGTAATTGTTATAAAATATTAGAACCATAAGTCAGCCAAACGCAATGAGACGTTTGGTTTTTCTTCGCAATATGGTACATTTCTTTTGTTGATTCGTCCTCAAAATGAGTTTAGGCTCATTATATAACGTTCATAAAATGCAAGCAGCGATTTACATCGGGTATATATAACTATTGCAGCAGCCATGTATACGAGAGAAACAAGAGAGAAAGAGAAAGAGAGATAGGTATGCAGTACTCGCGCATGGCGCGGGGATTTCATGAGTAAAAGAGAGAGCTCAGCGCGCGAAATACGAAGGTCGTCTCGAGCATGCACACAGCAACACGCACGTACTCCTTACGTACACACACACACACACACACACACACACACATGCACACCGCGATATACAGTACACGGCACTGGTCGACAATGATGGCGTTACTCTCTTAGACGTAGCTCGCTTTTAAGATCTGCCATAAGACCTATGGGTATGTGTGTCTGCTTTACGCCTGATTTGGAACAACCATATGCAACGTATATACAGCGACTCCCGTGTGTTTCTTCATAGGATTGTATTCAAAAGTTGTTCAGTCGTGCAAAAGTGAAAATTACACTTGCGCTCTGTGACGATTCGATTTGTGTTATTAGCAAGATCGATTTTGAAACGGTTAAGAAAGCAGTTTCATGACTAAGGACATTCGGGATAACATTAAATTTCTGGAGTCATGTTAAATTGATTTAACAACAATGCCATGTACCCTGTAAACCAATGTACCGAGTAATGTTCAAAATTTGCTCGATGATAAGCGCGCCATTAACATCGCACCAAAGTAAATCCTTGACATGCTTAGCATATTATCATTTATTCCCTTGAATCGTACGTACTCGTCATTATGTAAATTAAAAAAAAAATACAACAGCTGTTTCGTGTTTGTATGATCGTTCGCTGCAATTGATAATTTTTATGAAAAATCTCTAATTTGTTTTACCCCGTATAACGTCCAATGCAAACCCTATTAGTCTTTCATGTCAAGATTTTTATGAATGGGAAACGAATAAATAACCGCGCTCAACGTTCGTTCTATACTCGAAGTTTTCGAAAAACATTAGTTTAATTATTTACAAACGATAGTAATTGCGCATGGTATCCCGACACGAGAGTTCTCGGTACCCATTCGTCTTTTTGTTTACTTAAAAATTTTCAAAACATTTAGCGACGTATTAGCTCTCGTTTTTTAAGATGTTAAATACGTAAACAAACGGCAAAAGTTTGCCTCGCATTCGAGACGTGGTTTGAAAAACTCAATTAAATCGGGGCCTCGTGTTTTCATATTTTAAATAATTAAAAGCACGTACTTCCGTATTACACGCTATTCGCGATATACAACAAAAGTTACGCCGCGAGTCTACATACAATGGAGAAACGAACGACTGATTTAACCGTCAACAAGTTAGCAATATGTGTGCATCGATGTTACGGATGATGAAAGCTTTCCGGTCGTTGTCCAGTACACGGTCTTAGCTTTTCTTTATATTTACTCGTTATAATATATTAATGTCACGAAGACAAAAATCAAAATCAATGTAGTCTCGACTCATTGAAAAACCCCACCGAAAAGCGTATACATTTTCACGTATTCGATATAACTTCGAGAAAATCGAGCGCGATATGATTCTCTCGAACTAAGTTCAAACAAAGCATGTAAAGGTCGCCGTTTACAAGCGCACATAATGCGCACAAAAAAACGAGCGCAACCGTATACTCCAGCGATGGCGGCGTCCCATTTAAATTCGCGCCTGCCGAGAGAGGCACGTATACACGTATAAAAGACATATAACTACATGGCCAGTCAGTCAGAGAGCCGTGCAGGCAGTATATACGTATAGAGGCTCGGTGTACAGGCTCTCGGGGCTTTTTCAAAGTGTTCGCGAGGTTGTGTGTGTGTGTGTGTGTGTGTGTGTGTGCGTGTATAAGTGTATATGTGACGCAACGCCCCTCGATTTCTTTTGCCAATGCGTATACATACACACACATTTATATATTCATGCTACACACACGTATATAATCTCCGTGTGCACCAGGGCACGCCGCAAGTTAGAGACCAAGACGCACATACGACCGACAATTGAAATATATAATCGCGAGCAAAACGATTCGAGCTCGAAAAAGCGGAGTATAAGCCCCATGACGTGATTATTTTCGCGATTCGATAGGGTCAAAAATCCGAAAAAGAATTAGTGCTTTATCAGGAGAGTGACAAAACTTTCACTTTACTTTTACGCCGGCGTTGCCGCTGCTGCTGCTGCTGAACGTATAAGAAGCATAAGCGCAGGTACACGAGAGCTCGAGCGCCGAGCAAATTTTCCATTTGTATATATTCGATTAATAACTACGCACATGCACATATGCGCGCGAGTATATTATACACATTAAATGTACGTGCGTCAGTGTGTGCCCGCGCGCGCGACGTCAGTCCGCGCTGAATTATAGCCATATTTACTTGTTTTCAATGATAAAATCTAATTAAACTTGAAAATTTTTGTTTACATATGATTATTTACAATGAGTTATTTTGACGCGCGGGTCACGAAGCTGACCTTCGCACAAGATCGACAACCTTCCACGCGCGGTTATGAAATGCACAATTTAATTACCTCATCGTCGAGAAAGAAAGAAAGACGACAGGCCGACTGCGCGCGACCAACTCTCAATAGTTTTGTGTGTGTGTGTGTACATTATATACCTCTGTGCAAGTCGTAGTCGTCGTCGTCGTTGTCGCAGAAAAGAAAAAGTTTTTTAAATGCCTCGTTAATTTGGAGTCGCAAGAGCATTACACGAATACGGTTATGGCGTCTCTCGTTTTATAATGAATATAAAACGATCCTTATACCCAAAAATTTCTATCACGAAATATATATACGCTGTACTTTAAAACTTAAAGAGCCAGTAGACCTTGTGACGTAACTTTCTACTACTACTACTACTACTACATCTGTAGAATATTTCCCGTTATGCGATGATAATTTCCGGCAATTACAGGTATGTCAGATATTTCACGATATCGACGGCGCAGAGAGAGAGAGAGAAGTTCTATATAGAGTCTTGATACAGTCAAAGACCAGCAAGAGAAGATATTTCCAAAATTTTTATGCATAATTGATAATTGATCATTACGGATTTGAAGAATGCTACCGAGTTTTAAAACAATCCATCATTCGTCTCTCATTGTGACGAAAGTAATTTAAGATCGTCGCGTGTCGTCTCACGTTTCAAATGATTCGTCTAATTACGATTATGGAAGTTTCCGAACTTCAATATTAAAGGCACGAAAATACATTTCGAAACTTCTTTTGTTTTTGTTTTATCGATAGGCGCGGCATTTAATGTCTCGTGTGTAGATTTAATTGCTATCTATGACACGCAACGATTACCAGAGCTCGTATTTGTACACGAATAGTTCCCATTTTACTTATTAAATGGACACTTGTCAACTTGAATTGATTTTCCGAGATTCCGAAGAAAAGCAATGAATCAAAAGAATCGAGTTACGGACCACATGTGTCCAAAGGCGCCCGTTTGACGGATGATGATGCAGCGACACCAGTCGAGTTAAAAACTTGCGGTTTTCCGGTTGTTCCGAATAATAATTCCCACTAAACGAGAGGCGTAACATAATACGACACACGCGACGCATACTATGTGTGAATGTATTTTTCTTCGATTCTTATCGATAGCTCTGCGAGTATATAATGTAGCAGAAGCAGCAGTTTAATCGCGAAGCCGCGTTTCCCCGAATTTCCAAGACACACGAACGACGACGTCGATCACCCAATATTCAATGCCAAGAAACGCTAACTAGCATCCGAGGTTCGTTCGGAAAACAATTCGAAGCCAGTGTACGTGTAAGGTAGGTATAATATGCACGTACATTTTCAGAATCCACGTAAATGCGCGTATATATACACATTCGAGGAGAACTGAATCATGTATATATAAATGCCGATATATCCTGCCTGCATATACAGCAGTGCACATACGCACGTGCGCGCAGCTGCACTCTCGCATACACTATACATATATAATATACGCGAACTGCGCGCGATGATGTTGTGTACGTGTATTTGCGCACGCTCACTCACACATATGTATATATGGACAGATTAACGTCAACATGCAGGCAGCAGAGCTCAGTCAGCAGAGAGATATTATACACGATACGCGTGTATAAGTGTGTGTATATAAACACATGCTACACCGAAGCCGCTGGTGCTGCTGCTGCTGCTGCTGCTGCACAGGCTATATGCCTCCCGGACGGGCATAGAGAGTAAGTAGAAGTCGGAGCTGCTGCCCGAGACACTTTGTGCGCTGTGCGCACATTGCATACGGCTCTCCTCCTCGTCGTCGATGAATACATTTTATAAGAGCGTTTGTACATATAGGTGTGCATGTACGCGCGCGACCTCGCCAAAAAACCTGTATTACGAACTTATAGACGTATAAGCATATGTGCCGTTCTTCGGTCGGACCCTCGCACGGTTTTTTCCTTTTTTATTGCTCGCGTGTGTTGCACCGAGCGCGCCTTCGTCACCAATATCGGGGCACAAAAATGATTTCATTCAATCGTACCGCGCGCGTCCCGATTTTTACGAAATGTTTAATGATAAAGCCGAAAATGAGTCGCGCGGTCAGCGGCATATACAAGTACATTGCATAATAATTATAAATATCAGATGCTCGTGTGAGAAAATTTAGGGTTGTATCGGCGCGCCGATCGAGGGAAGCTAGCTAGCTATAGCTGCTTGCTGCTGCTGCTGAGAGCCCGATGGGGAGCGAGCGAGACGACGCTGAAGGCATCGGTCGTTCTCCCCTCGCGCGACAATACGTACGGTTATAACTGAGAGCCTGCCTTATAGCCTGCCTGCCTGCCTGCCTGCCTGTGCACTGACACAAAGTATAAAAAAATGTAATACCTATACGCGTAGCAAAACAATAAGTCTCGTTCGTCGTCGCACGATCGTGTGTATGTGCGTGCGAGAGGCAATTTCAATATAATGTATGCGCTGCTACTCGGGTTGTTCGGGGCCTCAAGTATACGGCGATTCATTTGCAATGACTCGTTTCTATATATATTATATTATTATACATACACACGTTGTGTTGTTGGCCATTGCACATTGCTCGAGAGCTGCCTGCCTGCGTGCACCTTATATATAACAAGCGATAGGCACGCTCAAACACAAACACACACACACATTTACACACACTTGGACGTAAGAGAGACGACGCCAAGTTTCCCAGAAGTGGCGGGAAAATCGAACGCGCTCGCGATTCTACTGATGCGTGACTGCAGCAGCAGCAGTACTGCGGCGGCGATGCAACGTGCTGCAGTTTCAGTTTACATGTAGTTCACGGAGAGAGAGAGAGAGAGAGAGACAGGCAGAAAAAACTGTACGTGTGTGTAAACACACACACAAATACCAGACGTTAAAGGTACACAAGGTAATCTCGGCTCGCTCGCGCGCGCGCGCGCGCGATGACAAACGTCGAAGAGGGGCCTATAAGGCAACACACAACACAACGCACAACATAATACCTACATAAAATGCAGCAGAGGCGGACACACGCACGCACGCGAGAGGCACACATACTTACGGCGCAGCAAAACTGGAGACACAAGGAAGCTAAAGATCGAAAGGAGGTTAACCTATAATATGCCGGCGCGGTGTTGTTGCTGCTGCTGCTGCTGCCTCTCTCTCTCTCTCTCTCTCTCTCTCTCTCTCTCTCTGTCTTTCTTTCTTGCATGCGCGCGTCCGAGACTGCACGAATGTATGTTTGCCGTAATATACGTGCACACACGCGCGTATAAAACTTCGGTGTGTAGTCATGCGTAAGTTACTTTTGCGTATGTACGTTCGTGTGTGTCTGTGCGTGTCAGTGTGTGTGTGTGCAGGCGCGCGTAATGCGGCGAAAGGACAGGACATGGTGCAACTGCACGTATACACGCATACACACGGTCGCGCGCACATACACGTACATACGCAAAACAACAAATATTTTGACAGCGCTCTCGCGGTCGCGCGACGACGCGTATTGCTAAACACGCTTTTCTTGCCTGTCAATGACAGACGGAAGGAGAAAGAGGAGGCTCTCTTTGCCGCGGCAGAAGCAGAAATCGCGGCGGCAGCGTATTTAACGAGCGAGGAAAATATCTGAACTTTGACACACGCGGCATATAGGGAAAGCCGCGCGGAAGAGGTCTCTGTTTACGTTTCGGTTATTCCGCTCTCTCGCGTCTCGTGCCTTGTGTGCGTTATATATATAGGATATAGGCTCGCGTTCCTCGACTCCTCTCTCGGATATATGCCTCTCTTTATATGTATTATAGTCTCCTCGCACGCACACACGAGCGAATTTTCTACTCTACCACTACGTTATCATATGGCAGCGGGCCCGCCGTTGTATTTTTGTTTACATAACCGCCTCGCTTTACAAGCGCACGCTAACATTATGGACAATTATTTATTATATATTATAAAATGTGTATCGCACACACCAAGACTTGCCGTATCGCCACACCGAGGTTGTGTGTGTGTGCCGCTGATAAAGTAGTGGTATATGGACGGAATGTCACACACGGGCCGAGCAGTAGCACCAGTCACAAGAGCACACTATATGCGGCAGTTTGTCGTCGTCGTCGTCGCCGTCGTCCGCGTTAGGAATTCTACTGCGCGTGTATGTACTACTATGCGTTGAATACACACGTACACACACACACCTATGCGTGTATGCGTGTGTGTATGTATCGCGGGTACGTAACTGCGCGTACACTGCCGCTGTTGCTTACATATGTATACGTATTAACTCATGTACGTAATGTGTATACGTGACTGCCGCTGCTGCTGCTGCTGCGACTTCAATGATTACAGACGCGCATGCAGCCCGTGTAAAGTAGATGTAAATGACTGTGTTTTCTCACAGGCGATATTACTGGCGACTTACCTAGCGAATTTCGGGGGCCGAAGAGTGAGACAAAAAAAATCAAAACGTTGTGTACTAGACAGCGCCAGGCACACGAAGCGCTGAGAGCCTGTGCCTGTTGTCGTTGTCGTCGTCTTCGTCGTCTTCGTCGACGCTTCCCAAATTCGACGATATCGGCCTCGTCGCGTAGTCGTCGGAATCTCTGTCTCTCACACTCCTCGACGGTTGTTTTTATTTATATACTCTGCGACACGACTGTTACTGCTACTGCCGCTGCTTATGTGCTGTTCTTTCTCGCATCGACGACTAAACACTCTCGGCACTTGTTTTCGCTTTGCTACTTCTCTTCTTGTGTATTATTATAAAAAAATCACACACACCACGGGGGCGCCGACACTGTTCACTTTTTTAAAAAAAACACACACAGGATTTTTCTCTCGTATCGAATATTATTATTATTATTATTATTCGCACACAATTGTTGAATTCACTCGGTAATCACTACGGTGTTGCACAGAGAGTTTCGGCCGCCGACGCGCCGACGACGACGAGAGAGTAAACGGATCACGACGACGACGATATGGCAGCAGCCGAGATACAGAGAGATAGAGGATAGATTTTAAATAACCTATACTCTGCTCTCTCTAATGTAACACACACACATATGTATCGAGCACACGCGCACTCGCGAGCGAAAGACGGAGCGAGAGATGCTGTTTACTGCAACACAGACACACACGATGACCTGCTGCTGCTAGAGAGAGAGACTTGCTACTGCGGCCGTATAGCAATCGTAGCATGTGTCGAGGTCGACTGCTGCTGCTGCTGCTGCTCGTTCCTTTTCGCAAAGTGAGAGAGAGAGACAGAAGCGGGACAGAGAGACAACACAACAGCACCTCACTCGCTGGTATAATTCACAATATATTATAACAATAATTCACAAGTCACAAAGAACTTAAAGAGAACGAGAGAGAGAGAGGAGAGAAGCGCGAGCACGATTCGATCGCGTGCGTTAATGCGCTGCTGTTTGCGCGTTTATTATTTGTACATATGCGCGAATGTAATATGTATATCCGCGTATATACTTACACACACACACACACGCGTCACTCTGTCCGTATGTATGTGCGCGCGCGCGTTGTTGTGTGTACGTATCGGCACCGAGAGCGCACCGAGCCGAGCACGGCGAAAAGCAAAAAAGCAAAAAAAAAAAGAAACACTTTACAACACACACTCACACACACACACACACAGACACTGTGCGCTCTGGCGAGCGATAAAGAATCTTGAAAGTCGAGAGATCTCCGCCGAGTAATTGGGAGCAGCTGATGGTGGACGGTGGGGCTTTACACTAGTATATATAACGCTATATACTATCCTATACCCACACTACCACTACTACTATACACCACGACTAACGCGACGACGAGCGGCGCGGGAGGAGGTGCAGAGAGAGAGAGAGAGACCAAGAGAGCCGCGCGGCGCTCTGTATGTGCAGCTCGCAAGCAGTGGAAAAGAGAAAGAAGGCGCGCAGATAAAGCTCTACGCTACTGCTGCTGGTGGTGGTGGCGGTTGGATCCGATGGTGGTGGTGGTGGTGGTGGTGTCGACGCACGCACGGACGCACGCTTGGCATGACAGTTGGGACGTTACTGGCCTGTGCTTACTACTTGCCGTCTCGCTGTATGCTGCTATGTGTATATATGCTTATATGCCTCTGCTGCTGCTGCTGCTGCTGCTGCGCTGTGTTGCTGTGTTGCTGTGCCTGCGCCGAGAGAGCCACAGGTGTCATCGAGTCCCCGCTCATTGGTCTCCGAGTATATAGCCGAGAGCTGCGCCGCGACGTTGGCAACACGCGTTACCCACGTACATACGGCGGCTGCTACTGCTGCGGGCCTCTGATACACCTCGGACTTGCCTTTTAATACGTACGGCGGATTTAATGCGTGTGTACACTGTGTATGTATTACACACAGAGATGTCTGGCCAGTGGCCTATGAGCTCCTTAAAGTGCCTCGAGCCGCCGCCATGAGCGCGCGCCACTCACCGATATATAATACAAGAGACTCCGTATAATGTAACCAACAGGCACAACAACGCTTTTTTTTCTCTCCCTCTTTGTATTATTGGCGCCGAGTTTAGCAGTCTTGTTATATGTGCACTCGCGACGATATAAAACGGGGCATTCTTCGGACGATTCGCACCACCTTTACTTTTATGTTTCTTCCGCGAGCGGCACCGCTGCACGCATGTATGCGTGATTAAATGTACTCGTCGATATATATTTTTATATTATGTATCGCGACGACTCGATGTAAACACGCGACGATGTGTAAATTATATGCACGGAGCGGCGCGACGACGACGAGTTTCCTTCTTCTTCTTCTTCTTCTTTTTTTATCGCGATAATCAATCCAACGGATTTTTCGCTACTGGTATATCGCCGAGCAAAAGCGTCTGAACGTTACACACTTTGAGTAGAACCCATAAACCGTATTTATATATTTATAGAGATTATAAAAGCACTTGAACTGGTAATTTATGAAGCTGATGTATCTTACGAGAGAGCGAGGGGGGCAAGTGCAACCGTCGTCGAATCGCTTTCCACTCGAATGACTGAAACTCAAAAAATTGAACTATGATCAGCGTTGGATTCTAGACGTTCTAATCGAGCCGTTAAAAAATTTGAATTCGTTGAACCCTGTTCTACTCCCCGATAATGGAGTCTTGTATCCGAGATACTATTCCACAATACAAAATATTATTGAATTTTCAATCGTTAATAAATGCAACTGTTACAATTTGAATATCAAATTAAAAGATTCTGGTTATTGCGAATCTAATATGTTCGTGACATACGAACAACTATGGCTTGACCATATTTTCAAGTTGTTAAAAAAGAATAAGCATTTTTCATCGCCAGGACGTAGAATAATTTGATTAATCATTTTTATCAAAGAAAATTAATTAGTTTACACAAGAGACACGTCTTTTGAACAAAGCAAATATTTTATACCAAACCTATTAGTCAATCGTCTACTATCATTAGTAATCAAGTCCGATAAACTGTGTGTACTGTGGCGGGTTTTTTTTCTCCACACGACCAATGCTCGCACATAAACGCGATTTTTACGACTCCCTCAGGCAGTAAATAATAATTTCGTTTAAACTGAAGCGCCCGAAAAAGTGTTTACTTTCGGCTGTGGGACAGCAAGAACAATATGTATGTAATTCTCGACAACTCTGTGCGCCGTTTGTGGTAAGATCGTAAAAGTACGTTCAGAAATAATTCACCGTCGACGTTCGTTTCTTTCTGAAAAAATTTATTTTTTCATAGATATTATATCATAAATACACGTTTTTTTACATTTATATTCATTTTCATTAATTTGCGTCTGTGCCAGGATCCCAATCTACCATCGTGATACTTTGCCGATAGCTATATAAAATAACAATCCTTTACAACATTCACGAGTATTTGGCTGGGAGACCATGTCAATCTCATAAAGAACTTGAGGCATATTGATAGTCAATGTTATTTTAATAACAGATCGGATGATAGATAAGGATCCTTTTGATAAATCTTATTATTAAAATGTTCTTCAACATTAAAGTTCTAAGCGATTTTTCTCTGAAGTAATCATAAACGCACTTTATTTTGTCTACATTTCATTTACAATCCACTATCACTTTAATTGAATATCTTTAACGAGGTTCAATATTTAAAGAACCATATATAATATTGCCAATAAATAATGATTGATCAATCAAATTCAAACTTAATTCTAAAAGTGCTTCATTTGTGTATATTTCGTATAAAAGTAAACTAAATTATAAGAAAGAAGTTTTAATATTAAAAAAAGTTTTATTAATTTTATCAATAACCATAGCATATAATCACCAAAAACATACTTTTATACTAATATTGATATATTTACGATTAAAAATTAAAATAGATTATAGAAAATGTAATAGTTTCTTTTTGGTTATACAATGTGTGTTTCTAGGTTGTTTAGATATTACGTTTGACTCGTCAAACAAAACTCTAGAACGAAAAGGATGTTTCAATAAGATATACTATTTCGCAAAAGTGCCCTGAATTAATAATGAAAACAGAAATCGACACATAAATGTAAAACATTATGTTCGATTCATGCATTAAAGCATTTTGACAAATGATACATTAAAAACTCATTAAGGCACTTGAAAGTAATAAATTCATTGAAAGATGAATTCATTTCGAAGTGTGAAATTTGATTCTATCATTTTGACGAGTCGCACTAAATATTAACGATAGACGATTTCAAAAATTGTACGTTAGCACGACCACTAAAAACACATAATATATTACAAAAAGCTCGTCCAATTACTTTCATAAAGAAAATTTTATTATGGTACTGTGCAACAAAAGCAACAAATACTCACGCTTGAAATTAATGCGAGCGTGTCAAAAAATTAGTACAAGCCGAAAAAAATACATTACAAAATGTACGATAATTGTTGAATGGAAGTTTTTTTTTTACAAAATTGATGGAAAATTGAATTTTTAAACGTAGGTACAATATAAAAATGCACAGTATCGATGTTAGATGCAAACTTGACACTGCTCAAATCATTACAAATACTTTAAGACAACGGATATTTCTTCTTGAATTTTTTACAAAAATTCCTTTAAATTACCAATTAAATAACTTACCCTGCACGCGCGAATTTTTGCAAGAAAGATAAGTTTTAAGATAGTCTTTCTTAAAATTTCGCGTAACATGTATCGGTTCTAAAAGTTAACATATCGGGCAATTTATAAGATCTACTTCATCCAATTTATTTACCAACTTAAAATTTTTAATATTTTTGTCAAGCCATCAAACTTTTTGAGCAATTCGTGTGGATACATTAGTTATTAAAATCTTGCACGAATATAAACGGCCGAAGCGTCATGTGTACCATATCCAAGACGTTTGGCGTGTTTATAAGTTTCATTTGCTATAGCCGCTAATGGTAAAGGCTGTTCAAGACTATCGCTCATACTGAGTCCCAGGCGGAGGTCTTTTTGCATGTGTTGCAAAGGCATTTGTGTTGGGAATCCTCCCTCAATTATGGCTGAAAAATTTGAAAAGATTATTAATAATTCATTTTCCGTATCGATTTAAAAAAGAAGTAAACTTCGTCTAAAAATCAATCGTACCTTTTCCCTTCTCCGTAAGCAGCGGGCTTGCCAATGATGTCATTTCCATAATCTCCAACACGTCCTTCTGTTGCAGACCGGCACGATCGGCCAGAGCCATGCTCTCAGCTAATCCAACCAAGCAAATTCCAGTCATCGTTTGAAGTACCAAGTTCATTTTCGAAGCATTGCCCACTTCGCCCAGATAGATGGCGTTTTTGCCCATTGCTTGGAAGCAGCTGTTGCAGTCGTCGAACAATTGCCGATCGCCAGCGCCGAGGATCACCAGATTGCCTTCCTCGGCCTGAGGTTTGCTGCCTTGCACCTGAGCCTCGAGGTAACGCGCACCCTTGGCCATGATCGCCTCGCAGATGTCGGCCGATGTTTCGGCGTCGATGCTCGTCATCTCGACGTAGCCCTTGTCCGTCGTGATTTCCGATAATACTCCGCAATTGCCAAAAACCATCTGAAAACATTGCGAAGAACGATATTAGAATTTCGTAAAATTTTCCGATACGCAGATTTTCCTCTTTTCGGCATTTAATAAATTCAACGAGTGAAAAATGCATTCGCACGAGGAAAATTAAAAGTGGTACCAACCTCTTTGGCAGCTTGGGGATCTGCTACGCAAGAGAAAGTAATGTCAGACATGGCGACAACATCTGCGGGAGTGAGACCCTTTTCAGCTCCGGCCTCGACAAAATCGTTGCACTGAAATCAGAAAGAAAAGAGAAATTAGTTTTGAACAAAATGTTTTTATTACATCGCAATGGAAAATGATACATAAAAGTTTATAAGTAAAGTGTGATTGTACTAAAAATGAGTTCAAATGTTGAATTACACGAATATAATAACATTATCAAACTTGTGGGATAATACGAAAGTTTGTATTACAGTGACATCCGCGTTCGTATATCATCTCATACTCGGATAAATTAGAATACATCCACGGGGGAATTATCATGCTCCGGCGTCGCTCTTTAACTTTCTACATTATCATCGACGAGTCAGTCGCACGCGCGACGATTCCGTGCGACTAGATGGCACATCGGTCGTTCGTATTATTTTGAAGAAATTCTCGAACCGGCATTCGAGAGAGTCGCAACGAACTCGACCTGCTCTGCTGCGCGTCGGGAAAAATTCATTGCCATGCGGCACAGCACAGCTGAAATTCTATATGTATCAGCGACAAACTGAACTACGGCGCGCAACGTATATAGCGAAATAGCTCCGCGCGCCGCACAGGCCACATCATCAAGCGACGCCATGTCTGTGGCCTCCTTGTGCACGATACCCGATAAATACAGAGTCGCCGCTGTTGTTGTTGTAGCATTGGTTTAATATTGGAATCGTTCGTTTTTTTTACTTCGAGATAATTCATAAGAGTTTATTTATTATATGCATCGGAGAATCGGTGACAAAAAAATATTCCGAGCTTAGTTTGCCGCGCAGCGAATTCAGCCGTGGCCGCTGTTACGCTTACGTGACGCAACATGGCTGAAGTCTCCACGATGCAACGCCGAAGTTTGATAACTTCGAATCAAAAGTACGCGTCAAAATTTCTCAACGGCCATTGCTTCGACACAGGGGGGTTGTCAACGTGATTTACGTCAAAACGTAATCGAATCAAAAGCCGAGTTTAAATTTACGATGTTTGAAATAAAACTTTTGATTACATTACTCCGCGCCTTCGAGCTGCAGCGAAAGTGAGCCGCCGCCGCTGCTGCTGTTAGCAGTGTATATGCGAGTGAGAAGAGAGACCCCTTCAACGGCACATTATACAAGAGCTTGTGTGTGGGCAATCAAGCGAGTTTTGCATTCAACGATAACAAAGATGATGTGTTTCTTGTGTTTGCTCGACCTTAAATGCTAAATTGAGTCCCGTTTGGCGCAACGAGGAAAAAAAAACAGTTAATTTTTTTTAAAAAATCATCGGGCTTACAAAAATTTTCAAATCACCCAATTAACCGTTAATTTTATATCGATGAGAGTACTTTACGACCTTAGAGCACGATTTTAGTACTCGCATTATTGTTTAATAACGTTAAAAGGCAATCAATCTTTAGGACTTTTTATCAAACATCGGAATTATAAACAACCCATTATGCAATTACAATTATTGTACTTTCAAACTATGTAGGTGTAATAACATACGTAAGTAAACGTACAGTTTTTAAACCATCGGCTACTCTAACTGGCGAGTTAAACGCTTCTTCATAAGTACGTTGTAATTCCTCGTTACAAAATGTGTATTTTGTACTCGTCTTTTTAGCGATGAAAGTTGCGTATAGGTATATTATTAATTTCCTTAAATGTGCACCGAAGCAGTCTAGTTTAGTCTAGTTTTAGAGAGAAAATCAAACATTTTCCAAGTTTATTTGGAACGAGTTGTATTTTTTCAATTCAAAGTAAATTTTACGATTCAAAAATAGTTTTTTCAGATATCTGTTAATGATAATTTTAGGCCGAACATTTTTTTTTAAAGCCGATACACCACAGCAATTTTAAAATTTAATCGTTTTAAACTTGTATTACGAGTTGCTTTTTAAAAATAAATTTCAAGCGTATTAACCCAACGAGAAACGGCAACGTTTTTATCAATTTCAGCGACCAACGCTTGTTTGTGCGTTAACACAACTCCGAAAGAAAAATGCAATTAATGCCGTTTTGAATATCGCTGGCGTACAATTGCAGTAACAATTAAACGACGACTAAATCAATACAGCTGTAACTAATACTCTGAAAAGCTTATAATGCCGTATCATTAACTTTCCAAGATAAATTCGGACGTAATTCCGAGTAAAGACTGCTTTTAACTGAAATACTCGGAACGACTTATTTTGGACTTGCTGTAAAAGTACGAGTGTAAGCTCCTGGACTGGAAAAAATGTGCAAAGCAGGAAAAGTTTCAAGTCCGGTGCAGCCTACTTATCAACATGTTTCGAAAAAATTTGACTCTATTACTGTTACTATTGTTACTTTAACATCAAAATAAACTACAAAAACGATTAAAAAATTTAACAAAGCTTTTTATGATGCAGCTAATTTTCTGTTGAATTAGTATATATCAATTACCTTTTATGAATGATTTTTTTCATACATAACGTAGAATCTACTTCACACGAAGAAGGCATAGTTTTAAATAATTTCCAGTGCAAGCTCATGATTATTCGAAGAATTGTTGAATTATTCACGAGATTTATGCGTATCGATAGTTTCAGAAACAGTCGGAAAAAATATTTATACACGAGTAATTTTAAAATAGAGAAGAGTAAAGAGAAGACGGTCGTATGGCTTCGCGGCGACTCAAGCTTCTACTTTTTTTCCAAAACAATGATGACATAATTTTTTTTGCAAATAGAGGACTAAAATATCGGTTAACTATGAAACCGAGTGTGCTTTAAACTTCTTAATTCACGAATAAATACCACTCACTCGGAAACAAAAAGACAATTAACTCGTGCACTTGAAAAATTACATCTCGAAATAACGTACGGTTTCAATTAACCTTGGAAGCTAATTTTTTGTTATTGGAGCGTTAGACGTTGCCGAACACGCTCCACGACATAAAAAAAGATAAAAAGAAATGCTTAGGCACTCCGAGCCTCAAAATAATCGATCAAATACACGTGATGATGATATGTAACGTCCCTCGTGCGCCGCGGGTAAAAAAGCCTCTCTGTATATATAATATCGCGCTGCAGTGTTATGCGCGCCATGGCACACACACGCACGCGTCAGCTGTTCAGAGAGCCTATACCGCAGTGTTGCCGGCACGAGGCAGACCCATGATCCGCCGAGGCTGGCCTGGCGTGAAATCGATACGGCCCTCGCATCGGGTGAATGGCAACTACGCGGCGCATAGCGCGACTAGACCGTCGTATACAACATAGTATACATCATCGTCGCATCGTTTTGTAGCGTGCGTTGGTTTTTGTTATGTGTGTCGTGGTGCTGCTGCTCTAGGGTCAATTCGAATTGCGATAAGAGAGAAGCGCGTTATCGACATTTGCATCGCCCGCTGTTAGACGATTACTGGGGATTGCGCGCTGCATCGTACGCGCGATAAGATTACGCGACGGCCGCCCGCCCCCGCGCGCTATATACAATGAACTTGCGCGGGAAGGCACATTTTTTCGCGCGCGCGCGGGCGTTTTTCAATTTTGCGATTTACGACGAGTAATAAACCGCAGCTAAATCGACGATTTTACGGATAGAATCTCCATATCGAGATATCAATCGCTCCGATCCGCTGAAAATCATCGAGTCAATATTTTGACAATTTTGTTGTCACTCACGCCCGGTCGTCGTTTATAACATTTCGAATGTGTGACTCACATTAACCGTCGCTTGATATGCATCGCTTCTATATATCGATACGTGTGTATCTCTCGAAGCTGGCTTCGAATTCGTATACGAGACATCTGGCAGCATTTTTTCTTTTATTATTTTGTCGCAGTTTCATCGTTATATTCACGCACAAGCTGAAGCAATTCAACAGCGAACGTTCATAATCTTATCAGTTTTTCGCCTTTTTTCCATTCACGAGAGAAGAGAGATATTTGCATGCGGCTTGTTTTTTCGTGCAAACTTTTTCGTTGACACTCCCGCGGGCGCGCGATTAATCAAAATTTAGTTCGTGAAACGTTAAAAACGCGCGAGAAAGATTCGACTCTGGCCTCGGTAATTGTTCTTTATTTTTTGCGCGCACTGGCCGAGTTTCGTATACGTCGAGCATCTTTAGCATTATTTATCTCTCGGGCGTTATAAAAAACATCGCAGTCAATTATCAGTATGTGACGCTCCAATCAATGCCTCGGTCATATAATAGTCTCTCTCTGCCGTAACAATAACACCTTTATACTTGTAGAAATGTGCCTCGAGCTTTCGAATGTTTTTATCGATTCGTACATAGGAGTTAGAAGGAACTTAATATAGCGTCGATATACGTCACGCGAACGATTTATGCCATAATCAATGGTTCTTGCAACTACGTACGAGTAATTTATAAATTATATCGACTATAAGCTTGAAAATAGTGTATAGCCGAAAGCCTAAAAAAAGCCTCTGGATCGCTAGATTTTTTTTATACAGTTGCGCTAAATATAATTTTGAAAAAGACGCCTCGCATAATACAATCAACGCAGTCTAAATGTGTCTTTTAATCGACGCGTCCCACCTCGCGCTACGTCAATTTACGACTTTATCGTATATTTTTTATTATTATTATATAAAAAAATATATAGTATCGTTCCAAGGCTACCACTATACCGACGGCTTTTCTTTTTTTTTTCTTTCGACTTTCTCGCTGCGGAAACCCAATACGCACACAAAATATAGACTACTCTACGCGCGTAATACGTCAAAGACTTTTGCTTACTTAATAATAAAACATAGATCGGACGCAGCTGTAGGAATCGGATAGTATAAACACGCCGCTTATTCGGCAAAATGTGTGTGTGTAAGTAGTCTACGCACGCACGCAACGACTTGGATCACATGTGTGCCGATGATTAGCTCGACCGACCGCGACACAATGCCAAGGTAAAAGAGCGCAACAACACCTGAATCGCGGCGTAGGGGTTGTCGTTGTTGCTGCGAGGAACAAAATCGTTACGGCGAATATGGGATTCATTCACGCATAAAGTATACGTATCTCTCGAGAGGAAGAGAAAGAGACACATAACACGGGTTGTCGCACTTTGTCGAGGCTGAAAATCTCTTTCTTCCTCTCGGTTTCTCGGTATATACTTGATATATTATATGAGCGCGGTGGTAACGGCCCGCGCGGACTCTGGACACACGACTCTCACTCCGAGTATCTTTCTTTGTGTGTATGCAGTATATAATAACAACGAAGAGAGAACAGTCGAGCTGTCGCACAGAGACACAACATTAATACAACTATACGTAACGTCGCTATATAGTCTCGCGCATATAAGTGTGCGTAAGCGTGCGTTAGTGCGGCACCTAAACTCCGCAAAGACAGTGCACACGAGTCCTATATGGTTTTATACATATATTGAGAGCATTGTGTGCTGCACACAGCACAGGCAGCACAGGCAGCAGTTGCGCCAGCTTCGGCCCTCTCTCTCTCTCTCTCTCTCTCTCTCCGATTCTCCCACTATTTTACGGACTCGACGACTGTACTATACGGAGCAGCAGCAGCAGCAGCAGCAGCAGCAGTAGCTGTAGCAGCCAGCGAGAGCAGCCGCCGTCGCTCGCCTCGTCGTATACAATATAGACACGGGCACATTGGCTTCGGATGGTCGCTGCTGCCTGACGTTACCCCAGTCTTGGCCGAGTCGCTCAAGCAGCAGTTAGTTGTATCGTAAACCGACTGCAGCGCACTTACATTACAGACAACTTTTCGCAGTTTTCTGCACTACTCGGATCTATACACACACACGCGTTATAATATCGATATATACCTGCATCTATATCTACCGCAGGCCTATTTGCGTCAGCACACGCGCGTGTTACATGCTATAGGCATGAACTCGCAGGCGCAATCATCGACCAGCAGCAGCAGCAGTAGCAGCAACAACAAGCAGCGCTACTAGCTCGGCTCGTTTTATATTTAAAACGCGTGTATAAACGTGTGACAACAAAAACATGTGTCAGTATTGCGAGTCAGTGAATCGATCGTCGACGCATCAGCAGCAGCACGACGACGACGCCGACGTACTTCTTTCATTGAGCAAAAGTGCAAAGAACGACGGCCGACCAGTGGTGAACGGTGTAGTAGTAGTATTAAGCAATGGCGGCCTCCTCGATGCCTCGTACGCTGCGAAGCAGCATTTAATCGTCGGCTGCAGCAGCAGCAACGAGCAGCTGAACTAGACAAAAAAACAAAAAAAAAACACTCGTGTGTCGTGTTGTACTGCTGCTGCTGCCAGTGTTGTTGGTGGTGCAAAAAGACGAGTCAGCAGCTGACACAGCACAGCACAAGACAAAAAACCGTGTAGCAGCCAGGGTGGTGTTATTATCGTAGAGGCAAATGCAAGTCGTCAAAGCTCGACTGCTACCCAACCGAAAGACCGTCGTCGTCGGCCACGAGCTGCTCGCATTAGGTACACTTGCACTCTTTACATTGCACATTGTATTTTGTACTCAACCAACTCACACATAGGCACACACATGTACACACAGACGCTGATCGCGCGCATGAGAGCATCTCTCCTTTGTACAATGTGTGCTGCTGCTGGCTGTGTTACATGTTAGCTAGCCACACACGCACACAAGCGCCAGGGTACGTTCTAGAAAATCTAACGTTTCCTTTGCGCGATTCTCGGCAATTCATAACCCAAAAAAAATAACAGATAAATGTCGAAAATTTGCTCTAAAATTCGTGCTGATCTCTCTCGTTTTATCTCTTCTCGCTCGCTCTCTCTCTTTGCCTTGCGTCGATGCCAAAACAAAGTTTTTGACCAACGGCAACAGTTGATACGCTCGAGAGTTAAATGAAAATCATTAAAATGAGCAACGATAAACTTGTGAAAAGGTCTAGCTTTGCAAAAAATTTTAATATAACCGAATAAATAAATGAATAAATAAAATTATCGTAAATCTAATTGCGAAACAAAGTAGGCTTGTTTGTGTACACAAAAAAGTATATGATTGCAAAAAAATTCTTTTATGCTTATGCAGTATAACTGTATACACTAATCCTGCCGCAATGATGCAGTTTAATGACTGTGGAAGTTTTTTTTTCCAACGATACGTCACGTTGGTTTTTCGAAATAATTACACGCGATTAGTAAGACATAATGAATGTCAAGTTTAGAATGTTCTCTAAGCAATGTTAGATCGAATACACGATGCTCGTACTCGCGCGCACACATTTATACACGTATAAACACAAGATTGGTACTAAATATAAAATATTTATCGACTCCGCGATCTCTCGAAGATTGAAAATAACACGCTATCTCTGAATTCTCAGGTCTCAGGAATGAAGAAAGATCGCTGGTTCCTAACTCTCTGCACATGCTTGGCCGTGATTCTGCAATTGGCGATACCAAGCAGCGGCGACAATCCCACAGGATGCTCGAGAAACTGCGACTGCGACGCGGCGCGGGCGAGTCTGCGCTGCGAGGATCGACCTCTGCAGGATCTCGATCGTCTCGCCGACTCGACTCTGCTCAGCGTCGAGTTGATCAACGTTCCGGCGTCGGGGCAAATTCCCTTGGAAATTTTGCGGCCCCTGGCGGAGTTGCGCCACTTGTCCTGGACGAGCAGCGGCATCGAGTCGCTTCATCCGCTGAACTTCCAAGGCAATGCTCGGCTGGAGAGTCTGAACTTAGGTGACAATCGACTGAGCAAGTTGCCCGTGGACGCGTTCCGCTCGATGCGCAAGCTCAGGCATCTGAACCTGACGGGCAACTCACTGGTCCGCGTACCGCCGCACATCTTCAAGGATCTCGAGGAACTAGAAACATTGAGTTTAGCGAAGAATAAGATAGAAGTACTGCCTTTTCAAGCCTTCGAAGCCGTGGGCAAGAGTCTGAAGCTCCTCGACCTGTCGGGCAACTCGCTCGTCTCTCTGCCCGATCACAGCTTTCGGCCCAATCGCGCCCTGCGCACTCTCAGGCTGTCGAGCAATTACCTGACCAAGATACCCTCGCATCTGTTCTCGGGTCTGGCCAATCTGCAAGAACTCGATCTCAACACGAACTCCATCGACTTTTTGCCGCGCGGCCTCTTCGGCGAGTTGACGAGCCTGGAGAGGCTGGATCTCAGCGGCAACACGTTGAGCCGTGACGGCAGACTGAACGACATCGTCTTCAACGGCCTCGAGAACTTGAGATGGCTCAGCGTCAGCAGGTCGAGGGTGGCCGGCTTCCCGAGGAATGTCTGGCTGTCGACGCCGCATCTGAGGACTCTGCTCGCCTCGGAGACCAAGATCGAGGTCCTGGAGGACAACGACTTGGCTCACTTGGCCGAGCTGCGGAGCCTGGAGATAGCTCGTAGTCCGCTGCGCGAGATGGGCCCGCACACGCTGGACGAGACGCCCAAGCTCACGCGGCTGGTGCTGCGCGACAACGAGCTGGCCTTTCTGCCGTCGAGCCTGGCCCAGCTGCAGAACGTCAGCCACCTCGAGCTCCAGGGCAATCCGTGGGCCTGCGACTGCCGCATGTTCTGGTTCGTGCGCTGGGCCGAGGAGCATCGGCATCGGGCGGCCTTCGACTCGGGCCTGCGCTGCGGCCACGAGTCCGACACCATCGACACCATTCAGGCGCTGCGCTACCTCAACTGCACGCCGCCCCAGCTGAGTCGCGCGACCTCGGCGCGCGATCTGCACGTCTTCCGCAGCACGGTGATCCTCGAGTGCGAGTACGGCGGCAATCCGCTGCCCTCGATCACCTGGGTGACGCCCCAGCTGCGCGTCTTCCACTGGAGCCCCGACCCGTCGTTCCCCGACGCCTACATGCATCATCCGCGGGTGCACGACTACCGGGTCGACCAGGCGGACTTCGAGGACGACGGCCGCGTCAAGCTGCTGGACAACGGCTCGCTGCTCATCACTCGGCTGCTGCGGCAGGACGTCGGGGTCTACAAGTGCTTCGCCGTCAATCCCATCTCGAACTCGACGACGATGGTGACGCTGCGCATGGACCCGGTCACCATGCACACGGTGAAGCTGCTCAGTATCGCGGTGGGCGCGGCCAGCGCCGCCGGTTTCCTCCTGCTCACGCTGCTCGTTCAGCTGCTGCGCTATCTCTTCATGAGGTAAGCAGAGAGAGAGAGAGAGAGAGTTCGATTCGTCTTACTTCGATCACTGATCTCGATTCGTTTCTTCGCTTGTGTTTTTTTTTACATGTATAGATGCGGCTGTCAGAAGTGGTGCCTGTGCTGTCGCCACGTCGGGGTGACGCCGCGCGCCAAGCAGATCTACCAGATGCTGGACAACATCGAGCAGTACAAGAGCCAGCAGCTGGAGCGGCTGCGCGAGAACTACACCCAGCAGGTGCACCGCATCAAGGACAACTGCGCCCAGCAGGTCGAGTGGATCCGCGACAGCTACGAGGGCCAGATGAGGCACATACGCGACATACGCGAGTACGGCACGAATCATCTGACCACGCTGCGGGACCAGTACTGCGATCAGGTATTGAACAATTGCGTACAGACAAAACGTAGCTCCATTACTACCACTACTACCACTACTACCACTACTAACGGCGAGAGCAGTTGACAATTAATTAATAAGAAACATTTCGTGAGGCCTGTATAAAAAGACAATCTAACCATTAAAAATAATCTTAATACACAGCTATCTGAGTCTTGTTCAATTAACATAATTATAATGTATGTAACAAACGATCCTTCTTTTGTGTATCAAGCTTTTAGATCGACTGATTCTTCGGTTATATTCACGCTTTGAAGACTGCATACTAAAAGACAATGCGTCCATCAACCTTCTTTGTTTGCTTGCAGGTGAAGCGCGTGCGTGACTACTCGACGAGCCAGTTGAACTGGGTGCGCGAAAACTACGTCTTCCAACGCAACAAGATCCGTAAATTTAGCTCGCACCAGGTGCTGCGTCTGCGCGAGTCCTACAAGTACCAGCAGCAGACCCTCAACAAGGTGCTCGAGAATCTGCCCTCGCTGTATTTCGACAATTGTCGGAGCGGCTCGTGCGGCGGCGGTGGCAGATCGGGCTCGGTAGTGTTCGATCCCAAAGACCTGGTGGACGACGGCACCATCACCGACGCCTCGCTCGTGGCCAACAGCGTCAACGCCTACTTCAAGACGCAGATCGACGGCATAGTCACGGCTTACGCCTCCAGTCTCGAGGACGTCAACAGCGACTATTACACGCCCACGGAGCAGCTGTCCGCTTGCAGTCCGCGCAGTCCACCGCCGGCAATTGGCAAGTTCGCCAATCTCGAGGGCGTCCAGGTGATCAATTACATCGACGATCGGCCGCCGTCGTCGATCTTCATGTCGTCGCCGCAGCGCAGCGGCAACAGACCACCACTGGAGTTGGGCCCGGCTCTCCTGCACAGGATCGACGAGTTCGGCAGCTCGACCACCGTCGCAAGTGTCCTGGATCATCATCATCATCATCATCATCATCATCATCCGGCGGTGTTCCGTGGTATCAGTGCCGAGACTCTGGCCGGCGACACGCGCGGTACCCCCGAAGTGCTCGACATGCTCATACCCAGTGCCAGTCTTCCGGAATTACCCAGGGAGACGAGGCTCTGAGGTCCGATGCTGTGCTGTTCGTCGTCTTCGATCTTTTGGATGTGTTGACAACACGTGTGTGTGTGTATGTGATACGTGCGCGCGTGTATAGAGCTTATATCGCGTAGTGCAGTTTTAGACTTTTCGAGCAGTTAATAAGAGAAACACGACAAATATTGTGTGAAGTATGGTTATTAAAAAAAAAAAAACAAAACAACAAGAAAAGCAATGTGTGATAACAGAAAAAAAAAATATATAAGTGGTGCAGAACTTTCTTCTAGATTGAAAAAAGTCATTAGTTACAAGCCTACATTAGGCGAAGATAGGAAATAAATTATTATTATTATTATACAATATATACATAGATATATATTATATGTATACACTCGGATACGATTTAGATTACGCAGTTCTCTCGAGCCTTTGCGGCTCGGTTTTAAAACGAAGGCTGACGAAAGAGAGACAGAGAGAGAGAGAGAGAGAGATATATAGGAGCGAATCAAGAGCGCGCGCGGCACACAACACGAGTAAAACGTAAAACGCCGCACATTCAGCCGTGAGCGGTATGAAAGGGAGTCGTGTTCGTAGCTCGAATTGAAGAAATTTCGTTTCAACTAATCGTAAATAGTAACTATCTACTCGAGGAACTTACGAGCGGTATACGTGGGTGTGCGTGTGTCTGTGAGTGCATGGAAAAAATCTGTCCTACTGTGTAGTTGTATAAAAAGTGTTTATTGCGTCACGCGAAATGAGATGAAAAAATAAAATAAAAGAAAGAAAAATAATAAAGTAATGCCTACAAGAGAGGAGTAATTCGGTCGCGTGTGTGCTCGAGCGGTGCTGCTTATTTTAGATATACCGACACCTAAAACTTCTATATACATGATGATCGGGTGTATGTGTGTATGTGTACTAGATCGATGGTGTTCAACTATCGGCAATTTACACAAAAAAAAAAAATCTGAGACGGAGCCAAAATCGGTGGCCTCCTGCCCGTCTCGAAACTCGTAAGTGAAATTCTAATAAAAACAATCATATCATGAGCTCTCGTAAACGAAGATTCTCGTTTTTTTTTCTCGGTTATCTCTGTTTTCATCGTGATGATTGTATTACTACAAGTGCAATCTATTTTATCATCGAAATATCTTCGGAAAGGAGATTTTAAGAGTGCGTTGAGTGTTTTTAGTCGAGTTAATTTTTTTTTATATAAAATATAGCGAATCTAATTCATCGTTGTTACATTGTTAACTAAACAAAAAAAAATGTGATTGAAAAATTGTATGGAACGTCGATACTAATATCGCTGAAAAATTATGAGATGCGACTTATTTTATAACAATTACGATTCGTTAATCGGAAAAAAAATCAACAATCGTTTTACCGTCGATGAACTCCAATTCACATCGATGAATAGAAGATGTGAGCTGTGTATTCAATAAAAATATATGTTTATCGTCAGCAAGTGTTGCAAAGCACCTACTACTGTATCACTCGAATTAAAATCGGTCGGAGTTATATAAAATTAGCAAAATTGCATCTGGATTTGTGAATTCCATAAAACACGAACGTCTTTTTTTTTAATTAATGAAAGAAAAAAGAGAAAAAAATACAATTATACGCGTACTTATGCTTCCCTTTGATTATTGTGTGTATATTTTTCTACGATTCTTTGAATTAAATTTTAAAGAGAATCCTTTTTTCTACATAAGAATGGCTTATTCTTCACGGAAGATAATACCAAGACTGCCGTAATCACTTTTTGCTACACTAAGATAAAACCGAAAATTAATCGGAAACTTTTTTTTATTTTATTACCCACGTTTGGTTATTTACTTTAATAGGTCATAGGTAAGGTTGAATATTTTTTTCTATAAAGAATATCAGTTTTTAACACTTAATTTTTTTTTCAAACAAGTTATAGAAAAATAATCAGTAGTAGAGAATAGATCAATATTCCTTGAGGAATTCCTGTATGATAACTATTACTCTCATTCCATATGTATGTATATTTTGGAAGAATAAAAATTTTTCAAAGTTACTGCCTACACTGACAATTTAATTTTATGTGACTTTTACACCTATCATTCCAAGTATGCACGCACTATGTGTAATAATACCAAGTGTTATATAATTTTTTATGAACATATTGATGTGAAAAAATCAACTGAAACCAAATCCTAAGTAGCTAAGTGTTCATGTTCAAGAACAAATTTAAAATAATTATCACAAAATAATAATAAACAAACATATTTTCATTTTACTTTAACTATTCGAAGAATTTATGCCTGATATTTTTCTATCGCATACAAATTAAAAGAATTCTGAGTAATCGAGAATTCTTAAATTTATCATTATAATGAATAATCATTGTTCAACCTCAAATATTGTGCATAAAAGGTGTTCTAAAGACTTATCAACTAAATAGTAAAATAAAAAAACCCCAATTTTTTAGCATAATTCTAAGAATAAAAATATCAAGTAGCTTTATGTACATTCCTTGAACTCATTGGAAGGGTACATTAATGGTACTTTTCAAATGGGAAATATTCATAGCTAATAAATAAAAGGTCTGTTCTAAGAAAGCCATTACATCATTCAATTTGTAAGTTTAAATATGAATATTTTAGATCTGATAAAGATAATGTTGCAATGTGTATTGATGATTTTTGGATCATGCAAAGTTCTTGACTCTTAAGTTTAAACTCTTTAATGAATGAAGTATGTAACTTATAAGTTAAATCTAAAGGGTGCACAAACAGTTTGCATGGGGTTTTATATATAATAAAAATGTATTTGTTACATAATTACATACCTTCTCATTTGACCTGTTCCAAATCACAACTTTATGTCCACTGTTCAATAAATTCTTAACTATTCCACTGCCCATGATACCCAAACCAAGAAATCCAAATTTCAAGTCTGATGCTTGGATATTTTTATCTTTGAGAGCTTGAGATACAGTTGCTACATCTAATGGGGGAGTTTCCTATAAAAGTAATGAAAATATTATTGATAACCGCTATTCCAATGGAATGAATAAACTCCACATCACAATTTCAAGCTATTTACATTAATCCTCCCTTTGTTCATCATAATAACTAATAACTTACAGGTTTGGAAATATGAGTGGGTCGATTAAGTAAAGATCCAGGCCTTTTCGCGGTAGCTGAGTGATTGAGAACAGGACTTAAGCTGCCCAAACGATTGTTGCTGGAAGTAGAGTCTGTCCTCTGTTTTTTAGGTGGTCGACCAACACTTCCAGTAAGGCTTTCCCTTTTTCTTTCTTTCGGAGTTTCCTGTAAAGGAACGAATGTTTTTAACTAAAAAAGAAACATTGGTTTAAAAAGAACCAAATTACAAAAATAAAAATAATGATTAAATGTGATGAGTTTTACTTGAATGATGTTATTTAACAGATGTATTGAAAAATTTTGACATAATAAAAATTCATAATTTATAATGATATCCAAAAGATTTTTACCTTTTTTGGTTTGATCTTTGGGGTTTTTCTTTCAATAGATGAAGTATTGTTAGTTTCTTCTTCTTTGAGTTTGTCAAATAGAGCATTTGAATCTAAATTGTCTTCCCAAACCTATAACAATACATTTGTGTAACGTTAATAATCTTATAAACTTTTGTTCTAGGTGGTAATTATTGAATAAATCACGTACTTCACCACCACTTATGAAGTTTTCGATAGTATCGCAAGCTTCTTTGAAATTAGCTGTTTTACACATTTGTTTGCACTGTTCCTTGTGCTCTTGATATGGTTTAATATTAGCTTCATCAATCCATCCACTGAGATAATACAAATGGTTAATTCAAGCACTTATCATAATTATTCAACTTATTTTAGTGCAAACTTACTAGTTATTTGTTCCAAAGAAGTATATGCAATATATAGGAATCTTCTTTGTAGTAGCTGGTTTTTTCATATCTTTGATGGGGTTTGATACCTTCAATATAAATATTTGCGTTGAAAATAAAATAAAAGATCAAATGGAAAATAATCATACGGCAATTTTGAAGAAATAAAATTTCAAACAATTTTATGATTTCATCATCTATTTTACAAAATAAAAATAAAAGCCATTTCCCGGAGTGTTTCGCTAAAGAATAACGCTTGGCAGATAATAAAGTTTAGGGCGTATCAATTTCGGAGTCGTAAAATGAATGAACTTTCACCCCGAGAATCAAAACAAAAACACGGTCCTCGCAAGTCGCGTACACGAAAAGTGTATTCGTTTGTCGCGTTCGCAACTTCATTTTTGCAGAAGCACAAGCACACAAGCGTGTGGGTGAGAAAGCGCGGGAGATGCGCGACACAAGTAACACATCGCGTATTTCGAGGCACAAATAAACAAGAAGAGACGACCGGAGTTTAGTTGTTGTTGTTTGTTTACTTACACGGCCTGGCCACGGCGAGTACCCCTTCATTTTGGCCCTGCAACAGAAACAGAAAATTCACTTGGTCACTGTCCATTTTCATCATCATGATCATCATCATCATCATCATCATAGTCGGTCGCACACAAAACTCTCTACTATGCATGGGTTATATGTATAATACGTATCAAATAGGTTATGTTTGACAGGCCGCTGAATCGCGGCGCGCGGCACTTCTCTCGCTGCTGCTTCCCCATGGCTATACACACACACACACATACACGCACCGCGCGGTGTATATGACACAACATTCGGGGCATCTTTCGAATGCAAATTGAAAAATTCGAAAATTCGACAATCGAGAAAACCTACCAGACAAGATCGCCCAGCTTGTAAGTCATCGTCTCCGTGGACATGGTGGATTGATCTTCTCACTCTCGGTGCGCGTGTGTTATCAGTCGAGAAACGCGCGCGCTACTACACTTATAGTACAACAGAGAGTTGTCGGCAGTCACTTAGTACACACGATTCGGTGTATTCTAAATAGGAGTCACGCACAGGAAGAGAGCGTCTCGTGCAACGGTCTACTTGCTACTGAGGATGTGTTATGTTCGAAGCAGCGGCAGCGGCGACGGCTACGGCGGTGGCGGCGGCGGGCACCGCAGCGAGAGTTTGCGTTTGGCTTCAATTGGCGGCGCGCGCGTCCCTATGATACTTGCGAAACTGCTCGAGTCAACTTCACGCCGCAGCGGGCGCTCCGTTTTGTATATTGTATATACAGCATTGAAACTTCTATTTGGGCCCGCCGCGGGGGCCAATGAAAAGCGACCGTACAGCGGCAAGCATATTAGGAAAGTTTCCAGTGAAGTTATACGCGCTAACACCTTCTCCTTCTATAAAATGAAGTCGTGGCACATGGCTCCCTGCGTTTTTCCAAGCCCGTGTGAAGTAAATCGTGTTCGGCGGATGTCGGTTGAGTTTTCGAATGCCTCCCGCTTCTTCGAACTTTCAAACATGACTTGCGTCGGTGTTGTGAATCGACCCATGATAAGAAAGCTTCTTCTTTTTTTTTTACGCTTTTTAGATAAGCTAACGTATAATTTGAATTTTCAAAAAACAAACGTTGGCCATCGAGTTCCAACGGCTATGCATAAAAGCGATGTACACGATGACATCCGCATAGGCATAAATCCTCACGTGACGCGAAAATATATATCCAATAACGCAAACTTTATCATATTTTCGCGCAGCCGCTTTGAAAACATACATACATTATTATAAGGCGGCGGCTATCGCCCGCCCGCAGTTCGGAGTCGTTCATTGTGTGCGTCGTCTCAAGCTCATTAAGCATTTGTAAACTCATACACGACCATTGGCGCAGCAGCACCAGTTTGTGTGTGTGTCGTATGCGTGTGTTATGTGTATGTGTGTGTGCGCCAAGCCTTCAAGCCTTTCTATAATGGAGCTTTGAAGCGGCTCTGCGCGTATACGCATACGAGGCGAGCTTGCGGAGACTTCCATTATCGTCGTTCGAAGATTACGTTCTTTGTTCAGCACGTAGTCAATTAGCTGATTGACAATTAATGACATTTCCTGTATATTCCTAACTGTAAATGAAAGCTAGATCGGAGTAAAAAATTTGACTGTAAGCGATACTCGATTGACGGAGCACGGTACGTTGCAATTTTTTTTTTGTCACACTCTTTCCCGCTGTAAAGCTGCACACCGTGTGCGCGGATCGCGCAAAAGCATCGATTCCATTCAGAATCGCGTATACCCACGCACGCACACAATCGCACAGCGATCCAAGTATGTGTGCGCGATACGACATTGTGTGCGTGTATCACTGCACACATTATACATATCGTCCGCGCAGTAACGATACGATATAGTGTATAATATCTCTATATCTCTGTCTTACCCTCTCTCTCTCTCTCTCTCCTCCTCTGCTGTATGTATGTGCACTCGCGACGGAGCGAGAGAGAGACCACTGACGCACGCACACACGCAAAGATTAGTTATCCAACAAAACATTGCGCGATAATTATCATAAGGAGCTGCGGTCGCTCGCGCACGATACAGCTGTCATTTAGAGACACATCTTATTAAAGTGTGGTAGTACAGTGCTCTGCGCTGCTGCTGCTGCGAGGAACATCGATATACATATTATTGTGTGTGGGCTGTGTCAGTGCTTTGACAGTTTCGAGGCGAGGACTCGTTGCTGCTGCTGCTGCTGGGCGCTTGGGAGAGACTCCGAGGCGGCTAGCTCCTCACCGCACTCCGATCGCATATCACCTTCTTCGCAATATGGTAGACTTGGATTTTATCGCACTATCGTCGATATTATTTTCATGTTTCGAGCACGATCCTGTCCTCCCGTTTAGCACGCGATCGAGCTCGGGCTTTATCCGTTGATTTTCCTTTATCGCGTTCGAGTATGACTTATTGAATATTTTCTCTATGCCTTTGGACGTTTCACCTTCGTTCATATATATAATCTATACATGTATATAGCGCATATGTACTAGGTATACTACTTGTGCAGTTATACATGTATATCTATTGTTATGCATCAATTGTGTCCAGTGAGTCAGCTGAACGAGAATTTTTTCCATTTTTAATGTTGCATTATATGCGTAATACCAAGATTCACTTGAATTTCTCAAAAATATGATGCATCCCAATATTGAAACAATACTTAAAATATTCATAGAGAGAGTATATTAATTCGTTTAGAAAAAACGTATAAATTATTTGCAAGTATCGTAGAAAGATATTCTTTTACCTTGGTTTTGCAGTTACAAACTTTCTTAACGAGTATATTTTATATTTTGCGCAGTCACAACACACGCCAGCAACAACAGACACTTCTGCTGCAGAAGAAGGCGCAATGAGTCTACCTGTGGCTCATCCTACTTGTTCTACAACAGATAGGCAAGCTAATAGTTCTGTAAATATGGACCATAACAACGAGGTAGCTCAAGAACCACAGATCCCAGCATCTAGGACCCAAAATGTAGTTATAAACATATCGGTAAGTTTTATTCTTAGTTCATTTGTGTCTCAACATTATTAATATTTACGTGATAATCAATTTTATAATCTTTAAACTCATTATAGGAAGCAACTGAAGAAATACCTCCACCAAAACCAGATTACTCAGCCCCTCCACCGTACGAAGTAGTTACAAAATTACCCAGTTACGAGGAAGTACAACGTGAGAAAACTTTACAGGGAGAACCAATACCAACAACAATTTTACCCCAAGTACACATAGTAAGTGGTATAGATAATATTTAGACCCTCAGAATTGAATAGGTGGAATAAATGTTTACTTCATTCATTGTAGCCTAGTAGTGTAAGACCTTCACAGCAACCATTAGCAATATTGGCCATAGACACAGATGGTGTTGATGGTGATCCTGAAAGTGGAATGTTAGGCACTGACTTTATGTTTTTCACTGCTTTCTTGGGTAAGTTCTTCTACGAGAAACATAAAAAAAGTAAAAGTTTTGAAATTAATTTTTCATTTTCAATTTACAGTTGCATTTTTATTCAATTGGATTGGTTTCCTGTTACTCATGTGCTTTTGCCACACAATTGCATCTCGTTATGGAGCATTGTCTGGTTTTGGTCTTTCCCTTACAAAATGGACTCTTATTGTTAAACATTCGACTGATTTAGCATCTCGAGAAAATTCTTGGCTGTGGTGGTTAATTATGGCATTTGGTAAATAATTTAAAAATATTTATACCTAAAATGAGTTCAAGAAAGTTGTTCTAACAAAGTTGGAAATATGTCATGCAAACTTTTATGAATACAATTATCCATGGAGTTTTTACAGCTCATTTATTACTTATGCAAATATTTTTCTAGGTATATTGATCTGCGTCCGTGCCATTATTCAATACCTGAATATTAAACGAGGATGGCGGTTATTATCTGGCAGTGCTCAAGAACGTCTGCTTTTTTATTATTAGTTGTTCATGAAGTGAGGAGTTTTTTTTCCCGGATGAAATATGCGTTGCGATAAGACTATATTGTATGCAGTCAAAAGTCAGGTGTGACAAATATGAGGTAATTTGATTACCAAGAACACATCTTACATTTTCTAGAAAAATTTTGTGATTTTTAGATTTTATTAAGAAAATGAAAACCGCACATTAAAATTATTTGGAAAATCATATAATCTTTCAAATAACATTTACATCCAGTTATTGTCAATTTTTGCGTCAATGTTAGATTTATATCTCTACCATATATAATTATTATTTTAGATAACAAATATAATGTATACATTACAAAACTATGAAATTATGAATATTTGTAAATATTTTTACAATTGGTTTAACAGCAATTGAATGTTCTTTGTTAATTATTTTATATAAATCAAATGGAATGAGCGACAAGCAGAAAGTAAATATTAAAATCAATTTCGAAACTTTCAAAACGTCAAAAATACATGACAAACACGAAAAAATTCTGTTGAATGGTAATGGCAAAGTGTTATTTTAATGAGCAATCAAACAAAAAGTATTCTTTGAATCTATAAAAATGTCAAACATCCTTTGTAAGTTAAAAGATATTAAAGGCTTTCTAGCAAGTTTTATTTTATGTAATGCTTTGCACTCATAAATTGCCTTCGTAATGTAAGGTGATATTTTATTTTTACTCTACAATAATTTACTTTTTCAAATAACACCGAAAATTCACTTAATTTAACTGATCAAATCAATCAAATATGTAATAATTGTAGTCAGTATTGTAATTGAAAACGTTTCAATGAATTTGGAAAATCGTACGTTTCGCTCGAGTTTTGTTTAAAAAATTATACTAACATAAAATTAATTAGTGTAAGTTTAGCATGTACACAGTACCTATATTATATCCTTTTTTTTCTGAAACCTGTAAAGTATTGATTTTATAATTACGTCTTTCAAATTGTACAAGTTAAAAATATTTTATGTAAATAAATCTCGACATATTTAGTAAGAGTGTTCATTTTTTTAATGTAAAACTTCTTATTTATATTCAAAATCGTGGTAGCAATTCCCGCGCTGTGATTGGCCGACGCTCTCGATTCTCGAATGCCGCCGACTTGCTGACTCTCAGTTCACTAGCCGCGCTGTGCTTGTTCGTGCGCGTTATTCAGTGGCATCGCGAACAAACGAAGATCGCATTGACTACATCAAGTGACTCCTGCAAAAAAGTGAAAAAGTAATTTACACTTTTACAGTGACTGTTTATTGTGTTCGAGTGCGTAATTAAGATGTCCGACAACGAAGTCTCTGACATCGAAAACTTGAAAAAGTTGAAAAAATTACGAGATGAACTCGATTGGGAGAGCGAAGAAATGCTTCATTGCTTTGTCAGCGATTTTATTTTGCTGCTTCGAATCAACGAACCGAACGAACTACGTCCGAATCTCCTAGACATCTTTCGAAAGGAAGAAATTGAGAAGATTATTACGGATACCATATTATTCTCATTCCATGATCGTCGATGCCAAATAATCATCGAGTACATGATTCGTACCGGCTACAAGGATGAACCCGAAGCCGATGAAGACGGCAAGTTATTGACGCATCACACCACACCATTGCATCAGGAGGCTCACCTCATAGACTCCAGCAGCGATATCGTTTTCAAGCTTTTTAAAATCTACGACAGGTTCGATGTGAACTACCTCGAAGAGAAGACTGGCACGACACATTTTCATGTGGCCTGCGACTTCGGCTTCGAGGAGGTCGTTCAAAAGTTCCTCGAGCACGGACAGGATCCCAATATTCTGGAAAAAGCAGGCTATTCGCCTCTGCACTTGGCGGTTGGAAGTTGTCATGGGTCGGTGACTCGTTTGCTGCTGAAATACAGAGCAGATCCGAATATGCCTAACGATGAAGGATCGACACCTCTTCACATGATTTCCGAAGGAATCGAAGATGACGATTTAATGAAGCTATTCTTCGACGTCAACGATGAACTCAATCAGGAAGTGCAGGTCGACGCACGAGACAAAAGTGGTGACACAGCGTTGCACTTATCAGTGCAATGTAACAATAGAAACTTTATGGAATTGCTGCTAAGAAGACGTGCCAATCCCAATGTGTGTAATAACAAATTACTTACACCTCTGCACTTGATATGCTGCCAGAGACAAGACGATGGTGGCTTGGCCGAGCTTTTCTTCAATATAAACGATGACATTCAACAGACGGTGCGAATCAATGCCCTCGACAAGTTGGGTCGGACGCCGCTTCAATTGGCAGTTGCGAGTTTCTTGCCGAATACCGTCGATATACTATTGAATCGTGGTGCTGATCTGTCGAGCTTCGTTTTTCCCACTTCGAGATTTTTTGGCGCGGGATCTTACCCGATGAATTTGCCGAGTGTTAATTTTAAGCTGCGACTAGCGTCTGGGGCTTTGCCCACCGTCGAACGTCTTGAGAACAGAGGATATGAGCTGGGCCGAAGCGACGCCCTGACGGTCATGAAATTTTTCGTCAAGCACGGATTCTTCGAGAAATCAGCGGATCTCGAAAAATGTTACGACGACGCAAAGTTCATTGATCCAGCGAAAGAGCTATTGATACGTCCGGGACTGTCGCTCTACGATGTGATCCGGTTACGACCCGCAGAGGTGGCGGAACAACTCACCTACAAGGATTACTACGATTTCGAGAATAACAGTGATTTCTGGAGGCTGCCCAAGAAGTTTAAGCAAGCCTGTGTCGAGCATTTGAGCGAGAAACTATCGAGAGGGTTTTTTCGACGATGGGCGCTGGATTCTTTCTTGGAGCTGACGCGCCAACGGCTGCCGATTCTATGCTGCGACATCATCATCGACAAGCTAAGGAACGACGACTTGAGTCGTATTTGCGAGGCGGCAACGAGTCGTCGAGCTCGTCGTATCCATAAGAATGTATGAAGTTTTTTTTTCAAATATGTTATGTGTCATATTCCATTTTGCAAGTTTTTTATATTATTTAAATAAAAATGTATTAAAGTAATAAAATGAATTTATTTTTACCCCAATTATTTCACATCAATAATTGAATCATCAATAAAGAGTTGAAAATAAAATAAATAATTGTACCTTTCGGTGATACGATTGATTCGAAGCTCCTATGTGTAGATTGTTCAACTATCGACATTCCGAATTTTGCCGTTCTTCTACTTTGATTTAAAAAAGAAATTTGAATCTGTGTCTCGCTCGCTTTCATGACGCGCTGATGTGGAATGTGCATGTTCAGACCAGTTCGCAGTTCGCACTTCGCGCACAATGCTGCTCGAGTCAGTGTTCGTTACGACGTCGAAGCGTGAACAACGGAAGAGCGCGTCGACCGCAGCAAGTGACTATCGTGAAAAAGAGTGAAAAATAATTTATTACAGTGACTGTTTTGTGTGTCGAGTGCGTAGCAAGATGTCCGAGAACGAAATCGCAGACACCAAAAACTTGCAAAAGTTGAAAGAGTTACGAGATGAGCTCGATTGGGAAGACTTACAAGATCGATACTACTTTGTGAACCCTTTCGATCAACTGCTTCGAATCAACAAACCAGACGAACTACGCCCGAATCTCCTGGACATCTTTCGAAAGAAGAAATCGAGCAACTAATCTATGATTCCATAGATTTTGAAGACGAGGATCCCACTTCTCGTAACGATGACATCATCAAATACGTGGCTCGCACCGGCTACAGGAACGAGCCCGACTTCGACGAAGACGGCAAGCCACTGCTGCGTCGCACCACGGCAATGCACCGCGAGATTTTTCGCACGTTTCCCAGCAGCAATATCCTTCTCGAGCTGTTCAAAATATACGACAGGTTCGACGTGAATTACGTCGACGAGAAGTACGGCTACACGCACTTTCACGCGGCCTGCGAGTTCGGCTGCGAGGAGGTCGTCCGGAGATTCCTTCAACTCGGCCAGGATCCCGATCTGCCCGTGGGATCGACGGGCGACTCGCCTCTACACTTGACTCTGACCGTTAGGTACCCTATACCGCACGAGGGAGTGATGCGATTGCTGCTGAGAAGCGGCGCTAATCCAAATTCAGTGAACAAGGATGGAAAGACACTGCTGCATGTCATTTGCGTAAAAGACGAAGCCAATGATTTGGCGACGATGCTCTTCGAGATCTGCGACGAGAGAAACGAGCCGGTGCGAGTGAACGCCCGGGACAAGACGGGTCGTACGCCGCTTCACTTGGCCATCGAGAATTATCGAATAGACATGATCGAGCTGCTGCTGAGGAGAGGCGCCGAGCCAAATTTGGCCGATGACGAGGGGTCGACTCCTCTGCACGTTATTTGCGATAGTGCGGAATTTTTTGAAGATTTTTTGACAAAGACGTACTTCGATATCAACGACGAATTGCATCAGCAGGTGCAAGTCGATGCAAAGGACGAGTTAGGCCGTACACCGCTTCAATTGGCCGTGGCTACTCTCCAGCCAGAATTGGTGGATCTACTCTTGGATCGTGGCGCGGATCTGTCTAAGTTCGTTTTGCTTACCGAGTATCATTACTTTAAAGCGACGTCGAAATCGCCGAGCATTGGTGTTAATAATCAATTGAGAATAGCGTCTGGCGCTCTGATCACGATCCAACTTCTTGAGAAAAGAGGATTCGAATGGGACCGAAGCGACGTCACGATGATAATGAAATTATTCGCCAATTACGAATTGTTCGAGAAATCAGCGGATCGTGAAAAATGTCGGGACGAAGACGAGGATTTCGTGAACAAAGCGAAAGAAATAACGACGAGAGACGACGATTCGTGCCAGCTGTCGCTCTACGACCTGATCCAGTTACGGCCCGACGAGGCGCTAAAGGTATTCGCGTACGCGGACTACCTCGAGTTCGCGCGTTCCCAGAAATTGAACGGACTGCCTGAGAGTCATCAAAAGGCTTGTGCCCTGCGTCTGTGCGAGCAACTGTCGAGAGGATTCTTCCGGCGCTGGGCTCTGGATCCTTTCTTGGAGGTGATACGACATCGGCTGCCGTTTCTCTGCTGCGAAATGATCATCGAGTATCTGACGAACGAAGATCTGCGCCACATTTGCTTGGTGGCTGCTGGCCAAAGCTAGTGATGTTGATGAAGTTTGATGTGGTGTTTTTTAATGTTTGATGTTACTCAGTGTAGCACATTTATCCGATCATTTGAATAAATATACATTTATAAAGAAAAAAAATGAGTTCATTAATTTTTTTTATATTCTCATTTTCCGTGTTTTAACTTTATTTCAGTTGTTACGTCCCTTGAAACAGGTCCGAACGTACCTATATGTTGTTGTTATTTTCGCGAATGCAACTGAAGGGGTTAAAAATGAATAAATGTACGAGGTTACAGTAATATTAAAATTTTATTAATCACTCGTTGTTATTTTTACAATAATTAGTCGCTGTGGCTTGTTGGATTGATACAACGAAATGAGCAGGAGGTGCTGGGCCCGCACCACCGCCAAGTTGAACTGGTCTTGCCGTTCCATTGATTTTGAATAAGAGTAGATTAAGTCACATAAGCACAATAGTAAACGACATTATTGTCCATATAAAATAAATACCAAAATAAAGAAAATTGTTTACCCTTTTCAATGGAGTACCAAAATTTGTGATAAGAGATAACCATTATGGATAATTTTCGTTGAAAATGGCTTGAGAAAAAATTTTTTTTTCGAATATAGATAAAAAAAAATTTAATGGAAAGCTAATTTTTTTCGACAACGTCTGCACACATTACGTGCATAAAAGATCTCATCGATTTTCCGAAATAATTCGTTTTTTCCAACATAAAAAATTTTTTTTCGCTACAACGACGTTATCCTTAAGACTCCCTTAGCAACGGCGGCCCACACTGGACTACTTCCCCTCATGCGTCTCTTTCAAATTATTCCAATACAACTGAGGTGGTTTTGTTGAAAAGTCGCGACATGTTACGATTGCTGCAGAAGCTGCCTTTGGGGGCATCCACAAATGACGTCATCACTTTGAGGGGGGGGAGGGGTTCACCAATAATGACACTTGATGACAGGGGGGGTCCGGGGGGGTCTGTCAACTATGACGTCATAAATATTCACGCACAATTATGATTTTAGCAGCGCGAAAAAAGAAATTTTCAGCCGTTGCACATAGCAAGAAATGCGATTTTCATGCTAGTTGTATGCGCAATCATATCCTGCTATGAATAGCGAAAAAATAAGTTCTCATGCAAGTGATTAGTAGCCTCAGTTTCGTCTCGACCATAGTTGCGCATCCTTTTTTAGCTTTTCGTAGTCCAATACAGTAATATTACGGTTCAAGTTTTAACCCTTTGACGCCCAAAATGACCAAAATTGGACAACATTTATAGCGATGAATTGCACCAACTAAAAATGGTTTAAAAAACTTTTCAGATATCATTTCTTACGTAAAATTGAATGTACTTTTCGAATTCAAAGTCAGAATTTTCAAAAATTTATTAAATTAAAAGTTATAAACAATTTTGTAGAAAAAGAACATGAAATTTCGAGAAAAAAATTTCGTTTAACTCAAATTTCAACTCGGAAAGAAGGTTCGCTCGTGCGTCTCACGCATATAAATTTGGTCAATGACATGTATACTTTATTGTAAAATATTTATAATTACGAAATTCAAAATGGCGATCATAAATTTGACTCCCGAAGCCCTGTATGTCATAAAATGATTTCGACAATTTTTAACTCGATAACCATCAACTTTACGAGAAAAAGTTGTAGAGTAAAGAGTGTTTGGAATTGATCAAAGAACATGCCTGATTTTTTTCAGAATTTTTTTTAGTGAATTTTGGATTTTTGAAAAAATGGGTGCTATCCAAAAATCCAAAAATCGTTCCGAAAATTCTAAAAAAAATTATGCGTGTTTATTGATCAATTCTAAACGCTTTTTGTTCGATAAATTTTTCTCGTAAAGTTGATAATTATCGAGTTAAAAATTCTTGAATGTACGGTTTCATTTGTGATTTTTGATTCCGGCTGAGAATAATTGTGTTTTTTTCATTTTAGGGGGGGTATCTAATTGAACAATGATGTCATTCTTAGGGGGGGAGGTTTCTAATTATGACACCCTATGACAAGAGGGGGGGTGGGGGTCTAAAAGCAGCTTTTTTTGCATGACGTCATTTATGGATGCCCCCTTTCGTTAGTTTTAAACGTTATAGCCCAATTTTAATATTATAGCGAACAAATGCGGTGATTCAACGATAAGGCGACTCACTAAATGTCGGTATATGGTACATGTGTCAACCAATGCAGAAGCTGTTTGTCAATATTATTTTCTTCTATTCAACCTTGTGATACTTGAAGCGTTTGATTATAATTTTTAAGTAAAATCATGAAATCATCCACACGTACGATAATGAACACAAATTTTAATATAAAATATTTACAGATGCTCAAACACGAATAAAACACATATGTATTCAGGTCTGCAACAAGATAGCGACACCAGCCAGCGTCCACTTCTGGGGCTTGTCCTTGGTCTTGAGATTGAAGGTCCAGACGTAGGTGGGCCCACGAGCCCTCGTCCGATATACCGGACAGTCGTACATGTTCTTCATCTCGGCCTTGTCCTGGGTGATGGCCTTGATGTACATGACCGGCATCTGGGGGAAGAGCTCCTTGAGGCGCGAGTCGGCGATGAAGCCCGAGGCCGTGTCCCAGCGCGCGCCCTCCATGAACAGGCCGCTTATGTAGGCACCCTCGCGCGGCGGACCACTATACGAATCGAGTAAGGAGTAGTTTATACTCGGGATGGACAAAAATCGAGGGGCATTGAAAGATGTATTTACGTGAATTCGTTCTTTTGCTTCTTGGTGACGTCGCAGTAGAGGCACATCTTGTCCAGAGGCCACTCGTTTTTACGGGCCGTTTGTTGCATGATGGCCGTGAGGAAGGATTGCGGATTGAAGAAACCGGATAGCCAGACGGTTGCAGGTAGCTGCGAAAATTCGAGTTAATTCGCAGTCGATAACGGCGCGCCTCGTCGATTATAAAAGAAATCAACTCACGTTGAAGTCGGAGGTCCAGTTCTGCAGCTCGGTGTAACGAACCTGCAGATCGGCTATCCAATTGGTGAGGCTCAGACTGGACGGATAGGCCAACTTCGTCCAGGACGGGGGCACCGCGTCCATGAACAGGTAGTTCTCCAAGTCCTCCATGTCCGCGTTGATCGTCAGTTCACCCTTCAGACCGAGCTCGAGCTCCGTGAGCGAACGCCTCAGTTCTCTCGAGAGTATGTTCATCCTCTCGCACTCTTGGAAAGCCACGATCACGTAGGGCGTCAAGTCTTCGACCTGGTATGAGCGAGCAAAAAAAAAAAAAAAAAATTAGAGATAATCTCGATCGATGCGCTCGCGCGAGATATTGCAAAAGTTGCTCACTTTGGACATGAGGTCGGGAACGTTGAACTCCTCGGGGCACTTGTCGAGCGTGTCCTCGATGATCGAGCGGACCTTCTCTTCGCGCGACATGCCGAGGCCGGCCGACTCGCCCGCGTTCTTCGGCTGCATCTCCAGCACGGTGCGGAACAGATTTTCCGACGTGACGGTCAAGAAACCTGATAAAAAAATAATAATAATAATGACGTTCGAGGGTCGTTTGTTTTATATCTTCTCGCCGCTTACCGATCTCGGCATTGGGATGAAGGCCGTAGAGCACCGGACTCTCGGCGGGTATGTGATTGTCGATGTACTCGTGATAGGCCTGGTAGTCGCTGTTGGGCGGCGCCTGGAAGCCCGGGGCGAACTGCATGTCGGCCTCCACGAGCTCCGGCCTCAGGTACTCGAGCAGATAGGTGCGGCTCAATCGGCGATCCCAGTCGTCGGTGATGTGGCCGCCGTACATGATCTCGCCGAAGAGATAGCGCAGATCCTCCCAGGGCACCTTGGTGTTGCTCTCGAGATAGTTCTGCAGGACCATGGCGCTGATCGTCAGGTCGCCGAAGTTGAACGGATAGACGCGGTTCCAGCCCTGGGGGCCGAATCGACGCCTCTCCTGCACCACGGCGTGGAAGTAGCACAGCCCGAAGAGGATGGCTTTGAACTCGGTCTCCTTGGAGCAGGACTCGAGAGTGTCCTGGGTGAAGTTGTCCAGGGCCTTGTGTATGTTCGACTGCATGCCCGTCGGCGGCTCGTTCGTGATCTTGATCGCGGACTCGAGGATGCCCTGGGGTATGACGGACTCGTGCGGATCGGCGCTCGCCTCGGCGCTGATGAACAGCCGATAGTCCTCGTGCGGATCCTCCGAGAGCTGCTCGAGCTTCTTCTCGAGGCTGCTGAGCCAGCTGCGCACCAGATGGACGTTCTGCAGGATGACCCAGTGGCCGTCGCTGGCCGACAGGTCCATCGCGGACTCGGCCACAGGCTCCTGGCCCTGACCCAGCGACACGTTGTGGAACTTGCCGTTCTCCACGGTGAAGTGCATCTCGCGGCCGAGCTTCTCCACGTCCTTGAGTGGATCGACGCCCGGCGAGAGGATGAAGAAGACCGGAGTGATGGCGCTCGTCTCCTCGAAGGACTTTTTGAAGGGCATGGAGCGAGACTCGACGAATTTCGGGCCCAGTTCCGCTTCCACGAAGGTCCTGCGCGTCGACATTTTTAGATATAGTTTTTTTTTTGCACTCTAAACATTAATCAAACGCATTACTTGACGGCGTAGGTCATGCGATCCAGCCGGAAGCATCTGATCATGCAGAGCTTCTGGAAGGCCGACTTGCTCTTCCACTCCTGGGGCAGTTTCTCCTGCTCCGGCTTCTCGGACTCGATGAATTTTTTCCATCTCTTGGCCGCGCCCTCGATGTCCTTGTCGAGATTCGTGAACTCGGCCATGTTGCTCAGGAACTTCACCCCGGCCCAGCTCATGTCCGACAGAAAATCGATGGGACTGACGATGTTGGGATCGACCGGATAGCGCAGGAGAAAATCGACTTCCGGTCGTTCGATGCCGCCCGATTGTAAGAGTACCTGACGAGAGAACGCATATATAGTTGAACGTGTGCTTCATTGGGAAATGTAGAAGTGATAAAATTACCTGAATGGCCATTTGACACAAGAAGGTGAGTTTGTCGGCTTCGAAGAGGCCTCGGCTGGTGTAGACGAACACCAAGTACGTTATGCTGTCGATCAGATTTTCTATGCGTTTGTCGATTTTGTCGGCTTTGACGGCGAACCTTGACGATAAAAAGTTCTTTCAATTACGTATATCTCGAAACAATTCGTTACGAATATAAAATTTACCTAATGGCATTCTGGAAAACCACCGTGAAGGCCTTCAACGAAAACTGATAGAGCATATTGATCTTGCAGAGATCGTTGAGAATGAAGTAGAGCAGACTGGCCCGCCTCGAGGCCGGTCTGTAAAGCTCTCGCGCCTCGTCGATCTTGGCCGAGGTGATCTTGGCCTCGGCCACCTTGATCTGTATCTCCGCCGCCGTACGCTTGGTGTTCTCCAAATTCTCCACGAGGGCGACGTCGCTCAGCACGTTGGGCCCGGCCGACGACAGCCTCTGCAGCAGATCGTCCTCGAGCTTCTTCAGGGTGATCTTGAAGGTGTTCTGCTGCTTGGTGAGCTCGGACTTGGTGGCCTCGAGATCGGGTCGCTCGGCTTTCACCACCTCGCCGAGAAGCTGCTCCTCCAGGCCGTCCTGGGTCACGGTGAAATTGATCAGGGTCGTCTGTGCCTGGATCTCGGGCTTGTAGTGAGGATTGGCGAGCTTCGTTTGGAGGATCAGACGGAATTGGGGATTGTAGTCGATCTCCTTGTCGCCGATCTTTATCATACTGTGATACGATTTTTTTATGTCGATCGTTCGATGTTTTTTTTTTTTTAGATAAGAGACGACGATACGCACGTTCCCTTCTTGATGAGCACCCTGCCGAGAATCGGATCGAGCACCGCGTCGATGCTCTCCATTATATTCTCCAACAACACGATATCTCCGTTCATAATGGCGAACTCGATCTGATCGAGATAATTTCTGTGCGTCAGCCTCAGGATCTTCAGATCCTCGCCGTACTTGTTCTTGATCCACTTGATGCCCTGCAGCTGTGGATCGATCATCAGCGGCCAACGCGTCGAGTTGGTCAGTATCGTGGCGTTCTCCGCGGACATCCGATCCGTGGGCAGACCCTCGTTGTTCCACTGGGCGATCTGAGTGTCGTCCGTCAGCATGCCCAGCGGGTCGAGATCCTCCGAGCGCGGTATCTGCACCTCGAGATTGTTCAGGAACGGGATCCAGTGGACGTTGAGCAGGTCGACCCGATACTTGCGCGAGAAGCAGCCGACGTAGGAGATGAAGGCCGTGACGAGGAGGATGTCGCCGGTGATTTTGATGCCTGACTCTTTCAGGCTGCGCGACGAGGGGAATTGTGAGTGTGCGAAACGAGAGAAAAAGAGAGAAATCGAGAGAAAAGTGCGTACTATTCGACGGTTTCGGCCCAGCGAACTTTTTCCGAGCCAAGACCGTTGACGAGTCGATTGGCCAGGTCGATGGCCGTCTCGGTGGCGTCGGCCTCGGCTTGGCACTTTTGCTTCTCGGTCATCGCGATCTCCATCTTCTCGCTCAGAGCGTCCAGTACTTTTTGCAATTCCTACCCGAAAAACCGTTTCATACATCACGATCCATTCTCGCGCAATAAACATCATTTTATTTGTTGTAATTACGGCCAGTCGTGCGCGCAGCGACGTGAGCTTCTCCATGGCGGCCTTGAGCTCGGCGTTGGCCGCCGCCAGGGCCTGCCTCAGCGGCCTGACCTCCTCGTTGATGTAGTAGAAGGCCACGATATTGAGCACCCAGCTGCACAGGCCCGAGGCCGCCTGCGACTTGGTCATGATCAGCTCGGGATCGAAGCCCTTGTCCTTGATGTACGGCTGCAGGGCCTTCATCACGTCCGGATGGATGTTCTCCTTGTTGTAGGTCCTCAGCGCGTTGAGGAACTGATCGGCACCGCCCATCATGACCTTGCAGGCCTTCCAGCTGCGGTCCTTGGGCACCTTGCCCTTGGGCGAGAACAGCACCAGGACGGCCTCGACGACCTTGGCTACGGCTTCGGGTGGAGAGGTGAACGCCTTCAGCTCGGTGAGGTTGTTCTGCGCGAGCGATGAAATAAGGTTGAAATTTCAAAGATCGAACGTTGACTCGATATTTCGGCGGAAATGTCGTACCTTGTTCAATGTGTTGAGAGCCTCCTCGGCTTTACGCACGGCTGGCTCAGCCTTTGCCAAATCTTCGTCGCATTTCTTCTGCTTCTGCGCGACGCTCTCCTTGATGTCGGCGACCTTTTCCTCCTCGCCGCTTACTGTATGCGCGCGAAAAATTAATCAAATGAATTTATAACATTTGTACAATAAGTTACCGAAAGCCTTTTCCACTTCGGCCTTTGTATTCTCCGCGGTGACTTCGGCCAATATCTTGTCCGCCACCTCGTTCTTCTTCTTCAGTTCGACCTCTTGCACGGCCAGCGTCACTTTCAACTCGTCCACCTACGCACGCGATCGTCAAAGTATATCGCAAAAAAGGCTCCACGTAATTGATACCAAACGAGATATGCAGACCTGTCCAGCGCACGACTCGAGCTTCTCCAGACCGTTGACCAAACGCTCGATCATGGACTTCAAGTTGTGCGTCTTGTTGTTCAGCAGCTTCGAGTAGAGATTGATCTGCTCGAGGAACGACTTGGGCGTCGTGTAATTGTAGCGGCGCTCGTTTTGGAGATAGAGCTTGGAGGTGTCGTTGACGACCGAGTGCACGAACGACATGAAGAGGGATACGGACGGGCGAAACTCTTCGGGTAAAACTTCGAGTTCCTGATTAGAAAAGAGAAAAACGTTTCGATAAAACATCGAACGATTTTATAATCGCAGCCCCTACGGAAATCGTTCGCCACACTAAGTCTTTAGAAACTCTTAAAGACTCTTAAAAACTCTTTAAAAGTCTGAATGAGTATTTAAAATTCTTATAAATGTCCGAATTTCGTACCATAATTTCAAAATTTAATAAAACTTTATAAGAGTTTCAATTAATATGAAATTTTTTTATAAATTTATGTGAAATCTGATATTAGGTTTCTAAAATGTTCAGAAAAAAAATTTTGAAAATTTTACAAGTAATATTAATTGTTTTAAAGAGTTATAAAGAGTTTTGAAAAATTATCGAGTGTTTTTAAGAGTTTTTAATAGTTTTAAAAACGTTTTGGATTGATCAACGCTCACCAAAAATCATGGTGAAAAAACTATGAGGGCAACCACATGAATAGTACATAAAAAAAATTAAATGAAAAAAAAACTTAGAACTTTTGCCACAAAATCGAGTTTCCACAAGGTTTTATGAATTTTTAAAACCCCTTATTAACTCTTTAAAATGATTAATCAGGACTTTTTAAGACTTTATAAAACTTTATCACGAGAAAAATTTCCGTCGGGGAGCGAATCGTGAATTTTTCTCACCTCGAGAAATCTCGCCGACACCGACTCCAGAGCCTCCCGAGGCCAGTCTTGGAACCAATTGATGGACGTGCAATTGACTAGGGCCGGGAACTGTCGTGCTCTCTTTCTCAGCGTGTCGCCCACCGGCGAGAAGCACAGCACGCACTTGAGCTGCTTCCGCACCTTGTCGATGAAGAACTTCCAGCAGTTCTCCCTAGTGTCCAGTATCCCCGCCTGCTTCACCTCGTTCTTCATGGCGTTGATAATGTTCTCGACCTGATCGTCGGGAAACAGATCGGCGATGTCGCCCGAGGCCAGCATGTCGTTCACCACCACGAGGAAGTGCTCCTGGGCCACCTGCGAGTCCGTCATGAGGAAAGTGATGCCGAGATTCTTCAGGCCCGCCTTGACGTACAGCAGACTGATGTCGGCCTTCAGATCGTTGATCGAGTAGCCTTTCCTGAGTTGGACTTGGAAGACCTCGAGCGAGGAGATGAACGAGGCGAGCCGCGACAGCGACTGCTTGCCCATGCCGCCGACGCCGATGAGCAGCGCGTTGCCCCTGGGCGCCTCGAGGATGCGATTTATCCGACAGACGTGATACATGGCGTCCTCGAACATCACAAGATTCATGGCCGAGACGAGCTCGTTGTAATTGAGCAGCGCGTCGTTGAGTATCTTGTCGAGATGCGGCCAGTCGAGGATGGGCATGTACTTGGCGTCGCCCGCCGCCTCGGCGAAGTGGCAGAACACCACGGGCTCGACGAAGGCCTGATCCTCGTCGAATATCTGTACGTTCTTCTTCATGGCGTCGCGCAGCAGCGAGTCGAACTCGTCCTTGTCCACGGCGTCGACCAGCTTGTCGGCGTAGACGCGCGTCGCCTCGTGTATGTACAACCGACAGAACGTCAGCTCGTTGGGGATCGTGGCCCCGATCGAGAACAGCAGACCCTGAAAGATGTTGGACAGATCGCGCAGATTGAAGATGTAGTGAAACTTGACGGCTGTGGGCAGGAACGTCGTGGAGATCTTGTCGTGCAGGTAGACCGCGGCGTCGACGATCTGGGGGGCCATCTTCGCCACGTTGGGCTGGATCTTGTGCAGAGCGTTGCCGACGTGCTGCTCGAGAATCTGACTGTAGATAGTGACGAGGGTCTGCTTCTCGGGGAAGCTGACGGCGAACGCGGCGAAGTGACGCTGCAGTCGGCTGTCGATGGTGAACGAGCCCGCCGTCGGGTTCATGCACGAGACGAACTGCACGTTGTGTATGTCCTTGAGGGTGAACTTGGCCCGATCGTACCAGTGGCCGTAGTCGATGTACTGGCGTATGATCGTGTGGGCGCCTACTGTGCCGTAGGTGTCGACCTCGGGCATGTTCAGATCGTCGATGAAGTAGACGAGCGACTTGGAGCCGGGCGGGCCGAAATTGCGGCCGGCTTTTTTTTCCAGCGGTCTCTCCAGTGCTTTCTGGAGCATCTCCGAGCTCGTGTAGTAATTGAACGGTACGTTGGCGACGTTGTAATCGAGCGACAGACTCGACAGCTTGTCCGCGACGATGACGCTCTTGCCCGAGCCCGCCGAGCCGATCAACATGCACGGCTTCTTCCTGGCCATCAGCATGTCCATGAAGAAGCGGATTCGCACCGTCTCGCTCGTAGGCACCAGGGTGGCCTGCAGCGGTATGTCCGTGTCCAGGAAGAATTTTTCCACCTTCTCCTGCCAGGGCACGAGATTGCTCGTCTCCGGATCGATGAAGTAGTTGAAGACGTTGCCGCCCGCCGGGAAACGAACGGCCTTGAACTCGGCGATCCACCACTTGCTGAACTCGTTGCGCCAGTCGACGAGCTGGTCCTGGAACAGGGCCGAGCCGAAGCCCCAGATGCAGGCGAACGCGAAGTACAGCTCGTACCACTCCTTGGGGCTGCCCGTGGGCACCGTTTCTTTGGTCAGGAAGCAGTCGAGCAGATTGCAGACCATCTCGAGATGGCAGATGTCCGGGATCGGGGTGATCTTTTTGAATTTCGTCTTGACGGCGTCGAGCAGAGGCGGTATGTATTTTTCGAAGAGCAGGAAGAGGGTGTCGCGCTCGCTTGGCTCGCGATTGTCGATCCACGATTGGATGAAGCTGAAAAGTCGAGGATGACGATTGGGTGACGTTCGAGAGATTTTGGGGACGAGAGTCGAGAAAGCGAAAATGACTTACGGACTCCAGCCCAAGTCTTGCGGATTGATGTATAAGATTCCAGCTCTGGAGACGGTGGCTGGAGTGGCGGTTCTGCGAAAGAAACGACCATAGAGCGAACTCGTTTTGAATAACGAAGAGGGTGCATGAAATTGGCAATTGAAAGTTTTATTTGAGGAATTGTTTCATTTTTGGAAATCAAGCAATTTGAAGGAAAATATCGTGATAGCAGATATCGTTTACCCTATTTATACTAGTTGGAAATTGTTTTGCTACTTGCGAGTTTACGATACTCCATCTGTCGATGGAATCGAAAAGCTCACCATCAAAAGTGACACCTTTGATAAATCTCGTTACTTTACTAAACGAATTCTGAAATCTTAATTATTACATTTTCCTTCAAAAATATAACTCTTTCTACAAAAAAAGTCGCATATAATATGTTTTAATGTAAAAAAGACTCCTGTCCGTAATATTTTCTACTATTCTTACGATATCATCTCGCTCGCTCATTTTTCGCGGAAAGTTTCATGTATAAAATATACAGTTATCGTTGATTACCGTAGATTGGAGATTTCAAAGATGAGCCTCATCTGCTTGGTGAGGGCGATGCGCTCGTTACTGGCCAGCGTCAGCACTTTGTTGTCGTCCATCACCGTGTTGAGCGACTCGATCCACATGGGATCGATGTCGCCGTCGAAGATGATCCACTTGGGCCCGTCGCCCTGCAGATTGGCCTGGTCGCGCATCAGCACCGATACCAATCTGGATCAAAAAAATCGCAAATCGAGTCAACGAGGTAATAATCGTTGGATCGTAAAAGTCGCCCATTTACCCGTCCTTCCACTCTCTGGTCATGGGATTGATGACGCCGAATAGCTCGTCGTTGGTCACCGCCTTGGGATTCAGATCGTTGTACATGGGCTTGCGTTTGAGATTGTGATAGGTGCGAAACAGCGTCTTCCAGACTTGGCTCTTGCCGGTGCCGGCGAAGCCGATGATGAACACCGAGTGGCGCACGAACAGCAGCTCCTCCAGCTGCACGACCTTGAGCACGAAGCCCTCCTCGGGCTGCAGCTTGAGATCGAGGGTGGCCTGTCTCACGTCCGCCTCGAACGTCATGTCTCGTTTACGCGGCACGTCCAGTGCGGGGAACAGATCGCCGATCAGGCCCATGAACACGGGCACGTCGTCCGTCACGATCTTGGGCAGATTGAAGTCTCTCAGGGCTCGCATCAACACCTGATCCTCGGGCCTGTTACGGTCGCCGCGCTTGAGCTTGCCCGCCACCACGAGCACGGACTTGATGGCCCTCAAGCCCCAATCGTAGTGGTCCTGCTTGGAAAGCAGCTCGCGGCACAGCGTGTACAGGGTGATGAATTTGCGCGCCAACAGTCGGGCCTCCTGGAAGCCCTCGGCGACCAGCATGATCTCGCAGATGAGCTCGAAATCCGGCACCACCATGGCGCACGGCCTGAACAGTGCCTTGAGATTCTCCGGCAGCTCGGTACGTCCGGCGTAGCCGGGATTCATGGTGATGAACATGCCCACCGACTGGACGAGATTCAGCTCCTGGCCGAAGAACAGGAAGGTCTTGCGGCGCGCCTTGATGCCGTCCAGCACGCACTTGACCTGCACCGCTACGACGGAGAGCACCTCGACGCTGATGCGATTGAACTCGTCGAAGCAGCCCCAGGCGCCCGTTTGGCCCAAGCCCATGTAGATGTTGGCGCAGGACTTGTAGTCCATCTGCTCGGAGCAGTTGAACACGTAGACCATCTGGCCGAGCGCCCTGCCTAGATCCTTGGTGGTCTCGGTCTTGCCCGTGCCCGCGGGTCCCGCCGGTGCCCCACCCATCACCAGATGCAGCGACTGGGTCAGGGTGATGTAGCAGCGATCCGTCAGCGGCGTGATGACGAGACGCGGCGTGTTACCCAGATACTCGTAGCCGTAGGGAAAGCAGGCGTCGCAGATGTTGGCGAAGCAGTCGCCCTGCTTGTCGTCCCACCTGTGGCGCAGCTGCGACTGCCACTGAAAGTCCGCACCCGTCTCGGCCTTCATCGCTATCAGCTTGGCCACCACGTCCCGCGCGTGCACGTCTATCGTGCAAATGGTCATGATCTTCTGGCGATCGTTGTCCGTCAGCTCGCCTATAAGCAGCGTGATCAGCGCCACCAGCTGGGCGATCTGCTTCTTCTGGTAGTCCTTGAGGGCGTTCTCGAAGCCCTCCTCGAGCTGGGCGAAGGCGACGTTGACCTCGCTCGTCCACCAGATCTGCGTGCCGCACAAAGCCGGCTGCGCCTCGTAATCGAATATCCACTCCTCGCGCGGTTTATAGGCGTACGAGTTGACGGCCTGCTTGAAGTGGTGGCGCACGGCGCGTCGCATCGCGTCCGTGATGCGATTCAGCCAGCTCTCGACCTTGCCGTTGCAGTCGCAGGTGCCGTGCATCGGCATCTCCTCGCCGTCCTTGGCGATCAGCGAGACGGCTGACGAGACATTTTTTTTTTGTTTTCGTCATTGAAGTTTACCAGAGGGAGATAAAGTGGGCCTGGTCTTACCGATTTTTGTGTTTCGACCGGCCTCCTGTTTCCACTTGAGATTCGCCACGGAGTCGTAGAGCTTCGACAGGTGTTTGCAAACCTGCTCCGGCATGTTTCCTGCGTAACGATGATCGAAAGTTGTAATCGAAACGAAAGTAATTTATATATTTGGTCTCGATGAGGTCATAGAATAAAAGTACACAATTTTAAGTATTTTAATCAGAACTCATTTTTTTCATTTACGGTCTGTATAGACGAGAAAGTAAATAGCACGAGAGCGACGGTTGATTCAAATTTTGATCGAAATTTTTGTCAATTTTCAAATGCTTCGATCTCCGTCAATTTTAATTGCTTCGAGATAATTTTTTTTTTTTTTTTTATCATTGTATATAATATGAATGGGTTCGAGTCAATATCGAGCTACAAGTAGTATTTGAGCGCAACGCTAAAAATTACTGAACTTCAAACGTGTACTCGTACTTCAGTAATTTGATTGTTAAAATCTAACATACACCATCGCTAAGTACTTTTTTCAACGAGTAATTAAAAAAAAAATAGTTCTCTACGACTTTTTTGTCCTCTGCAGATCGAAACAACTCGATTCATTAGTATTAATTAATTATCTGTCGATGTGTTCCTACCGTTAAATCGACGATTTTTACGAATCTACTTACATTATTTACGGCCATGATAAAAAAAGCATCAATGTACATTGAAAATTCGTAAAAAGAAAAACAATAACAACAATACCGTTGCTGAGAATATCGAGAAGATCGGCGGGCGATATGAAGTAAAACCGCGGATAAACCAGCCTCTTGGTGTCGAGATAATCGGCCAGCGCCTTCTCGCACAGGCTCAGCTGATACTTGATGTCCTCGAGGCTCTCCAACAATCTCGGTTTGTTCGTGCCCTTGACGATGTTCAAGTCCGACGTCATCATTCTCAATAGTTCCTACAGCAGACGAACGACGCGTAAGTATAGAAGATTCGTTCAAAAAACAATTAAAATCATCGAATGTCACCTTGAACTGCCGATCGATCATCTCGAATCTCTTCGAGTCCTCGGGCAGCTGGCTCCTTATGTCCTCGGAGCCCAGAAATATGCTCTCGAGATGGGCCCAGGTCCTCTGCACCTCGAACCAGACGCCGATCACGGCGTCGGCGTTGCTCAGCTTGGCCTGCCAGTCCGACACCTCCTTGAGAAAGAAGCCGATGAACTTGGAGCCGAGCATCGTCTGCAGCTGCACCTGATTCTCCTCCAGCGTGTCGATCACCTCCTCGCTGACCCTCAGTATGTAGAGCTTGGTACGGCTGTGGGTCTCGCGCTCGAACTCCATCGTCGTCCACGTGTTGCCGATCTCCACCAGCATCTTCTCGATGCCCATCTCCTTCACCGCCTTGTCCACGATGTTCTTCACCTCGTCCTCGAACTTGTGCAGTTGGAGCTGCAGCAGCTCCTCGAGGGTCGTGCCGTCGTTCATCGTGAACTTGACCTGTGTTTCGGCCATCAGCTGCTGCCAGTGTCGCTCGCGTATCGCCGGATTCTGCAGCTCCGACACGGCCCTCAACGAGGCCATCATGTTCCTGATCTGGCCCTCGATGTACACGTACAGCTGCCACTGCTTCACCTCCCTGTCCAGCATGCGCAGCTCCTTGGTCAGCTTCTTGCACTCGATGTCGATCGACTCGATGTCCAGCTTCTTCCACTGCGTACTCTTCCACTGTATCAGATTCGACGTGATCACGTTCACGAAATCCCAGAGATTCTTCAGCATCTTCAGCTCGCGCCTCAGCTGCTCCAACTCGGGGAACTCCTCCATGGGCTGCTCGAATATCTCGGCGGTGCGCGCCAGCTCCTGGTGCTCGTCCATCAGCACCTGCACCTGCTCGTTGATGGCGTCGAGCTTGATGTACACGTCGCGGCAGCGATGACTGAAGACCTCCTCCTGGCGGAACTTCTTGGCCAGGCGCTTCTGCCGATAGTCGAACCAGACGAACTTCTTGCGCAGCCAGTCGATCTGCACCGAGAGCAGCGGCGAGACGTACTGCTTGACCTGGGCCGCGAGTTTCTTGATCAGCAGCCAGAATTCGGGCAGGGAGGTGAGCTGCTCGTGCACCGTAGGCTCGAACTCGACTTGGTACTCGTGGAGAAGTTTTATGGTGGCCTTGAGCGGATCGAACATGTCGTCGATCTCGTAGCCCCGATCCCTGACCTCTTTCAGGTAGTATATGGTCTCGAGCAGGCCGTTGTAATCGTCGTCGCCCACCCTGTTGACGAATCGCGTCTGCACCTTCTTCAGGAACTCGCTCAGATCGTCCAGGCTCTTGTGCACGTGATCGATCAGATGCTGCTTCAGCACGTTGGACCACTTGCATATGTTGTTCAGTATATTGTGTTTGAGCGGCCGCACATTGACCCTCATCCACTTGTCGAACACACGCTGATCGTCGATCGCGGAGCATCGCTCGTACAGCTCGACGAAACGGTCGAGCTCGCGCTTGAAGTCGTCGAGTCGCGGCTCCTGATTCGGCAGCGCCTCGATCTCCTCCTCCTCGGACGAGGCGACCAGCTCCTTCTCCTGGTCCGTGAGTACCCGTGCGAAGCGCAGAAAGAGAAGGAGATAGGCGCGACGATCCTCGGTCCAGAGCCACGTGTAGCGCTCGTAGTCGAGGGCGAATTCGCGACAGGCCTCGAGGACGCGCTTGATGCGGCTCAGTGTCTCGTCGAGCATGAGGATTATGCTCTCGTTCTCGGAGCAGTCGATCTGTGCGCGAGGACGCAATTTTTTTTCCCGGAGGAAACGATTATGTTGTGTACCCCCGATGGGAAAAAAAATCGTTCAAGAAAAAGTAAAAGTAGTAACTAAAACCATCGTATTAAATTGTAAAAATGTAATAAGATGTAAAAAATGCAAAAGTACTAGCGATTTCGGACAACCAATGCATTAAAAAAGGCAGCATAAAATCATATTTTTTTACACTTTTTTACATTTTCTTCAATAGGCTATCCGCGTGTGATCGCATCGGCCGCAGCTAGTGATTTTCGTGAAAAAAATGTATTGATTTTTATGAATAAATTAAGACAAATTATGATGGATGTGTACATAAATCAAATTTAGTCATCTCGGTACTCTTCAGTACATCTATGATGATGTTATAAAGCTTCCTGCTGCATTAGAGTGAGCTCACTTTTTTCACGAAAATCACTTGCTACGGTCAATTCGATCACATGCGAGCTTGACTGGAATTTGAAAATCATAAGTAAAAAATTGTAACATTCAAAATTATTATTACAGAATTTTGTGTTCTTTTACACTTTTTTACTTTTTCCATCTAACTTTAATAAGCTTGAACTCCTAGGGTTTTCATTTCTCTAATGAATCGGTAAACAAATGTAATAAACTGTAATAAAAAGTAAAAAAAGTGTAGAAAAACGTATCGCATGTCCGAAATCGTTAGTAATCTTACATTTTTTTACACTTTTTTACTTTTTATCACAGTTCACAACATTATCATGTATTTTTGTTTGTAAAAAAATTTCCGCTGCAGACGTACCGTGTAAAGCCTGCCCTCCTCGTCCTTGAGCGGATCGACCCTCGGCACGAGGGTCGCCTGTCGCATGATGTCCAGCACGATGCTCTCGTACAAGCCGTAGAAGCCGTCCTGGGACTCCTGGTCCATCGGCGGCACGTAGACGATCTTGTGCTCGTTCAGCTGGAGCGTGACCTCGAACAGGGGCTCGATGTCGGCCTCGCGATCCGTCTCGCGCACGATGTACGCGATGCTGGTCTTGACGGCTTCCACCAGCACGCCCGTGACCGTCTCGTCGATCTCGGCGAGATAGGGCAGCCACTTGACTCGGCGGGCGGCCTCGCGCTCCGCTTCGGCCGCGGCCTCCTGCTCGCGGCGCAGTATCTCCGACGGCGAGAGAAGCTCCTCGATCGCCGTTGCGGTGTCCTCTTCCTGGGTGGTAGTGGTCTGACCCGAGATCCGAGATTTTTTCGTCGTCTCGGATTCTCGTCTGCTGTCGGGTGCTGGTGCTGGTGCTGGTGCTGCTACCGATGCTTCTTTTTCTTCGGGTCTGATTCATTAAAAAATGGATGGATATTGTTGTATCGCTTTTGGGATCGATTGTACTCACGCTTCGGCCGCTTCGCCTTCTTCCAGCTCTTCGTTCTCTGTGTGTGGAATTCAAAAAGGTTCAGATACCAAAAATTCGAAAAATTAGATCGTCTTTACCGTCGTTCTCCTTCTCCTCCTCGTCCTTCTTCTCGTCCTCCTCCCCGGCCACCTCTTCGGGCATCAGATCGAAGTACAGCTTGTAATTCTCGTCCAGTATCCGAAACAGCTCTCTGGCGTCCTCGGCGACCACCCCGTACCTCTTCTCGAACGCGTCCTTCCTCTCGTTCACCACCAGCAGCATGTTGGGCCTGTTGTCCCGGCGCGTGATCACCGGCACCGACACCCAGCCCGCGAATCTGCCCTTGATATAAGCGAGATTCGCCTGCGCCTGATCGACCCTCTGCTGCAGACTCCTCGCCATCTCGTGCAGCTCGTCCAGATAGATTTCGCCGATGTCGGGCGTCGCCCAGTTATAGGTATCCTGGGCGTACTGTATCAGCTCGTTGATGGTCGACAGCTCGTCCTCGATCAGCGACTTCTCCGTGGCGGTGGTGACGCGATTCACGTGATTGTACCACTTGGCCACGTTGTCGAGCTTGATCAGAGTCTCGTGGAAGTAGCTGGCCTTGGCGAAGATCTGCACGGCGTCCTCGGGCAGATGCTCCTTCTCTAAGATGGTGACCATGTATCTGGTCTCCTTGAGCACCATCGCCAGCTCCGGGTCCATGTTGGATCGCAGCTGGTCGTTGGTGGACTCGTCCTGCCTGAAGAGCCTCTGGGCCAGGCCGTTCTTGCACTTGTCCGGCACGGTCTCGGTCCACTGATTGAAGTACTCGATCTCCTTGAGCTCGATCAGTTTCTATAATTTCGCAGGCAAAAAGTATGAATCATCGCGTATCGTTCAGTGATCATATTAGTCACCTACCCAGTGAATGAAAGGTTAAAGGCTAGTATTTAGATTTATTATTGCAGAACTTTTGCAGAATTTTTACTTTCAACTTTCATTAATAAAATAAGGGAAAAAATACACGATGCAGCAGTGGATGAAACATTTTTACCAGTAAAGAAACCACTTTCAGAGTCATTTAATTAATGATAGTATATTCAAAAAGTTGTTAAGAACCATGGAAATATTTAGTATTAATGCTCAAATTTCATTACCGATGAATTAGTTCAGTATAATTAAATTATATTAATTTATAAAAAAAAGTTTCAATCACTGGGTAGGTGACTCTTATATCAACGTACCATCAGCTGCCGATGCTTCAGCTGGGCGTACTCCAGTGCCTCGGACTGCACCACCGGATGCTGCACCGACTTGACCGCCTCGATCGAGCCGCTCGCCCGAATCTTCAGATCCTTCAAGAAATTCAGCTCGGCCGAGACGGGCGGCACGTGCTCGTCGAACACCCCGCAGCCCGTCGCCTCGTACAGCTTGAGATTCCGATCGAGTATGGCCTTGGACTCGTCCAGCTCGGCGTCCAACTTCCTCATCAGCTCCTCGTAATGGGGCTCGAGCTGTCGAGCGATCACCGGCCTCGACACTATCGTGCCGATGTTCACCGTGAACTTGTGCATGCTGTCTATCGTCGCGCACTCCGAGAACGCCTGATCGAGGATAAAGCCGAGACGACGATCCCACTTGTCGACTTTATCGAGAAAGATACGCTGGTCGCGATCGAAGCTCGGATCCTCGGGCAGCAGGATCTCGTAGTTGACCGCCGACAGCTCGTTGTAGCTCTTGACGAAGCTCTCGTACACGTCGATCAGGCCGTTCATCAGATCCTTGCCCTTGAGACCGCCCAGCTCGATCTTCTCCAGCTTCAGATACTCCTGGGCTATGGTCAGTATGTTCTCGATCTCCCGCAACCTCTCGAGCAGCTTGAGCAGTCGGCCGATCACCAGCCTCTCGTGGAACGTCCACTGGACGGGCTCCTGCCGTCTGAAGTAGCTCGGCACACGGCCGCGAAAGAACTCGTACACGTCCCTGTACCACTCGATCGTGGAGATGGTCTCGGTCAAGCGTTTGAGGCTGTCCTCGGCGTCGCCCTGGAACAGCGACTGAGGATCGAGATAGGTCGCCGCCTGCAGCAAGATCAGATTGGAGATCTCGCGCAGCAGCACGACGACCCGGGGACTCTTGCAGTAGGGCTTGCACTTGGCCCAGGCGTGACAGATGCAGTGCATCATCGGCTTGAACTTGGGCTGGCTGCTCGGGAAGTGCGACTCGCTCTCGATGTCCTGAAAGTAGCGTTCCAGGGGGGATAGATACAGGCAGATCTCGCGGGCTTCCAGGACACCTTGAGTACGGGCGAGCGAGTGAGTGAGTAAAGATTCGAAGAGGAAAAAGAGTTATATAACTGACAATTGACGACTTCGTTGAAGACGTTTCTGAGGCAGTGTAGAAAGACGCTCTTCTCCTTCTCGAGGATGTGGGCCATCTTTTTCACTCGAGGATCTCGCAGTTGCTCGTAGATCAGCTCGAAATTTCTCATCCTCTTGCGCCAAAAGACCAGCTCTACATTTTTTTTTTTATTATAAGAAAAAGCACGAATAAAATTTCCTCGAGTATTTGGAAATAACGATCCCCGAGCTCTAACCGGTTCGCGGCAGTGGATGATCCTCCATCTCGAAGGCCTGACTGCTGTCCTCGGCCATGACCTCGCAGATGTCCTTGGCCCAGGAGATCACGATCATCTCGATGTTGTGGCGCATCTTCTTGGGCGGCTCCTCCGAGAACACGTGCTCGATGTTCAGCGGCATCGGTAAGATCGTTTCGCCGTGAAGTTTACTCTTTATCTAGAATGATTATCGTGGATAACTTATCGTTTGCTTCTTTTCTACGATTCATACGATAGAATTGACGAATTTTTACTTGAGTTATGCGACTTTTGATCGAGTGCTTCTCTCTCTCGATATCCTCGTGCACGTAAGTAGGCCAATCGCCTCCACCTCTGGGCGTCGAAATTATCGGTATCAACTCCTGCGAAAATTATTCGACATTGGCGAGATCGCGAAATTTAAAGAAACTATGGAGTAGAGTCTCTCTCTCTCTCTCTTACGTCTTCGATGAAGTCGCCCAGCTCGTCGAAATTTCTCGCCTGCAATTCGCCAACGACCAGCATCTCTTTGACGTTGTCGGCGTCGATCGCGATCATGTCTCTCTTCACGAAGTACACGAATTTGGCCTTGTAATTCGGATGAATGAAATTGTGAGGGACGAGGCCGCTCACGGGCGACAGCTCGATCAGCAGCATGTGCTCGTCCGGCGTCTCGAAGAAGTTTTTCAGGGTGCTCTGTTGTGTCGCAGAGGTAGGGGGAGAAACGACGTGTATCTTTGCGGTCGTGGGGAGGCTGAATATAATTACCAGGTAAGTTTTGTTGTCCTTCATGGCGAACCAGGCGTCGATTTTGACCTTGTAATTGAGCTCCAGGTACTCGAAGACGAAGAGAAATCGCGGATCCGTCTCCACGTACTCGTCGTCGTCCCCGGCTTTGGCCATTTTCGAGCTGTCGTTTCACTTATGCATCGATTAAGCACTCGACGTGGCTGGGAGGGTTTTTTTTTTTTTTGAAACCTTTTTTTTTATTCTTTTTGGATTGATTTAACTTTAATCGAGTGATTTTTTTTTTAATATTATAAATCAATAATTAAGAGTTAAAAATGAGATAAACAATCGTGCCTTTCGGTGGCACGATTGACACGAAGTTGCTAGGAGATCGTTGAACATATCGACGGATGGATTTTCGATTTTTGACTCGTCGTTCTTCAATTCGAATTTGAGAACACGAAAATTTTTTGAAGAGTGAAATTTTAAAGTAAAAAAAGAATTAAATTTTTACACGAAAAATCGTTGATTATAGTAAATAATAATAATCGTAAATATCAGTTATTTAATATGTATAAGAAAATTTCTGTATTCGATGAAAACATAAAATATAATTTTTACACATTTTTGTATAATAATTCTTCCCTCTTTATTTGTTGGACAATTTTCGACCTAAATAAACAAATGGAAATTGTTCTGTTGCATGGTGCTGACTGACGCAAAAAAAGTAGTTAAAATTTTGTCAAGCTGTAAAGTATATTGTTTTTAACGTATTGAAATGATTTTTATATTAACAATACATTCGAGAGAAACATCATTCAATAATATTTCATCAACTTAATATAATCACAGATCACTTAAAAATGTCAACAATATAAGGGTGCATTGTTCATTTATTAATCTAACTATCCTGCTTTTGTCTCTTCTGTACCATTTCTCTTATATTGTCTTCACTTTCCTTCAAATCCTTTTGCAAATAAGTTTTTTGATTGTTGAGTGCCTTAATTTTACCATCAGCAAGTTTTGTTCGTTTGTCAAGATCTTCCATTATTGTATTCATATCTTGAAGTAAAAACATTCTACCGACAGATTCGTATGTTTTTGTGTTTTCTGGTAATTGCTTCAATTCTGATCGAGTTAGGGATACTCGCAAGTTGTGTCTGTTGATATTCTCAATTTGCATATCTGCGACTTTCAAAAGCTGCCTTGTTGATAAAACTTTATTGTGCAATTCAGAAAAAGCTTTTTTCAATTCCTCATCTGGTATTTTGGCCATTGTTGTTTATTCTGACTAGCTGAAATTGAAATGAAAAATTTGATTAATATTGAATAATGTATCATTTCTAAAAAATAATGGCTTAAAATTTTCTTATAATAATGTATTTAAATTGCCCATATAAAAATAGATTTTGGAGAACTGATATACATGATATTTGTAGCTCAAAGAAAATAACGATAATGTAAGGAATTTAATAAAATTATAACACAAAACTTTTACAAAACTGCCTAAAATTTACACTAACAATTTGTTCAACACGACTTACCGTAGAAGTAGATAAAAATAATCAAGAAAATAAGTATTGCTTTATAAGGCTCTATTTAGCACTGCACAGCGTCTGTGTATACGAATTGTGATGGTACGGTTTGACAAAATCTTTGGTAAGGTTAATTCGCGACGTTGCCATGTCTAGTTTTCTCGCTTATTTTTAGTCTAAAGCGCCGGAATGTAATTTTTTCAAAATTTGAATTAAAAATTGTAATAATTTAATTTGAGAAATTCACGATTATTTCGACAAAACGCGATAAGTGACATCATCCTTGCCTCAAAGCACATATTTATTTTCAATGCCATTAATTTTATGTTTTCTTTTACTTACTTGAAACTGGATTGTATGATCTATCTCGTATCGAGTTATATTATAAAGTTTTGTCGTCTGGAAGGCTCACCCACTCACTCAAGCGGTGAGACATTACATGTCATTCATAACCTACGAATGAATTAAAGTCAACAATCAAAACGTAATCAATGTACATTTAAATTATTATTTATTTATAGTAAAAAAATAGTTTTTAACATGGCGATGTCAGTGCGAGTTAGACTAGGATCCCAATTCAGAAATATCATGAGAGTCTGTAAGTGTCAAAAACTTAATATATAACTTGTTGTTTTCAAAACATTAGTTGTGGTAATATTTTTAAACAATAATGCTTTTAATAATAATTTAGGCTTTCATGAAAATCGGCACATGTCGACTGCAGAAATAGTTGTTGAAAAATCTGAAAATCCAAAGGAGCCAGAGAGGATATCATTGGAAGAACAACAAAGATTAAATGATATAGCTAAAAATGAGAGGATGGAAAAACTTTTGAATATGCGTTTTGCATATCAAGAATTTCTACCTGATCCTAATCCTAAGAACAGAAACACTCTCAAGGAAAGACTGGAACGCAGAGATATGCTGGCTAGAAGATCAAATGTTGAAATACCAGAGTTTTATGTTGGTTCTCTTGTAGCTGTTATGCATTCTGATCCACATGCTCCTGGGAAAAACAATCGTTTCATGGGCATATGTATACAAAAAATAGGTGCTGGTTTAAGAGCATCTTTCATATTGAGAAATTTCATTGACGGCGAAGGTGTGGAAGTTAATTTTGATATGTATGATCCAACAATCCAAAGAATTGACGTGATAAGGTATTGAATCCGTTGCATATAATAAAAATGAAAAATTGATAAAAATTAAATGAAATTGATCGGAAAAGAAATATTAATATCAATTATTTAATCATTATTTTGATTTGTAGATTGGAAAAAAGATTAGATGAAGAACTGTTTTATCTGAGAGATGCTCCTCCAGAATATAGCACATTTCCAGTTGATATGGAACCGGAGTATCAGCCTGAGGGTTCAGCTGTACCCGTAAATGAAATCAAAGTTCCATTAAAACCTTTACCTTGGCTTGTGAAATGGGAAAGAATGGGTATGAAAGGTATTCGAGATGTAACTAGTATGCTTACAGAGAAACGTTTAAGAATGTCTAAATTGAAACAATTCAATAAACCATGGGAAAAATACGATCTTCTTAAGATGTACAGGTAAATATGACAAATTTCAAACTTAATGAATAAAAAAAGTAGAATCTATAAATTTTTAAATATTTTTCAGTGAAACTATTCCAATAGAAGACCAGGTAGAAATCTTTTCAGAAATTCAAGAAAAGCTTCATGAGCTAGAACAACATCGTTACAAAATGAAACGAAGTAGAAATTTTGTTAAACCTACAAAAATGGGTTAAAATTTGTTATTCAATGTACACTTCAGTTTTGTTATAAGAATTTTATTAAAGTAAATATAAAAATCAACCTAAGTTTTACTTCAGAACTTAGCCTATTGGAAAAAATTATGCAGGTTACAAGTTAGAGAAACGATTTTTTTATTAAAACTTATATGTTCACAGTAAGTTCTTGCTTATATTTTTTTATAATCTCAGCAGAAATCGCTTTATCTTATTTTTAATATGTACATGGTCAACATCTTCTAGTGGTAATTTAACTCTAGCTTTTTTAACTTATTACATACATTTTCAATCTTCCACACATTATACTGATCGTTTTGCTCCTCGATGAATAAACATATTCATGACAATAAAAAAGCTTAAAAGATAAGGTAGAGATTTACTACAATAAATTCATTGATTCGTTAAAAATTACAACGGCATCGTTTTCCTCACAATAGAACTACAAAATAAAAAAAATATAAATATTACGTGAGAAAATATCGAAAGCTAAAATCGTCATTAGTTTGCATTCAAAATAACTAAATCACGTTTACAGGATACCTTGATTTTCTCTTCCTAATTAATGATTTAATTCATCAAATGTAAAAATTTTACAAATAAATTGTAAAAATTTAATAGCTACTTTACAAAATTAACAATTATGAAAGAAAATAGTGCAACAAGTACTATGCGGTTCCATAAATGACTATTAACATGATAAAAGCGATACATTTATCTCTTTCACCATTTTTATGCGATGCAGCATTTTAATAAGATGATCTTTCGCAAGGGGTGACGTTGAATACCACACTGGACTGTCCGGTACACAGCTTCGTTCGGGTAACAAATAAAATACATCGTTTCTTGTTTTTACACTTTCAGGACTTGAAGAAGAAAAAATGACGTTACTAATTATAATTTACTGATATAAATGCAATAAATACTGTAAATATTAAGCAACTCACCATTTAGAAAGATAAAATTCATATAGTTTGACAGGACATCTAAGAGGATTATCTTCATTCTCTTGCTGCTCATATACTTTTTTCTTTTTCACGTTCGCGTCTGAAAAATTGAAAAAAATTTAAAGTCTAAATGAATTCAAAATAAATTTTTACAATATTTGAATATGTGTTGGAACCTACCTAAAGCAGATTGAGGAGGATAAAATCGTAAGAGAATATTTCGAGATCCGGGTCCTTTACTCATTGCACCTGAACTACTAGTATTACGTTTCCAATGTTTCATTATGTGCGAAAATGATAACTGCATGTGTTCTTCAACAGTCTATTAAAATAATTATTTGTATTAGTGAATGAAAATTGATAGCATTGAAACATTAGGAATAGTCTAATAAAACTTACCGTTAAATTGAAATGTTTTGTATTGAAATACATTAGTGTATTCAGCAAAACATGCGGTGAATGCGCGCCAAGTTGCTTGCATTCCCATAAATGTTCCTCTTCTACCCTGGTAACCACGTAAACTGAAATGAAGATTTTTGAAGTTCAATAATTTATGTAAAAAGTGCCATAGAGTTTGCAGCATTATAAACTTACGTGAGTCATTATACAGAACCGTAAATTTTTTCACAATTTCGTTTAGACAATCGGTGAACTGGTCATAATAAGAGTCCGTAAAAATGTTATCTATCCTTTTATTCTCGAATAAATATTGTTGAATTCCCAAGCATAGGTAGTATATAGTATCTGGGGCGTATTCGGCCCCATTTGGTTTGCGAACTTCTTTGACGAATAAGCAAAGCGAGTAGTTTAATTCGTCTGTTGTTAGTTGAAGTAAATCAGTTTTAAGTGGTTTCAATTTTCTAGGAGTACTTTGTTTTTCTATTTCCAAATTCCATGAATTTACCTTAAAAAAATAACAAAAAAAAAAAAAAAAAAAAACGATTAATTTTCATGAATAAAGCAAAAATTTACGTTTAGCCTTTACTTACCCATTGTCTCCAAGCATTTACACCAAAGGTGTATTTGAGAGCCATGTTTGCATCTGGTTTTTCAACTGTCGCGTCGAAATCAATACTTTGTGTAATTTGAGTCTCTGTCATGCTTGCATCGTTATTCGACATTGTCAGAGGTCCTACCGAAGATCTTCTGCCACGTTTACCTCCAATACCTCGACCACGATAGGATGAAGTACGCTTGCGACCTCGTGTTGATGGGACTTGCTCTAATTTAGCTGCAAAGTTTAAAATGAGAATAACGATTAATAATGTTAAAAATAAAAATACAGGAAATTCTGTTGTTTTGGCTTACCATCATTTTCGGATGGATCGTCATTTTGCGGTCTTTGCGGCGTTTGTATAGTATTCGGTGTTAAGGCAGTTTCCAGATCTACTGCAGGTTCTTCTTCTATTTCACCTGTTGCCAATTTGAGAGCCATTTGAATCATGTCATCACCAAATGTATTGGATGTATCTGTCACTTCTGCAGTGTAATTTGTGTCATCTGGTATATTTTCATTCATCTCAATGGGCTCATCTCTGCTACTAGAAGTGAGTTTCAAGTTTAAATATCATTTCATCAAAGCTAAATTTTGATAATTTTTAAAATTATGAAAAATGTATCTGGTTTACCTTGCTTCATCAACAGAATCAGAATCACTATCGTTTTTCTTTTCAGTTGCTACCATTTCAGCCATCATAAGCAATTCAGCTTCAAATGGATCACTAGGTGTTTTTTCTTGTATACGCTTCATTTCTTTGATTATTCCTTTAGTGGTATTTCGGGTTGTTGGAATGAATATTGGTACTGGAATTGGTATAGGTATTGGCACTGGTACTGGGAATGGCATGCTATACATATGGCAAGGAAATGGAACGTAAATTGGTACTGGGATTGGTACGGGAAAGCGATCAAAGCCATCAGTTTGTGTTGACTGGTCACAAGGAATTGGCCTCACAGATACTCCTTTAGTATGAGTTTGTGGTTTACATTGAGTTATTTTGTTAGCAATATCTACTGGAGACGTAGGCCGCGTTATAATTTGTTGCTTATAAATGACCTGTAATGATAGATTTCAATGAAATTAGAGATCTCCACATAAAAAAATATTTATAAGAATTTAGCTTACTGGATGTGCACTATTAATTGTAATTGGTTGCATTGGAGTTCCTATGCTTTGTTGCGTTACAGTTTGAGTTTGTCCATTAGCAATAGCTAAACTAGTGACAGAAGATATAACTGGCATCGATTTTTTAGGAGCAATACTTAATGTTCCTTGAATAGTAGAAGAGTTATCAACTGATACAACTGTTCGTGTACTTTGTGTAGCTGCTGTAGCACGCTTAGGATTGCCAGTAGGAACAGGGTCATTATTTGCAATGCTAGTTTTACTTGAATCATTTACTGGTATGGTTATGGGAGAATTAGTATATTGAGCTTGGAAATTCATCACACACTTATAAGAACAAAAGTTTCTCATTGTAGCGTCAGACATGGTAAGGTGATATTGGGGTACTGCGATATCTTTGCACAAGTCACAATTCATGCGGCGCACAGATACAGCACTGATGGAGACCTAAAATATACAATAATTAAATAATGATGAAATATGAAAATGAATTAAAGAAGACTTTTTGAATATTTTAAAAATAAAAAACAAAATTAGTACCTGATACAAAGTCAAACAATTTAAACTGCACATCATAATGACTTGTCCATTTTTCATTTCTTTTTTTATCATATCAAAATTATACTTCTTAACTTTACACCAGTTGCAAGGAACAATTTTTCTATGTATTGTGATGAAAACATTTAAACATGTTTTACAACAAAAAGTATGAGCTTCATTTTCATGGAATACAACACAAGGTTTCTTGGTAGACAGTTGAAAGTACTTTTTACAGGTAGAACATTGATCAGGATCTACATTATTAACAAATTTAAAAGCTGCAAGACAAGGTTCACCACAAATGGCGACTGTTGGATTCTGATCTATTTGTACTTCGCAGTGCTTCATCTTTTCCTGAAAAAGTTCATAATTACAATATAGTACAATAATAAATAATAAATGATCATAAATTATAGTACAACAATAATAAGAGTATTAAATTCATACCACTTGACAAACACCGCATATTTTTTTTTCTGGGGGAGGTGGATTTAGAGAATTCATTCTGGTATATTTTTCCATACAGTCTTGAGTACAGAAATCCTTGAATTGTCCTTTATCTCCAACTGGTGCCAAAAACCCTTCTACTCCTACAGACATATCTTTTTGACAATAAGTACAAACTTTCAAACCCTTTTTGAATTCTTCAAGACAAGCTGCACAGCAAAATTGTCTGACATCATACCCAAACCTTACACAGTACTTTCCTAAACTGGTAGCTTGCACTGAACCATTGCAGTTTCTGCAGTAGCTACCATATTTTGTTTGAAATTTTCCCAGACATTCCTCATTACAAAATTCCATAGTTTCCCATGAAAGATTTTTCTCATCTTTAGATTCAACAATTAAAAGACAGTAAGCACAACGTTTTTCTCTTTTAGAGTTAACTCCTTCACTTGGGATATCCAATGATTTTTTATTTTCAGCATTGAAGGATACTTTACAATTTTCTGAACAAACATTGAACACTTTTGCACCTATTTTAACTTTTATGTTGCATGTTTTTTCTAATTTGCATTGCTTGCAGACTTCTTGGGAACTAATTTCTTCAATTTCAGGTGTTTTATCATCTGCTGCATTAATTACATCCGAAGCAGTAACTGTACTTTTATTTGTACTTGAACTTGTAGCATTATTTTCTTTTTCCAGTGTTAAAGTTTTAACTTTTAAAGATTCTTCAGGCTTTTCCAAAGATTTTGTGCTAGTAATGTTTAATGTACTTTCATTTTCTTTGTGACTTTCTAATGATTCAGCTTCTGCATCCTTTTCTGAACTATTAGTTTCAATAGTTCCATCTTTGGACTGTTTATCTTTTGCACTTTCGGTCCCAATACTCACTGTATCATCTTGATCAGGTATAACGTCAGATACTTGATCATTGCTCTGTGGAGGTGATGATGCTTGAAGAATATTTGTTTCCTTTGGAGATGATGTTGATGGTTCTTCAATTGTATTAACAGATGTACTACTTTTAGTAGAATTTTTTTCAGAAAGTGAAGATTGCTGCTAATAAAATTATATTTCATTAGTTTTTTTAATTACTTTTATATTAGTTTTTTTGAGTACTTTTATTAAAGATATTCTTATTTACCTGTTCTTTTTCTTTGGAATTATCAGTATCTTTGGGATCATTTTTTTCTGCAATCTGAATTTTTCGAGTGCCATCAACTTCCATTGGTTCTACTGGACTCGAGTCACTCAAATTACTTTGTTCTTCAATTGGATCTATAACCTTTGAATTGTCTTTAGTTTGAATTTTTGTTGCATCTTCTTTAGATTGATTTAACAGTTTTACAAGTTCAGCAGCCTCATTCAGTTTCTGTACATTTTTTTGTGCATTTTCATTAGGGTCAATTAAAACAAGATCTTCATCATCATTTTCTATATTTGAACTTAATTCATTGTCTTGATTTGCACTTGGTTTACTAATATTTTCTTTATCAACTTTACTGTTTGTACTGGTTAATTCTTTTGTGATTTGTATGTTCTCTTCAGGTTCATCATTGTCCAGATCTTCTCCTTCCATCTCTTTTCCATTTTCTAAAAGTTGTGGATTTTCCTCATTCTCTTCTTCATCAATTTCCATTGCCAGTGAGTCATTGTGTACACTGTCATCACAAGATAATTGTTTTGATGAAGTATTAGGTGAAATATCCTCGATTTCCATCCTAGGATCATCATCTGACAATGATGTATCTTTTGCATGGTCTTGCTTATCACTAACTTTTGAGGAGTCTATAGGTGATTTTGGATTTGATGTATCTTTTAATTCAGAATTGTTCTCTAGTGGAGGCTCCTCCTCTCTTATTGGGCTCAGAGCATCTGTTTGATCTTCATCAATTACAGTATTTGGAAAATCCATTTTACGGACTGTAAAAAATTTATTTTTATTAATAATTTTTATTGTAAGCATAATAATATAGAATCGATAATATAATTATATACATATTTTTTTTTTTTTGCTAATAATACTACCAAGTAGTCGTAGCGTTTAATATATTAAAGATAGTGGAACATTAAAATTGTGTTATGAAACACGGCAATTTACCCACTGTAAAGAATTTGGCAAACAATTCAATTTTAAGGTTATGTTTAATAGTATTTTTACCGGCAAACTTCTTCCCGCGAAGCCTAGATCGAACGGCAAAGCTGAAATCGTTCGACTATTATCTCAACTTCGAGACGAACGATGAAGCTGATAAAAATTTTCACAATAAAAAATCAAGCACTGTGCGGCATCAAAAATGTATTTGTCAACACAAAGTTCACTGATGTATATGCGCTGGTCTACTGCTGCCGCGGCCGCACATGCATTGCATTCAAGCGACACGCACAGATCAGTGAGACTGAGAGAGAGAATGGATAGGGCAAGCTTATACAGTGTATTTATGTAAAGAAGCCGCCAGAGCAGCAGCCAGCACGAGATCGGAGCGCCAAAGTTGCATTCGGCATCGTGACAGAGAGAGTCGTCGTATCGGCGTTATTGCAAAAAAAAAAAAAAAAAACGCATTCGAAAATCGAATCGATAATAAGCACTCGATCTTACCGTACTTTGCGATCACGGGTGGGGTGTCGGTCTCGATATACGATTCTGAACGTTCTAACCCCTAAAACAAATTGGGCAAGTGCAACTACTGGCGCCCAGCCGACACTGACGGACTGCTCACTGCACCGCACTGTAACATGGGCAGTATACAGAGAATGAGAGGGAGAGCAGCGTCTGCAACGCGCCTTGATATACTTTCGTGCTCTTTTATTCGTGATTTAATTGGGGGGGAAGCGGACGGTTGCTGCTCACAAAAAAGCACGGGTATGCGGTTCCCACTTCCCAACCCGTCTGAGAATGGTACACATGGATCGTGCATCGAAATGTATTTTTAATGGCTATTTATAGACAATTAGTCGTTACCGTTGGATGATCTTTAGATATATCTTGGAACTTGTGTCGTAAATTTTTCGAAAAATTAAAAAAAATATTGCCCCGTATCCAATTATTTCAAGAATTTCTAAAAAGTACTGTCACGTGTCACATTCTAAAATGACTACTCGTAAAAAGATCAAATGTCATTTCCATCTGCTTATTTCAAACGTCAAAACCATCTTTTACACGACACGATCCGAAGAAATCAAATTTCTTCGGCTTTTTTTATTACATTTTTTCAGAGGACACGAGTGAAATTAAAATATTTGAATTATTGTTTTTTTTACCTAAAAAAAAAAATAAATTAATAAAAAAGTATACGCGTTAGCTCACAAAGCGAGTAATGGTTGGCAACGTGGCAGTTTTCAGGGGCCTGGCGCGCCCACGTTTCTGAGCGACACGTTACAGTGTCTATGGATATTTTGAATTCTGCATTTGATGTATTTAATTCAATAGAAATGTATATTTAGTAATTATTGTTTATTGAAGTATAAACTGAAACCAAGCCGAAGATGAATATTTTTTACTAAATGAATTGGGTGGATTTGTTTATTTTGTCCCTTTCTCTGTTTTGGATAAATATCTAGTCAAAATCTCCGAAAACAGTTTTAAAAATTGTCATCTTTACCCTGGCTTTGATTCTCTGTAAACTGAAAAATGTTCATTGAATTATTCACTGTTTACCTAAAACCACAGCTCTTTTGCTTTGTTCAATTTGATAATTTGGATCGAGTACACGACGAAACTTATCGAAAGCCGTTTTTAGGTTAGGTGATTCATTTGACGTGTCGTCAACGCAATTTCCAGCAATTGCCTCCGTACGTCGCCGGCCCAATTGACCCGATTTTTCTTTAGTAACTCTACTTGCGAAATCACGTCGATTTCTTCTTGGCATCACGCTAATTTATGACTCAATTTTCTTTTAATTTTCTTTGTATTAAAACTACAGCGATTCGCACAGTTTACACTTTTCTGTGGTTCGCGCACTTTGCACACTGATTTGCAGACTTTGGCGCGACGTTGCCACGTTAACATTCGCACGCGTTCTCGAAACAATTCGCAATTGAGTTAATTCACACGAGAACTCTCGAAGGAAAAGGGGGATAATGGAAAATCTTGTCGCTATTTTGGTACAGTAAAAAATAAAATTAAGGATTACGCTGCATATTTCATTTTCGCGTGCGCGCTATCTCATGTCGTCGCGTCCAAATTTAAAAGTCCAAAATTGCACTGAAAAATTGAAATAATTCTAACAAAACAATTTAGTTTTCCAATTTTCTCTACAGTATAAAACTTTTTAACAAACTAAAAAAATTAAACTAAACAATTTTGAAAACTAAATCCAATTAAATATTGGAATTTAATGTGAGTTTGGATGGGGGTAAAACATGGTCACGACTCAATAAATCGGCCATCTTCAGCCTACAAATTCCGCATAAAAAGCTATTCTAATGGCTGAAAGCACAGAATAATGGATTATTATAAAATTATCGAAACTTTTACCGTTTATACTTTATTATAATATTATATTATTTCATTATTAAAAAATATCATTAGCATCAATAATGAATTACAGATATATTATTCCTTCAGTTGGCTAAATCTTTTAAAGCGACATAGGAACAAAAACGAAATACTCGAATGCAATTTTATATTTTCTGCGTTTATTGAGACTTGGATAATTATTGTCAGCATAACGCTCCCCACCCCCTTAATCCACCTTAACGAATTCATCCTTGAGCAGATAAGGTAGATCGCCGAGAGTCATGTTCAGATTTCGGAATGATAAATATTCGGAATCGTAAATATTCGGAATATTTAAAATTCGGAATGTTTGAAAATCGGAATATTGAAAACGGAACATGAAAAATTCGGAAAAACAAAATTTCGGAAAAAAAAAATTTCGGAATGAAAAAATTTCGGAAAAATTAAAATTCGGAATCCACAATATTATTAGTGGAGAATGTAGACAATAAAATTTCCCATTAAAAATTTTGTGGATTCCGAATTTTAATTTTTCCGAAATTTTTTCATTCCGAAATTTTTTTATTCCGAAATTTTGTTTTTCCGAATTTTTCATGTTCCGTTTTCAATATTCCGATTTTCAAACATTCCGAATTTTAAATATTCCGAATATTTACAATTCCGAATATTTATCATTCCGAAATCTGAACATGACTCATCGCCGATCGGCATTGGATGACCTCCTCGCGGAAGCGAAGCATTTTATGCCTTCTGAGGTTCGACGGAAACGCATGCGCGGCTAATGTCAAAACTAGCAGTCTACACACCTGGTCGGATGAAAATGGACCCTCTCCAAATGCTGGTCGTTGTAATATGCGTGTAAATATGAATGCCAAATAAAAAAAAAAAAAAACTGTCATCGGCAATTTGTTGTGCAAATTTTATTCAACATTTCGAGGCCATATTATCCTATAGGCATTTAATCATTTTGTTTTGAATGAGGTGAAATCGAACGTATAGCTCTTTAATTCGAGAATGGGATGTGTGGATGGATTCGGTATAACGACACAGGCATATGCGCACAATACTATCAAGGAGCGTAGTCGACACACAGACACAGTGACGTTAAATACGTCGAATACTCGCGTGTCCTATACGTGTGTTATTGCATGTTAGCGGCATCTGTTGGAACTTGGAAATAGGCTCGCTATATATATACACACGAGTGTATTATTGGCAATCGTAGCTAGAACAGAAAGTTGATAATATACGCGAGAGCTACAGTACAACGAGTTTCTTAATTCTCACATTTCTCAAAATTTCCTTTATCCGTTTTTTTCCGTTGGTGGCGTAATTATGACCAGTAGTGGCGAGAGATCGAAGTACGTCGTATGATGTGAAGGATCCGAGATCAGTTAAAATAGTGCGCACTTATAATATTTTTGTCCGTACATCTCAGCCAAAAAAGGAAAAAAAAAATGAGTGACAGCTGTAGTGGTGCCGAGGAGTGCGCAGTAAACAAAAAAAATGAACAAAGTAAGCTAGTTTGTTTTCATAATTCTATCGATTATCATTGTGAAATGTTTTGATTACGAATAAATTAGCTGCAAATTTTCGTGTAAGGTCATGCGAAGATGGTTACATTTACGCGCAACGCAATTACAAACCTTGACGCGACGCTTAATCTCCTTTGATCTTATTAACTATATATCTATAAACAAAATGCAATATTCACTTGCCAATAGTCTAACAAGACTCACACATACACATAAACACACTCACACACATATTAAATTACTCTTTATATTTCTTTGTGCACATTCATATGTAGAAAATTACTTTACCAATACAACTTGACTGATGCAATTTGAAATTGTCTGGAGAAGCATGACATTTTTACCTTTTATTGTTGAAATTTGTCACAAATTAGTTTTCTTTTTTCATGTATCATTTAAGATGTGTCAACAGAATTAAGTACCTCTGTATCATCTGAATCTCAGAAGGATGATGCAGATAGTTTCGAAGAGCGCTCGTCTTGTGAAGACTGGACCATCATTGACAAAAAAGAATCTACATCCAATAGTATATCTGACTTTAACATTGAAAAAGAATTAGAAGGCCCAAATGAAACTGTAGTTAGTGAAGAAGCTTGTGATGTAAGTATCGATCTTGAAAGAAAAATTAAAATTATGATTATTTATTAACAAATTTCATTTAAACACATAAATATTGAATTGAAAATAATTTTTACTTATGTATTTTAGACAAAAGAGAGTATTAAAGTTGAAATTGAACATGTCGAGCAAGGAGAAGAAGCTGGAGAAAAAGAACTTGAGTCAGATGATGTATCAATAATATCAGATGAAAGCGAAATCGATCAGATACCATATGAAGAAGGAAGAGTTGAGAGGATAGAATGGCAAGTCAACAGAAGAAATTCTGTTGAAGAGATTGTTGCAAGAATTGATGACTCCAATGTAATAAATTTATTAACTTGTATGAATTTTGAGAGAAATTTTTTTCTAATTAATCAAATTTGAAATACTTTTTAGGATGCAAATATATCTGTTCATGCATTACTGATATGTTCCGTAGTTGCTTTGATCCTTGGTGTTTTGATCGCAGGACATATAGTAGATTTCCATAATGAAAAAGCATCTTATGCTATGATTCCTGAAATGGAAGCAAAAATTAAAAAACTAAATGGAATAGAGGAAAAATTAAGAGAACTAAAAGAAGGTAATATATTCACCTTTATTAGATATTTTATTATTTCTATAAATATGAAAAAAATTTTTTTTAGTTAAAGTAGCAATTGAGCAAATAAAAATCAGCATGCCAGAAATGCAACTGTTACAAAAGAAATTTGATGATAACATACGATACGATAATGGAAAAATCGTAGATAATCCTAGAGGAGACATCAAGTATGTTGGTAAACCAGACAACTGGATTTGGGATGATCTTGCAAATAACTTCGCCCATAATAAACTTGAAATTTTAAAAGCTACTTACCAAAACTTTTGTTCCAATGTTAATCAACTCAATTCTTCAGTCTGGTTCTTTGAAAACTGCAAAACACCAAAAATTTTATCTGATATATCTTTATTTAAAAATAATTTGAAAGAAGCATTCGATAAAACACAACAAAGAAAAAATCCTGATAAACTGTAAGTATTTTAGAAAGCAATATTACTTAATTACCTGCTCATGCTATTATTAATGAATATTTTAAATTTCAGAATGTTTGTTAATATTGAGAAAAAGATAAATGCAATATCTGACTCATTAATATCAGACTTTTCAATCATGTTTGCACGCTTTACTCTAAAGATTGAAGAAAAATTTTCCAAGTTTTCTAAAAAACTACAGAAACGATTATGTGACCTATCCAATAATGGGGAATCAGACGATGAATTTTTAAACATAGTAGTAAACACTGAATATATTTCAAACCATTGCAAAGATATAGATGACGGTAGCTTTGAAAGATACTCAAAATTCAATTCAACTTTGAAAGAAAAAAGAAAAGTGGAATCTTCTGAAACACCAAAAATAGTTGCTACAGAAAAGTTGCTATTTGAACATCAAAATGAAAATAATGATAAAAACTCTCGGGAAATTCATGCATATGAGAAAGATAATGATGAAGATTTGACTATAAATGAATCAGTAAATAGACGAGGTGAAGTAAAATATGATAATAACTGGAAAAATGACGATCATTACAGCAAAAATAAATACTCCCAAAATAACGATAAGTATAATAACAAAGTTGATGCAAATAATAGGCGAAAAAATTCAGAAATGTCAAGTGACTCTAATAATTCTTCCAAAAATTATAAAAAAAATTCTTATAAAAGCAAATACGAAAAGAAACAAAACGGTACCGAAGATAAACAAGAGAGTAGTACAGAGAAAAATATCCAAGGACCGGAACGGGACTATAAAACGAATGAATATAGGATGTGGAGGGGTATCCTTTATGATGAAAATTTAAATTTAAACATGTATAGAGTAAATCATGAAAGGAACAATTATGCACGCAGAAAAGATTATGACTCTGATAGTAAATTTTATGAAGCTAATAATATTTATCATCCTGAATTTGATCAAACATTCGAAAAGTATTTGAAAAATGATTATTACTATAAACAAGAAAATAAAAAAGATCGTGTACTTGATAAAAATTACAAAAATTACAAAAATCACAAAAACTCAAAGGATAATACTGACTCGAAATACTTTGAAAACGTTGATCAAGAAGGCGATGAGCGCAGTGAAAAGTATAACGATAAGAAGAGGTACAAACAATATGAAACAGAATTCCCAAAGCAGGAGAATTTTAAAGAATCGAAGTATACCAAGTATCAATCAGGTCCACTTAATACTAAAGATACAAATCAGATTAGCGGCGATTGGCAAATGCAGAGGTAAGCAAATTATTAATTTTTTTTTTTAATCTTCAAGTACGTGTTGTAAATCTTAGTTTTGAAGTATGTAGAATTTTTACGAAAATTTTGTTGGCTCGTAATTCACAAAAAAATTTTGGTTTACCCGCGGACATTAATCCATTAACATTCTTAAAAGTATAAAATCGTATCATTTACTGTTTTACTGCTTCGCAAAAAGAATTCTATATTATATTTTACAGCTTTTTGAGATACGAGTATAAGTCTAAAAAAATTTCAGTATTTATTTTATTATTTACGTGAATAAATTACATTATAATATTTATAAAAATATAATATTGGGTGTAAGTTTCTATGATACTAATCGTTCTCAAGCCAATTAAAATCGCGATCGAGCAAATAAAAAAGCCTTTACTATCTCAGATGATAATTTGTCATAAAATGAAAAATGTCTTTGAGATAAATCAACACAGCCGATACTTAATTGATAATATTTTTGTAAGCTGTAAAATTTATACTTAGAATTGACAATAATTTTTCTTATTTTTAAAGAATTATAACGTCAATGCTTATTAAATAAATAGATTATCTAGTTGAATTTCATTTATTTTTCAATATTTTATGCCAAAGCTCTTCAATGATCTTTGTTTCTTTGTAACATCATGGATTCTAGAAATTTTTTTAGCATGCGTTTGAATAAAATAGTGCTTTTACGTAATTTATAACTTGATCTAATTTTAAAATAAATAGTGAATCATTAATTAAAATATCCCGCCAGATTATAGCTATTGTATGTTTTTTCCTTATGATCACGTAGGGGCGAAAGCCGTGAGAAGCTTCGAAATCCTGATTGGTATTTTGTCCGAGCAGATTCTCGCCGGAAGAATCGGTATCAACCTTCATCCTATCCGAGACCCAAGTTGCAGCGAGAAGAGGAAGAAAATAAAAAGAATAAATATCCACAAAGACCTCCTCGTTACTATGTAGATGATAATTATGTTCTTTATGATCATACAGATACAGATAGACCACAAGAACCAAACGAAGATAAATTCAGACGCCAATGGAGACGATATTAAATATATTGTTAGAAATGTTCGTGTTCTTAAATGAAGGAAAATTTATAGGAATATTTTTAATGAACCACGATATTTCTTCTTATTAGTATCACTAATTCGACTCTACGTAATTCATGCGAGTATTTAAGGTTTTTTTAATCACAAAAAACAAACTTTGGTTACTTCTCAGTATGATTTATAAAAAATTCCTGTGCTTTGCTTTCGATGAGCTTGTGCCTTCTAGTTTGCTGTATACTTGTTTCTGGTTGGAGAAGCTCATTGATCTGAAATATTTGTAAGAATTCAAAAGTTTAAATACTCGATTCAGTTTCAAAAAGTTGGATAGAACCAATATAAAATTTTTGACAATATGTATTTTGGTAATTTTGCTTGCTACATATTGGACTTGATTGGACGCTCATATGAAAAATATGTTGGAACTAAAAACTAAAACTAACTTGAATGCCTTGATCATTGAAAATTTTGATCAATTGATAACTACATTAAAGTACTGGATAATTTATTAACTTTACTTGTGCTAATTATCACACATTGATTAATGATATATTTTTCATACTTTCATTTTCCTCATACCCTCTCGACTACGTTGGGTTGGTGCGTCAGGATTCAAATGTAAAAGCTATTTATCTAAAATCTCGTATATTCAAAACCGAAGTATAAATCTTAACGTTTTGGTTCCCTGAAAATTTCTCTAAATAAAAAGTATTTTTTTTTTAAATTTTAATATACGTAACACTAGCCTAAAAAGGTAGAATATGTTACGCGCATCTTTCATACAATATGAGGTAGATCATAAAATTGTGTATTGCTCGACGAATTCTATTTTTTACAGCTTGTGTTATTTCTGTTGCAATAATTATGACGCTATATTAAGAGCTTGTTCAATATTTAATAAAATTATACATAAAGATAATTATGAACTACGATTTCAGAATTTTTGAATTAAAAAATTCTGAGTCAATACCACTTGATAGTTTTATAAATATTAATTATTTGTCAAACTGGAGATAATTATGTATTCATTGCAAGAAATTAAGCACGCAGTTGTTTATTATTTTGAAATAACTTAAAAATTGCTTGATCAATTGCAATTCGATTTTTATCAATTACGAGAAAAAAATTATGTATAGTTTACGATTTTTCTTAAAATGAAAATTATTGTATAATAAGAAGTAGGATATACAGATCGTTTGCTGTGAAAATGTAGTTACTTGTTCTTAAGGAAATATATGGACAAAAAATTTATACATTGATGTGATTAATGTAAAAAACGTGTACTATAAGTATTCTAAAATATAATTAGCAAGAGCCAGGTATTATTTGTTCCAAAGTACCTTAGATCTGTACAAGAAATGAAGTAATTAAAATAATGGAAAAACTAATCATTGATTCATAGAACTATTGTTATTTTACTTTAATTTAAATACTTTCCTGTCCTGAAATCCAATTTTCTTCCTAAATTCATAAAATAACTTAGCATATAATCCAGTAGATTAGAACAGGGTCAAGATCAATTATACACTCTGTAAACTTTGATTTGATTAAAATAATTCAGGTTAAGTTTTATTTACCATAGTCATACGTTTTTTAGTTACTTTAAATCAAAAAAACATGTTAAGATTTTCCGACATTGATGAACATGTTGCCGATGAAACCGATGCCGATACATGTTTACCTACTTTCAAAACCCAAGATTTTATTGATGATTTAAAAGTTATCAATCCTGAAATTGAAATATGTTCGAGCAGAATTGCGAAAATCTTCAGCGCCTTGATGGCGAAAGTGGAAATCATAGTATTACGTTTGATTTATAAAAAACAATTAAGTTATGCCGATATTAAAAGATTTTTTATTGCACAGGCCAATTTCACATCGGAGACGTTTCAACAAATTCTATTAGAGGTACTCAACGAAAAAGAATGGGACATGATTCGGCATGTTATGGAAAAGTTTTTTCGGTCAAAATCGAAAATTTTGGAACCAAGTAAAATATTTTGTTTACATCAATGCGAAAATGAATTACTGAAATATTTTTATTATAAATATAGCGGCTTCAAATGTGTTTGAGAATGATTGTTCTGTCGACGAAAGAAAAAAATCTACGGATAACTTGATCGATGAATACGATTGCTCGAACTCTGCAGATGTGTCAATTGATCTTCTCAATATAATCGAAGTAATTTTAGAATAATACATTCTAAATTGTATGATATTCAAGCTTAAGGATTACAATTGTTTAATTTGCCTATTATTTACTAGCTTCTAGTATCAAAAATGTGTGAATTGAAAGAGCACACATTAAATCGTGAAATATTCAAACCAAATCTATATTTTTCGAGACACATGAAATATTTTATGGAATATTGTCTTTCCAACGTCAAAAGATCGTCCGAAGAAAATCGTAGAGAAGAACTCGATGTTCAACATGTCGCTGACTCAATTAATTATTATAAACATAAAATCGCAGGTTAAATATATTGCTGTAAATAAGAAATTTAAAAAATGTTCACGATCACCCTTTCTTTACAGAACTGAATAGAGTCTTAGAAGCAGAAAAAATAGCTCACAGCAAAGAACAATTAGCTATTACGGAGCGATTGGACATCGCCGCGGAAACCTGGCAGAATATTAATAAAAATTTCAACGACGAGCTTGCAGGAATATTGTATGTGTTCAAATAATTGTAAAATTAATCCTGCGAAAAACAGATAAAATTTAAATTTAACCCACAGACAAAAATCGAATGATAATATAGAGCAACTTCTCAAAGACGCCAATGAAAAAATCAATCAACATGAAATGGCTTTGAAAAATTTAAAGACCAGATTCGATAATGGCAAAGCGAATAATCAGAAAGTAGAAAACGAAATCCAAAAGAAAAAGTTAGGTATCGTTTTAAAACTGCTACTTATTCAATTTTTCGTGATAAATTTCGTTGGTTTTCAGATTCAAAGCAGAATCTCAATTATCCTCTATCTTACAAAAATTCGACACCGAAATTGGAGAATATCAAAAGAACTACGATATCATATGCGCGGAGTTCAATGATTTGTTCGATAAAAAAACGCAGCTTTTGGTAAAAATTGCATTGAAAATGAAATTACAGCAAGGATTATTACGATTAACGATCTACCTAACATTGATTTCCATAGGACGAAATGCAAGAACAATTGAAAATTTACACTGCTATAGTGGAGGAGCGCGAAGCTAAAGCATATGCTATTTTTAAAGAAAAGTACGATCGATTTGTCTTTAATCGATCCGCCAAAGTAATACAACGTTGGTATCGTAAGGCCATAAGAGAATATATGATCAGGAAATCAAAAAAAGTAAAATTAGTCACACATTTTTGTTTAAAAAATGACCATTATTTCACTGATTGTATTTGATTGCAGCCTAAAAAATCGAAGAAGAAGAAATGAGAAGAAATTACATTCACAGCTGTCATGGTAATTATCTAATGGTAAAAATGTTACCGATTATTCTAATTTGATCGTTCTGCAATGTAAAATTTACCAATTAAAAATATTCATATAATATAGATGAAAGATTTTATTAATTAAAATAATAACAAATTCAACATCGTTAATAAAATGGTTTAAATGTTTACAGCTTTCCGTGAAATTCTTTTGAAGCTTGAAGTATTTTTCGAGCACAGCTTTTTATCATATAAAAATGAATAAAAATTTTTTTTCAATTTATTTTATATCTACTATTATTTCTATTATCGCAATTTTAATACTGCGACATTGAAGTTTTTATTTATTGATTTTTCCTCTGCAGCTCAGAGGCCATAAACAAATTTTCTCGCGTTTCAGCGCCATCTGCCTCAAAGCTAGAGAATTGACATTAAAATCTGTATCAGCTCTTATGCAGTTTCATCACAACCGAATTTAAGAACGCACCTATATAGATATACATGTTCGCAAAATTACTTTACGTATCCCTGCCATTGACCTAAGTTCGTCAATTTTCGCACTGACCACGCAGGTAAACATTGTGAGAAATATGGATGAAGAGATAAAAATCATTGTTAAATGGAGTGGAGCCGACTATCCCGTGAACGACATCGGCGAAAATGACACTGTTCTCACGCTCAAAGAAAAAATACAAAAGCTCACGGGCGTCAGGGTTGACAGGCAAAAACTTCTCAATCTTAAATTTAAAGGTTATTAATTATTTTTCTTGCATGTTTTTTACCGAACTCAAATAGTTTTGATGAATAGTTCGCCACACAATAACATTTCATTTATCTTTCACTCATCACTCATTACTTGCAAAAAATGTTTGCTAGAGAACATCAAAATCTATTAAAAATTTGGTTTAGTTTTAATTAAAGTATTTATTATTTGCATGGTTGGATAAGCAGAGTAAAATCAAACTAAACAGTATCAAATATATGCTGTTATCATAAAAAAAATGCTTTATATTGCAATGCTTATGAACAAAAAATTTGTATTGCTGCAAATACTTTTACAGATTTTTAATGATACCAAATTCTTTTATTAAATCATAGGAAAACCTGCACAAGATGACGATATTGTAAGCGAACTAGGGCTCAAGCCTGGTTACAAATTAATGATGATGGGATCACGAGAGAAAGATATTGCTGAAGTCAACGAAGTTCCAGAAGATATGCCAGAAGTTGTTAATGACTTAGATATTGAAGAAGAAGAAGTAGAAATTGAGAAAGCTGAAATATACTTGGCTAAAATTCAAAGAAGAATTGATACTTATAAAATTGAAGAACTTAATCCTTTAAGAGAAGGCAAGAAATTGCTTGTTCTAGATATAGATTATACTTTATTTGATCATAGATCAGTGGCTGAATCTGGAATCGAATTGATGAGGCCATATCTTCATGAATTTCTTACCAGTGCATATAAAAATTATGACATTGTTATTTGGTCAGCCACTAATATGAAATGGATTAATGAAAAAATGAAACTTTTGGGAGTATCTAACAATCCAAACTATAAAATTGCTTTTCATCTAGATTCTCTTGCTATGATATCTGTTCATACTCCCAAGTATGGAGTGGTAGATGTCAAACCGTTGGGTCTGATTTGGGGAAAATACAAACAATTTTCAGCTAAAAATACCATAATGTTTGATGATATTAGAAGAAATTTTATTATGAATCCTCAATCTGGACTGAGAATAAGAGCTTTTAGACAAGCTCACCTAAATAGACAGAAAGATAGAGAATTACTTAAATTATCAAAATATTTAGAGTTAATTGCCCCTCTCGATGACTTTCAAACTCTTAATCACAGGAAATGGGAAGAGTATAGATTAAAAAAGAAATGAGAAAATTAATGCGGCATGGACAACTTATACTCAGAACAATATGATTTATTTTAATTAGAAAGTATTTTTTATTAATTAATAAAGTTGCAAGAAAAAAATATTAATTTTTAAAGTAATTGATCAATTTTGCGCTATCATTCAAGCATACTTAATTATTAATGCTATAAAATATTATATATACTAGCTGTACTCTGGCAATTAATTTGTCTGTATTTAATTGAATTTTTTTTGTAAAAATCATTCATCGTGTAAAATAAAGGAATATTTTATTTTATAGATTTTTTGTACATATTTATTCATAAATGAATGTATCATAAATATTAATTTAATAAAATATGGTAATATAATTCTAACTTAATTTTTAATTTGGTTCTTAGAACAAGAGAACAAGTAGCATCTTAATTATTTATATCTTATACATTTTTTCTAGTTAATGTGAACTATAAGTAAATAACCTTTCCATATTTGTTGCATAAAGAGTGTGATTTTTTATGAGATTTTTATGAATTTGTAAAGTATTTAGCACATCTGATATGCAGATTGGTGGTGGATGAGGAACTAAAGTTTGTTTCGAACACGCCAAAGCAAATGCTGCTTCTTGTTCTGCATCTTCAATATCCATTTTTGGATTTGGCATTTGACCAATTGGATCCATAACTATTGCTGGAGATGAGTATTTAGCTTCTTGAAATATTGTAAAAGTGTTTCTTTTCCAAATACTAGGAACTGATTCTCCAAGATTATGAATAAATGATCCATCCTTGACACTAAAACCTTTTCTCCTCGATATTATAGCCGTTAAAATGTTTTTCAAAAATATCTGAGTAGCAGCAATAATAATGTAAGCTGTATTATCTTCAGCACCGTCCATATTATTTTCCCACGCTGCTACCATCAGCCTGGCAAGAACAAAAGTATGATCGGGTAATACCAATTCCTGGGCACTGGAGCGATTAGCACCAATGGGTTCATCGCCAACAGGAGAGGTTGCTTGGCTAAGCACATCACTATAAATATCAGCTGGCTCAAAGATTGAATCATCAGATCTATACTTTCGTTTCAAAAACACCTTTTCTTTTGTATCTTGCGAATTGTTATGAGTATTGTGATTAACTTTCAGTGGTCTGGTAGGTGTAGACACAACTAACCCTCGAACTTTATGGAATAAGCTGAGTAAAAATTCATTGTGTAAATGCACCTGTTCATCGTTCATCATACTTCTGACTGAGAAGTCAAATTCCTCTTTGGTACTTTTCATTTGAAACCATAGCTTCATTTTTTCAAAATACTTTTTTGTATTAATTTCACCCAGCGAAGCTGCAAGAGCTTTTCTCGAGACTGTCAGATCTCTTACCGTAGCCATTATTAAAATCACAATTGAATGTACTTTAAATTTCACTAAACTTAACTCTCACTGACAACACAGTAAACACTTGATAACAGTCGTCTGTCAGTTGATCCTGCTCAGTTCTCAGCACTCGCGCATCAGCTAGTCCAATAACGAACGACTGCGCGCTACGAAGCACATGTTTTGTCTTTATTTATGACCTGACACGACGATCGAGCTTACATCGGTTGCAGTGAACACTGAACAACAAACATTGAACATTTTAGTATGGTAAAATGACTTGACCCAGCGATGTTTTCATTGCGTGGCGCGCGCTTCACGCAACTTTACAAACTGTGCTCATAATACCCCCTCCCTTTTTTATTATTCAAAGGTAAAAAGCTTTACCTTCAATTAGTTCGAAGAAAATTCAAGTAATATTTTCACTAGAAACCGTATCATAATAATTTCATATTTGTAAAATTTATATTATTGTTGAAATATTTTTGTAAGATTAATTATTATGTTCTTATGAAAAAATAGCGATGCATACCAAAATGACCTACTTTTTACCAGTTCATAAAAATGTAACTTTGTGAAAAGCGTCGTGTAGTTTCAAATTAAATGTACCGCAACTGCTGCAAGTGCTCCTTTTTTCGTTACTTCACAAATCGCACCAAATAAGTCAATTAATTTTTGCACCGTCGCGCGCGCCTAATTGTCGAATACCCGCGTGTGCGTGAACAGCGAAACTGCGAAAAGCAAATTCAGCTGCCCTGCAGAATCCGCCGGCCGGTGGCGGTGGCGTAGCGATCGACCAAAATTTCGTACAATTCGAATAACTTACACGGTATCGTATCGCACACACGTTCGTTGTGGATAAACAACTTGAAATCCATAGCGCGATTTGGTCCGGTAGCCGTTTTCCCGGCCATATTCAAAACTCGTGTGTTGTTAACCTTAAAAATATTAAAAACTGACAAGTAGCAGCTTATAATTGCAAGTGGTACGTTCATATGGAATAAAAAACTTTTTTGAAAATAGAGCCACTGAATCATGTGAGCAGCGGTGTTTGCCTACCAAGTTCATGACAAGTTAAATTTCTCACATAAGTGTTCTCCAAATATTCGTTCGTTCCCATAACTATCAAGTGTTTTACCTGTTCTTTGAGTAATCTGTTTTGTAAAAAAAAAAACATTGTAAAAATGCCTAGAAGAATATCACTGATGCAAACAACCATGCCAAGGGAGGAAAATAATACCTCTCTTGGTAGGTCTGATTTGTTTGACGCTTTTAATGGTTCAATGCCCTCCATCACAATTGCTCCACATGAAATTCGCAATATTATGGCTACCAATGCTGAACGAAGCAATATGACTATAAGAGAGTTGATGGATGATAGCATGGCTACTGGTTTTGTCCTGAAAGCCAATGAACCTCTGCGCGAGGTACATTCAAAGTTGCTTTATGATTTCCTTGAAAGTGCACAGGCACGCAATTCTGAGCTACAAGTTTTTGAGACTGTTGCTGATTTCATTCAAAATTGCACTGAGACCTTGGAAAGTATGCGAGGTAATAAATAGTAAATATTAATATATTGTTAGGTACTTTCAATAAATTGATTTGTAATAAAGCTAATTTTCATGTTTTTAGAAATAAAATCCAAAGTAGAAACTACTGAACTGACTCCTGAAGAAATCAGCTTAGAAAATGAAAGAAATACATGGAGACTTGTTTATTGTTTATATCAAAATAGATTAGATTCTATAAATTATGATTCACAAATGGATATTGATATTAGTACTCATATATCTGAAAAAGAAGTTATAGATGCTCTATTTAAAAACAATAAATTGATTAGAGAATATCAGCTAATTATTGATTGGCTTGAAAGAAATGCTCTTGACCAAGCAGATAGATTACCATCCATTGAAACTTATACAGATAAAACAGTTGCTTGGGAAAATACACTGCATCAATTACAAAATAAAAAAGTAGGTATCTCATTTGGTTCGTCAAGGCCAATAGTTTCATCATTAGATCCAGATGCACCTGTACGCGAAGGCAAACCTTTACATGATTTAGATAAAGAAGATGATGCTAGACTAGAAAAAAGGATGCTAATAGAGGTAAATTAAAAGATTGAAACATTTTTATAATGAGATTTTATGATAGATTAATAATGATAATCGTTTGATTTAAGATACGGTGTGGAAGACTACAAAAGGCACAAGCATTGGCCATACACTGTGGTCAACATTGGAGGTCAGCTTGCTTGCTAGGATGGGTTCACTACTATGATCCCAACTACAAAAATCAAATAAAAGATGAGAAATATCCTGTTGAAGGCAACCCTAATAGGAGTCTGTGGAAGCTTTGTGCTTGGGAACTTTCCAATGACATCAGAGTGGGTAAGTTACACATAAATATATTTTCAAAAATTTCAGTAATAACATACAGTATAAAAAATTTCAAATAATTTTGATACATCATTGAAATATTTTTAATTTAGGTCAATATTACAGAGCTATTTACTCTAGCCTTTGTGGGAATATAAATCAATTGTTATCTATAGCAAATTCATGGCAAGATGGTCTCTGGGCATATATGAAAACACTTCTAGATATTAAAGTTGAAGCAGAGGTCAGGGGTTTTATGCCCAAATCTTATGTACCTTTGCCCGATGAATATTGGAAAGGTGAAAATAGTTTAGAAGATATTTTTGATGAACTGGAAGCTTCCAAAAATTCAGCAATATCAATTCAAGCAAATGAACCTGCTCATAAAATACAAAAATATTTGATACTAGACAATATACCTATGTTAATGGAAGATTTAGAAACTATCATCAATCAGAAAACTTGTGATGGACAATTTTTGAGATTCATTGCACACTTGGTATTGTTTTTGAGACAAATAGGAAAAAATTTAAATGAAAAAATTGCAGATAAAATTTTATTGGAATATGTTAAAGTTTTAATGGAACTTGGTGATCCAACATTAGTTGCATATTATGTTTCAACACTAGGCAGAGACGCTCAAATCATAAATTATGCCAAATTTTTAGAACATATTCAAGATAATGACCAGCGAACAAAGTGTCTTTCAGCTGCTGAAGCTGTAAATTTAGATATATTTGCTATAACTAAATTAGTTGTTGAAAACATTAGACAAAAAAATCTCGAAATGATTCCTGATCTAAAAGGAGAGATAACAGAAACTGATTTAGAAAAAATAAGCGCTTTAGACTGGCTAATATTTTATCCAAGTCAGCGTGATGAAGCTTTGTGGCAAACAAATGCTTTGATCAGATATTTTTTGACTAGCGAAAAACTAGATGCTGCCAGAAAAGCCTTTAACAAGGTTTATAATTTTATTAGTTGATTAATTTAGAATATTACTTGAATTCTTATATTTCATGTTTTTGTTTTACAGATACCAGAAGATGCCATTGAAGTTATATTAGAAGAATATCCTGCAATGGAGAATACGATAGAAAATCTTATGTCAAAAAATCTATTACCTAAGAAAGCATCATCTTCTATCCGAGAGTATTTATGCTATAAATCATACCTAGATGCACAAGAAGGATTCCAAGAATGGTTTTCTCATTTTCATCATGCCAGACCAACGCCGGTCGAAGAACCATCGGCTTATGCCACATTTACAGAAAAAGTAGCTTTTGAGCATAGATCTTCTCAATATAAAACTGAAATGAAAAGGTGGAAATCGACTATGCAACAGCACACTAAGGTAACTTGAAATTTTATAATAAAATAAATATCACGACGAAAAAATTAACATTGCATGTTTTTCAGGCTGTAAAGCAACTTTTGTTCAATGTCATTCTATTTCCTGACGGAGGTTGGTTGTGCGACTCGTATAACGGCACCAGTAATGAACCATTGACTCCCGAAGAAGTTTTACGAGAGCATCAAATGGAGAAATTGAGAAAATTGTGTATTCCGAAAATTGTTCTTTTACTTCATACTGTAATGAGCGAGATGAATGAACACTCAGAGTGCCTCGAACTGGCTGATATCATAGCATCTGAACAGCATGAAATTTACAAGGTATATTCTAGAAATGAATTATAGAATCAATTCTTTAAGCTTCGTAACTATAACTTTTACATTTTCCGGCAGGTATTTACGAAAGAAAAACTGCGGGAAGTATTCAGAAAGCTGTGTGAATCGTCTCTAGCTTTGATGAACCAGAAAAAAGATCCATGGGGATATCCAAAATAAACGAATGCAGAAGTTAATTTGGATTTCATTGTATATTTATTTATTTATTTAAAATGAACATATTGCGATTTTAAAAATGTGCTTATTACACATCGAGTTGAATGGCGTGACAGACAGACCCCAGCAATTTTTCAAGTTTGACTTGTACAGTCACTTTCAGCGCTTTGTTTTCCTACTTTGAAAATTTCTTTGTTTATTTTCTTTTTTACAAAACTCATTTGATGCCAATTATGTAACACATGAACGAGTATGAACTTTTTTGTAATTTGAATTTTATTTACTTGATACTAATCGTGTTCGTATCAATCGTCTATTGCCATTCACTGTGCAACTATCGTTATACATTTTGTGTACTTTGTAATTAGTTTTTTTCCTATGATTAGTACATCAATAAAATTAAGACTTTGGTAAATATTTGTTTTTCTATTTTGTCAATTGATCTCATAACACTTTCACGATAAAAATGAACGATGTTGAAAACAAGAGTAATTATGCACCTAATAGATGTATCCACCATTATTAGAACTTCTTGTTAAAGATGGCTTCGAGTAGGAAGTTTAATCGTTACATCGTAATTGCGCCTTTAAAATGTTGAAATTTTTACTATCAGTATGAGTAGAGACAAAGGGATAATTTAACAATTTTTTAAAAACACGATACATAGTATTTATAATTCCAATCAGAAACAGCAGATTTATTTTCCAACAAACTCTCTCGTCATAGTTTGCTTTTTTATAATCTAGAAGCGCGTTCGTGCTCTCTCTGGCAAGTATCGCAGAGTGATCTGTGGCTTACGCGGACTTATTTGATTTATAATACAAGTAGACCAAACGATCAACCATTTAGATTTTTTGTAGAGTTTACAGAAAAAATTTGTTTCAATTATTAGATTTACTTGGAGATTTAATTTTTTATAGTTTTAATTAGAACGTTCACGCCTATCAAGGATTTAAATTAAATGTTATTTAACAAAATAAACGTCATTATTATTTTTTTCGTCAGCTAGTGAGAAGTATTGAGAGCAACTATTTCATTGAATTAAAAAAAAATTAAATTATGAATTTTTTATTGTTAAGATTTCATTGATATGGCACGCAGACATCTTTCAAGATAATGAATCGCGCTTACTCTCAATAATTACCATACTAACTTTGTTTCATCCGTGTTTTGTAGGATTTTTATTTTGAACTGTGCATTGTTTATTTACATGTACATTGAAATATTTGAATTACCAATTCCGAATTAACTCCCAATCTTCAAAAACTAAAAAGACCACATTGATCTTTTCTATTTAAATGGATCGAGCGTACTGAGCTTTTTCAAAATATATTGGTTGAACTAGTCACCGCTAGGCGGCGTCGACTCGGATCGTCGCTCACGTAGTAGAATAATACTGGTTCTAGGCATATAAGAGCGTCTTTCTGCTACAGATATCATTGCAAATGGATAGTGAAGAGGCGGAAGCCTTGATTAATTATTAAATAACAATTGCCTTGACATTTGCCGTTTAGTATGCGCGTACGACCATTATCCTCACCGAGCCGTCGCTCCGCTCAGGCTGCGATGAGAGAGAGAGAGAGAGAGGGAGAGAGCTTACGTGTAATAACGAGCAAGTACTTACTGATGAGGCGATGGCACAGACCCAATAGCTCTTGTGTCCCTTTACAAGAATAATTTGCACTTGCTTCAAGTTAACCAACCAAAAAAACGATACTCACAAATCTACTCGAAGGAAAATCAATTGAGACGTAAAAGGCTCGAAAGACGGTAGCAGAATCTCCTCGCGGTATATCGGTACTAGACGCAATTTCGACATAAATGTTTCTTTTTAACTACGTTTCAGCATTGTTGTACCGAGAGCTTTCCAAAATTTTACATTTGCATATAGGGTGTCCTTCATTACAATGGGCGCAATTACTTTGAAAGCTTGCGATAATCACACGTGCACCCGATTCATTTTTACATATCTTCGACGTTTATTATTTGCTATAGTATTTACTCGCTTCTGGCTCCGCTTTCAAAATGCTAATTCTGAAAGCACAATTCGCCAATGAACTTGCGTAATTGTTCAAAAAGTGTCAAAACCAAGCGACTCTTCCCATTTCGTGCAAATCTCAATTGAAAGTTTCTTTTTGAGCATACGAACGATGATTCCTTTATCTAACTTTACTCCGAAGGATTCCAGCATATTGATATGTTGACGGGCGTCGTTGATAATTTTTGTTAACCCTTCGAATGAGGTTTAATGTCGAGCGTAAGTATGCAGCATGTACCGTCATAATGTCTAGCAATAAGTATGCGTTTTTAATTTAATGGGACAACCGTTTGTAACGACTTCCATCAAATTGCGGAAGATTAGCAATTGGAAGTTCGGTGTGCCAATGGTGGTCAATGAACTATTATTCGACTGACCACGATTCATGATAGATCTCGCCTTCGTTGCACAAAATTTTAATGCGAAAGTATAAATCAAAGGTTGAGAAAATTAATTAATTTTAATAAAAAAGTAAGTTACATAAAAATTTTATATACATATCACAAAATTTCGCTTATCTATCATATCTTCGAAATTGTTTTCGCTCTTTCTCTACTTGTTGTTCTCGATCGTCGCGAGCGCAACAGCAGAAGCAGCTTCGTCCGTCGGCGCAGCTACTTCTTCCTCTTTCAGGATCAACCACGAGGGAGGTTTCATAACAGTCTTCTTTAACCTCCTCCTACAGAGTGTGGAAATTGTTGGTTTGGACTCGGCCTTCGTTTCTTTCGTTTTTTCTCGACTCACGCCAGCAGAAGAAGCAGCGGCATTGGATTTGCTTTCAACAAAACTGAAAATCAAGCAAATTAACGAATGAAATTTTTTCAAATTGATTTATTTAAATGAAATGATAAATCTACTGCATTTAATAACAACAAGCCATTAATAGTATTCTCATCACTCTCATGAGCTCAGGTATTACCTTCCAGCTAAGCAAACATTCAACAAATCCTTGTTCTTCAGATTGTCGATGATCATTTCGCAGCAAAGAATTGGAAATCTGTACTTCGTCAGCTTCAAGAAAGAATCCAATGCCCAGGACCGGAAAATTCCTCTAGCTAGTTTCTCGCACAGGTGCTCAGCACAGGCCTTTTTATGCGTTCCAAAAAACTCCGACCTATCGTTCGAACGTGCAAATTCCAAATACTCGGTATACGTGAGCGATTTTTCCGCCTCTTCGGGTCGTAGCCGGATAAGGTCGTAGAGCGACAGACGCGAATTCATCATTATTTCTTTGGATTTATTCACAAACTCGTCGTCGTCGTACCATGGCTGACGTTGATCCAAATCCTCAAACGTATCGAACAATTCGAACTGAACGAAAGATTTCATGATCGTCAGGGCATCGCTTCGGTTCAGCTCGTATCCTCTCCTCTCGAGATTTTCGACGATGATAAGAGCGGTAGAGGCTACTTTCAATTTAAACATAATACTTTCATACGGCATCGGTTCTAATCCTTCGCCGTGATAACTTATGGGTGGGTAAACGAAGCCAGACAAATCGGCACCGTGATCCAAGAATACGTCGACCGTACGTGGCTTGAGTCTCGCCACGGCCCATTGCAAAGGTGTCTGGCCAAATCTGTTAGGGGCATCGACTTGCACCGGCTGCTGGATCTCGACGCAGGTTTCGAAAAACCACTTCGCAAACCCATCGTCGTCGCCTAGTGACATCGCAATTATGTGCAAAGAGGTCAATCCACTAATTTCACCGGCTAAATTTGGGTCGGCACCTTTTCTCAGTAGCAACTGAACTATTTTTCCGTGGCGACCGAGTACAGCGCATTGTAGTGCCGATGAAACTCGTAGATGCTCGCCCGAGAGGCAATTGGGATTCTGACCGAGCTCGAGAAACTTCGCGACGATGTCCTCGAAGCCGTACTTGCAGGCCACGTGAAAATGCGTTAAACCCGTATTCTCGTCGGTGTAATTCACGTTACAGCTGTCGTAAATTTCAAATAGCGCTTGGACCGTACTCTTACGGCACATTTGCGCACGATGAATCGCTGTGGTGCGAAGCGACAATGGCTTGCCGTCGACGCCAATTATCGGCTCGTCCTTGTATCCGGTGCGAGCTACTAACTCGATGAATAATTCTTTCTGATTCTGAGAGAGTAGATTCTGCTCGGCACGCTCGATCATAGAATTTACGGAATCCAAAAGAAGTTGGTCGATTTCTTTGGGCTCAAAGGTGTCTCGTAGATTCGGAAGTGGGCCCGTCCATTTGCTGAATAATTTCAGCAATCGATGAAGAAGTTTGACTCGGTTATCTTCGTTCTCCCAATTGGTATTTTCACGTAACATCTGTAACTTTTTTAACTTCTTGAATTTAACTGTCCAACCGCTGCCTCGTTTTCTGAGTATCGCTTCGCGCACTGACACACAACACACAATCATTATTCACACAAATATTTGAATCGTTTATAATTTCAAATGTTTCTTGTTCTTTTTTCACTAGCTGCAGTCTATGCACACTTTTTTGTTCTTGACGCTTCGGCGTCGTTGAGTGTACTATGCATTCATGTACACCACAATGTGTGTAGAGTGGAAAAAACATGTGCTCGTAGCTGTAAGACATACCAGTAACCTACGTAAAGAGTGAAAATTCTATGCGACAGTAGTAGTCATAACACATGGCCAGACATAGGCCTCGCCCCTTCTTTGCTGGACTTTCACTTTCTAATTTTTTCCGAATTCATCGACTTCGAGTTTTTCCTTTCGGCTCCGAGCGTTGGGCTGGAGCTTAGAGTGGCGCTGCAGTCACAATTTACACGTTACCATTTAAACAGGAAGCATCCTGTCAAAAATGTCAGCGTCGGCCGCTCGAACTAAATTTTTTCTTATGAAAATTAACATGAGAAAGCGCCATGCTCGGGGCCAATAGTTCGGTTGTGCGGGCAGCATGAAAAATGAGACATGTATTAAAATTTAAATCATTATTATATTTCTTTGTTGAAATTTAAAAAATTTGTTTTTTCAAAAAATCATTAAGTAAGGAAGTCTGACCCAACTTGCTCCGGGTGCTGACCTACAAATCGGTTGATACTTATCGTCTTTGAGCTCGAATAACAACTTCGCCAAGTCGTATTTTTCTTGAAAAATTGTAAGCCAATAAGGAGTCACTTAGTTCGCATTGCCTGAATTCGGTTCGTGCCTCCTTTCAACCGCAGTTCAACTATATTCTTGACGTACTGTCGCGTGTACCTACACTTTTGCTATGAATGGTTCACTTATGTTAATTTAGACGGTGAACAATTAGAGCTGCAGTGTTAAACTTTTTCACACGTGTTCAGGACATGAAGAAGAATAAGTTCAAAGATATTTAGTGTTTTGACATACTATATTGAATGTTGAATGATGAATCAACTATGTGATTAAACTATAGACCTACAGAGAATCTTTTTTTAGATACAGGAACCAGAAAAAAGATCCATAGGGATACCTTAAATAAACGAATGAAGACATTAATTTGGATTTCATTGTATATTTATTTATTTAAAATGAACATATTGCGATTTTAAAAATGTGCTTATTATACATCGAGTTGAATGGCGCGACAGACCCCAGCAATTTTTCAAGTTTGACTTTTACAGTCACTTTCAGCGCTTTCTTTTCCTACTTTGAAAATTTCTTTGTTTATTTTCTTTTTTACAAAACTCATTTGATTCCAATTATGTAACACATGAACGAATATGAACTTTTTTGTAATTTGAATTTTATTTATTTGATACTAATCGTGTTCGTATCAATCGTCTATTGCCATTCACTGTGCAACTATCGTTATACATTTTGTGTACTTTGTAATTAGTTTTTTTTCCGATGATTAGTACATCAATAAAATTAAGACTGGTAAATATTTGTTTTTCTACTCAAGCACGTACAATAATTTTTGTCAATCGATCTCATAACACTTTCACGATAAAAATGAACGATGTAGAAAACAAGAGTAATTGTGCGCCTAATAGATGTATCTACCATTATTAGAACTTCTTGTTAAAGAGCGCTTCAAATAGCAAGTTTAATCGTTACATTGTTATTGTGCCTTTGAAATGTTTTTTTACCAGCAGTATGAGTAGAGAAAAAGTGATAATTTAACAATTTTTCGAAAACACGATACATAGTATTTATAATTCCAATCAGAAACAGCAGATTTATTTTTCAACAACCCCTCTCGTCATAGTTTGCTTTTTTATAATTTACAATACAAGTAGACCAAACGATCAACCATTTAGATTTGTTGTAGAGTTTACAGAAAAAATTTGTTTCAATTATTAGATTTACTTGAAGATTTAATTTTATATAGTTTTGATTTGAACGTTTACGTCTATCAAGGGTTTAAATTAAATGTTATTTTACAAAATAAACGTCATTATTATTTTTTCCGTCAGATGGTGAGAAGTATTGAGAGCAACTATTTCATTGAATTAAAAAAAAATTAAATTATGAATTTCTTATTGTTAAGATTTCATTGATATGGCACGCAGACATCTTTCAAGATAACGAATCGCGCTTACTCTCAATAATTATGCACTAACTTTGTTTCATCCGTGTTTTGTAGGATGTTCATTTTGAACTGTGCATTGTTTATTTACATGTACATTGAGATATTTGAATTACCAATTCCGAATTAACTCCCAATCTTCAAAAACTAAAAAGACCACATTGATCTTTTCTATTCAAATGGATCGAGCGTATTTAGCTTTTTTAATATATCTTTAATGTATATTAAAAATGTTCACACTGATTAGAAAATATCTTTGACTCGTGTTAAAATGATTTACTTGAACATTTAGAAAAACTTTTAATACAAATTATCCTTACACTTATTTATTAATCCGTTTTAAGGAGATACCGAAACCAAGACAAAATTAAAATTTTCCGACACGTTTTTTAAATTTACATTTGATTATATTTTTTAAAAGCTACATAGATGTCTAAAAAACAACAAAATAAAGACATCTACGTAGCTTTTTCACGAATATTCTATGGTAATTGCAAAAAATGTGTTTGAAAATAATCATCTTAGTCTGGCTTCATATATTTCCTCAACAATGAAATACATGCAAAACTCATAATTCAAAAACAATTTAAAAATTTCATGGAACACATCAAGTCAAATTCAGCTTGTTAGCTCAAATTGGATAAAATTGTACGTCTTCTGAGTTTGCAGTAAACGATGCGATAAGTTTATTTTAAGCTCATCGAAAAAATACGTTAACAATTTTTTAGATTTAACACGCATGACGAAAATTAAAAAAAAAATTCTTAAAAAACACTTAACTCCGTTACTGCTTGGGAAAAAATCTGACGTTTTCGATGAAAACTATTTTCAAATATTTTTCAATAAAATAATTTCTAAAAAAAATATTAGTCTGTGAAGCTTATTTTCACGTTATTTTTTAACCTTTATAATTACATATTATTATATCTATGATACATCCACGCTAAAAGTTAAGCTTTGTACAATAATACGATTATATAATACTTATAGTTTCACTTTCAACAGTAGTAAATTATTAAATAAAACGGCTGAACATAATTTTGGATTGACATTTCTTTCGTAGCAAGTATAAAACAAGAGAAGATCCGTTGCCACGTATACAATGCATTTTTTAAAGATTATAGTACCACACTCAGCCATCAACAATTCAACTAGTCTCATTCAGACTAATCAGACATCAGAAAATTCACGAAAAGATCCTTCTATTTTTGCAGAGATCCCTAAAATGTTAGTAGTTTTACTTATTTATCCCATGTAAGTAGGTATTGTCAATAATTTTTCATGAACTAACGCGATGAGTGCTGGACCAACGGATTTCTTTTATTGTCATACGACTATTGGTAAAAACAAATAAATTATCAGGCTCTTGCACAGTTAGTTAGTATGATTATTATTGTCTATTTTATAGATACGCGATGAGCAATATTGATGTACCTTAGGCTAATTTAATTAGTACTTTCAACCGTGGACATTTTTAGAGTTGCTCCGCTCAGATTTTTCATTTTATGGACAAATTACGGTGAAATAATTGTAATTTATTGAATTAGAATACGATGAAAATGGTAATATAATTATGAATTAATCTATAATTTAATATCACAACAAATTATTATCGCTGAAAATTAAATTCATAGAAAAATTATCTTGAAAAATTTGGTTTTAAATCCTAGTAAGTAGAAACAATTTAAAAAATTAACGTAATACTTAACTATTTGAAATATTGGCCTTGCGGGGCAGCCTATTAGAACGTGTCGGCTTATCTTAAAACTATTTATTGTCAGACATCAGCTATTTTTGACTTATATTTCATGTATTAGTCACATACAACTATTTGATCATCGATTCTGCATTAACTATACGTACAAGAGAATTTACGAGAGTTCGTACTTCAAGAATTTTTTTCTCTAATCATTTACAAAATTGTTTCAAAAAATTTTACTAATTAATATTTAATTCATCGAGGATACCGTGGACATGTTTTTTTTATTGTCTTGATTATTGATTTTATCATTGATTTTGATTAAACTACCCGATTGGTGTGCCTTTTATACCAATTCGAAAGTCTAAATGAGTTAAAAAAAGTATAGTCGTGGACGCTAATATAAAAATTATTTAATAATTATTCATGCCAAATTTCTATCTTAACAACAATAATAATACTCTTGATCATAAACTTTTTCAACTAATCAGTAAAACTTACATTTGCTCCAATTCACGACCTCATTTTTCAAAGGTATGTGTTAGTACAGATGACAGTTAGTTAAATATCTAATACACATTTTTGTAAATTTTCGTAATTTATTCAACATCATACAAACGTAGAATGAAAAAATAATGTATAATTAATCAATTAAATGCAGCTGGTAAAGTGAATAAAGTTACCCCCTCAAATTTATGAAAAGATGGAATTCCCAACGAATCACATTTTCCCTACTTTCATCTTTTTTTTTATTATATTTAACATATTTATTCATTCAGATCAAATAAATTTGCACCCAAGGCACATTTTACTTTCTTCTCGTGAAATTTATATATCGTGGGAGAGAATTTCTAATCGGCTACTCTTTATCGATTTTTCTAGTCATATTTACAGCAATCAGAGCGAAAATATTTTTTCGTATTACCAATTACAATTATATTTCGTACGTTGAAGAGTTTATCATGCCCACTTTTAATTTTTTTTAATATATTACACATATACATGTACACATGATATACATGCATTACAAATGCGAGTGAGAACGTAACGTATACATAATATGTATTTATAATTATTTATATATTTTTTTTATACTATATTGTCTTCAATTCTTTGTATTGTCACCAGCAAGCCAAAATACGACTTATAAATCTTTTTTGCCGCTAGTGTTGTGTTTATTTATTGTCAAACAGCATTTCAATAATTATTGTCCTTAATGCCTACTTATGAGCTATTGTACTCAAAGTTACTTTAATAGTTCAATTCTAAATTATGTTAATTTTTGTGCAAGATTTACAATTACACGCTCCGTACACACGCCTCGGAGCCCAGATAAAATTATTGTCGATTACAATTTTTTTGACTTTCATTTCTATTGTTGCTTTTTTTCAAATTGAAGAGATATGACTTTTTCAGATATGTCCGATACGTCTGTGATTTTTATGATAATATGTCCGGTCACAGTGATAAAATTGATATTTTAATTTTTTTCATACTTTCACTCTTTTCAAAGATTACGCTATTATTTCGATATTTCGACTTCTGCTTTTTGAACCGTTTGCTACATTGCATTTATATAACAATGAACATAATTTATTAAATTGTAAATCGCGGATATTTCATCTTTAAAACGTCTAATTTTTAGGAACTTCGATATATTTTTTGAGACTTCATATGCAATTTATGCGTAAAATCTAACTTTTCCCTCGACGTAAATCAATTATGGAAAAAAATGCATACCAAAAGCTCGTAAGAATCAATAGAAATCAATAATTTTTTTACCAATTTTTTACTGCTTTAGAAAAATATTTAATCGTTGAAAGATCCCAGATTCACAATTCAATAAAAAACGAACGCCATCCTGTAAAAATAGCGCTCCGCGTGTAAATAATTTGTGCTTAGGTACAGTAAAGGGTATACTTTCAATTGTTATTTAGTTTTTTTTTTCGTTCGTTAAAGCAACTATTGTCTTAGCCAAGTGTAAAGCAATACGTCGAAAATGTTTTTTTTTTTTTTTATTGTCGCGTTATCATTATTTTTGTTCTCGAGCTCCTGCCTCCGCATCGCGAGATATTGTCATATGTTACAGTGTACGTTGCATCTTTCAATTCNTGGGGGGGGGGGGGGTGTACGTATCGAGTATAATAACCATCGACTCTCTCTCCCCTGTTGTTGTTGTTGTTGTTGTTGTCATCATGTATATAATACGAAATATTTGGAATTGAAATTAGCTCTTGAAAATATCATCGGTGAATTTGTCGAATTACCATATCCGTTACATACAATATATAGTTTTGCACGCGCCTATCGAATAAAAGCTCTCGTAACCGCGCGCGCGGGGTTAATTATAATGATATATAATAATAATTATATATGATATACTCTCTCTTTACAACCTTACGATAGTCGGCAGTAGCTGCCGATACTTTCTGTGTTTTATTTTTTGCCCTTAATTATACATATTTTTTTGCTTACAGCTATCGTTTTACTTTCATCGTTTACCTTCTTGTTTTGTGCTCCTTGTAACGTATTACTTTCGTCGTTATACTTTCATCGAGGTTTCGATTCAATTATTATCATAATTTTTTTATTTTTTTATACATATAACGTGTCGCGCGAGAGCAGCTTCAACGAATTTTTTTATTAATTATTGACCACATTTGTTTGCTCGTTCACACTCCTCCGCCCGCAGCGCGTCACAGTAGTCTTCATCTGAGGAGGCCGTGGAAGGTCTGCTGCAGGCCAGCAGCCAGGAGCAGCACGAGGATGGCCGCCGGCGACGGGTGACCGGCCGACGACGACGACTTGCTCTTGGACGAGGCGCCCGCGTCCACCACGTTGATCTTCCAGCCCAAGTTCTTGTGAGTGTAGCACTGCCAAGGAAAGAAATAGTCGAAGTTCGAGATCGTATATAAAATTTAAAAAGTTTTTGTATATAGTAGCTCACCTGATAGTAGACGAGATCGGGCGTGTCCTCGTCGACGTGCCAGACGATGGTGGCGGGCTCGCCCTCCTCGCACTCGAGCCTCAGCGTGGCGAAGAACTCCTCGAAGGTCTCGCTCTTGGCGCTCTGGTCGGTGCGCCTGTGCTTGTACTCGCAGTAGCGCCCGGCCGCCGTCGGATACGGATAATTGTTGCCGTCGTACTCGACGCCCGCGTACACCTTCTGGCGTCGCTGCTGCGAGTCGGTGAGCTGGCCGAAGCCACCCTCGGGGCTGTCGGTGATGTAGAACGGATGGTACCGGGCGGGATTGGTCTTGTCCTTGCCGCCCTCGACGACGAACGTGTAATTCTGGCCGCGCTCCACGGTGATCTCGGGGATGAGCTTGTCGTTGATAAACCAGGCGATGCCCCACGACGGCTGGCCGGTGATGCGCGAGTAGCCGCGCGGCCCACCGGTGGGTCCTATCCGGGCGACGAGATTGGTCTCGCCCTGGATGGTGGCCGCCGGCCAGGCCTTGACCTCGGGCTCGGCCGGCATCTCGTAGATCGAGCCGGTGCACTGGTGCTTGCCCCTGGCCCCGAAATTGATCCTTATGTCCTCGTCGGTGGCGTCGGCGCTCGTGTGCGCATTGGCCTCGTAGTTCTTGTTCAGCAGTCCGATGGCCGCGATGATGGTCGTCTCGGTCTCGGGTATCATCCTATCGTAGAGCGCCTCGTTGGTGCGCAGCGGCCTCTTGTACGTCACCGAGGTCACGCCGTTCCTCCTCGTGCCGTTGATCAGCACCGCGTCGTTCTTCCCCCCTATCTTGTGATCCGGACACACGCCCCGCTCGCCGTCGCACTGCGAGTAGTCCGACATGTAGTAGTCCTCGGCGAAGAAGCTCCTGCGGTCTTTGTTGTAGCCCACGACGACGACGTCGGCGCCACGCATCCTGGCCTGGCCGTCCTCGCCCGACAGCCCGAACGCGATGTACTGCTCCTCGCGGATGCGGCCCGTGACGCGCACGTGTATGTCCTCGCCCAGCAGCTCCCATTGCACCTGGACGCGGCCGTCGAGCAGCTCCATGCAGTTGCTGAGCTCGGGCGCGGCTGTGCTGCTCGTCTGCAAGATTTTTGAACGATGGCAATGTTTCAATGATGCCGTATACTCGAGCCAATTGGTTCGGTTTCATGCGCAATTTATTTACAACGAGATTATTTTTTAAATTGATTATTAAAATTATTCCAATATTTTTCGCTGTGACCATGTTGTCTACGATTATATGCGATCTATGTGCATCTTATGCGTTGCTACGGATATGATTGGTATAAACGATTTATGGATCGACTGCTGATCTTTATGTTGTAAATGCATATTCGTACAATCGGATATCGAATGTTGAAAATTAAAACATCGAAAATGTAACATTAAGCTCGATACACTGAGAAAAAAGTCGCTGATTCTTACTTGATATGTAGATTGTAATTTACTGTTAGAACGAATAAAATATGTAAGAGAAAATTAAATATGCAATTGATCCTATTAAATGAGTATAGAAACTAATTATTGTATCAATATTATTCAAGTCAGTTTAATAAAAAAAAATACTTTATTTCTAATGAGCAATAGTCGATTGACTCAAATAAATATTTTTAGTTCGAGCGAGACTCTCAGACGTCGCGTACTTTCAAACTTATTCCTAGATGGCGCGATAAGAACTCGCAAGCGGCGAAAAATCTTCAAATTACTATATAAGAGCTCGCATAGCTTAATTTTCTAAATACTAGAACGTAACTGTTAAAGTTTTCGCAAGGCTAATAGAGCTTTTTTTCTCAGCGTACATCGAGATGTTTGTGCATATATTATTATATATTAAAAAAGTCACTACGAATTTTACACAGGTGCTGGATGACAATGAATACTCACTGGAGTATACCACCATGGCGGCTATTCCGTGCGTATGCGATAATTATACATAAATAATTGATATTAGATATTATAGTTGTGGAGCTATTTCTTAATCGATGTTGATCGATGAGTCGAAAAAAAAAGTAACTTTGAAATCATACTCAATCGAACAATATACCTATACGTGTAAATGTCTCATTGTCTTGGATACAATAATGTTCTCGTATCATAGTAAATGAATGAAAACGATTTCGTAATTGTCGTTGTTAGCTGTCGTGGAAACTAATGATCATGTATATCGTGATGTATATAAGCTAAGCTCGTTCTCTCTAAAAAGTGTTTAATAAAAAGGTGAAAACGAGATTTCGGGAAAAATGTGCGCTGCTCACCGCGATCTTGGTCTGTCCCAGGGCCGGCGGCACGTCCAGGTCCTTGGGTATGAGCACGTGGCCGAAGTTGTGCCTGTACTGCACGCACCAGACCGCCAGCCAGTCGATGTCGTAGACGGTGAGGTTGCCCGGCAACACGATCTCGATGTCCACGCCCTCGTAGCCGCGCAGCGGCAGCGAGCTATACATAATACACGTAACACAGACAGACAGACAGACAGGTATAATATTAAATATTATGCACCAGTGCGCTAACGCGCGCCACGCGCCTCTACTTACATTACAATATATATGTACATCGAAATTTTCGTTTCGCTGGATTCGCGGTATTTCATATACATTTGCCCTCTTACCTGTTCATCTCGTTGGGCACTTTGGTGCCGTAGACGTTGGGCTGGGGCCCGTTTCCTACCCAGAAGTAGGCGTCCGGCCCGGCGCCGTCGTAGTGCAGATTAGGGATGTAGAAGGTCTTGCTGTCGAGGATGGTGATGTTGTCGCTGCGCAGATTGTGAGCGAGCCGCGAGAACTCGGGCAGCACGCGCACCGAGGGTATCTTGAGGTTGGCGGGGATGTTCACCTGGCCGAAGTTCACCTGTAACGTATTTTTTTTTGCATGAGTCAATTAGGATGTATATGGCTTATATATAAGTCGAGGGTCGTGCAGCACACTTAAAATTCAATTCGTAAAGTCGATCCATCATTCTCGGCTCTTCTCCCCCCGCCGAGCGTGTATAAGGTATATTATCGGGCTCTCTGCTCTCCTTCTCGCGTTATATCGCGGATTTGACGTCGCGCCGTGGGGAGTCATCCTCGCTCTCTACGTCGTCGTCGTCGTCATCGTTTATTGCGCGTATATAGATATATACATCTGCAGTATAGTGTAATGCGAGGGGCGTCGTCGTCGTAAGTGTGCTGCTGCGCGAGAGCCGTGAGAGAGAGAGATAACGTGGAAAATGCGATGCAGTCTATATAGAGCTGCAAACGTATATAAAGTTTTCTCCTGCGTACGCAGCAGAAGCTCGTCTGTCTCTTTCTCTCGCTCACTCACTCACTCAGCAGCGGGGTGGCTTCGTGATTTTTACCCTCGTATACGCTGCCGCTGCTGCCGAGCGCGTGCCCGAGTAGATCAAGCCTAATTTCTCGCAAAGTCGAAGATTTCGCGCTCGAGATGAAATATCGCTATTTTATGACGCTCGAGAGAGAGAGGCGGAGCGATCTCGTGTTACAGGGTAAGATAAAGCGACGCCAAGAGCTACAAATGATTCTTAAGACTAACTGTATATATTTCGTCACTTTTTTTTTTTTATTACGTATAACTAAAAACTAAATTGTCATGGTAAAATAAGGCTCATTATTCGACTCGAAGTACATGATAATTGTACCAAAAGTCGCCATAAGTAAATTCGAGGGTGTGTAATCAGCATCACGGCAGGGTGAGGATGGGGATGAAGTATACAGCAGCCGAGAGAGCCACTCTGCATCGCTGCGAACGACCTGATAAGTCCAATCCATAATTTATGAAGCCTCGAGTAATGTTATACACCGCGCGGAGCTGTGTGTGTGTGGCGGTGAATGGCCGTAGCGTATAATAACTTTGTCGCTCTTGTTGCAGCCCACAGCTGCAGCTCATTATCTCCTTCGTTTGGTGTGTACATAAGTATAGAAAAGTATATTTTTCAATTGTCGGATCTTATTTCGCGAATCTAGTTCGCAGCAAGTTTCGTGCAATTCGCCAAGGAGATAAAATCAATCTGACATCATTTTTTTCTAATTTAAATATTTTTATTTTTTATTTTTGACGCGTGATGTGCTTGTGGTAACAAATATATATAATAAAATCGAGATCTTTCACAACGGACATTGATGAATAAAAAGTTCATTGATTATCACTAGCTTTGTATTGTCTACAAATCATCATTCTCTTCGCTCCTTTTTCTATAAATTTCATAACGAGTATGAAAAAAAAAGGAACCTTCGTTATCTTCACCCTTCCGTTTTTAATTTTTTTGTAGCTTCTTCGCCTGCCTCGGGTACCTTCTCACCGCCACATTCCGTTTCGTTCTTTGGCACCTCTTTCTTATTTTTCTCGCGTCTCACAGCCTCAGCCGCGAAGCAAACATTCTCATAATCTTGGTGCGTGTGCTCATTCAAGATCATATCGCAGCAATTAGCCGGCAGCCGATAGCTCGTCAGCTCCTGCAACGAGCGCATCGCCCATCTGCGGAAGTAGCGCCTCGACAGCATCTCGCACAGGCGCAGCTCGCAAGCCTCGCGACGTACTCTCGGCAGGATTCTGCCCAATCCGTCCTTTCGCGCGAACTCGAAGCAATCCGCGTACGAGAATTGGTCGCTTTTGCTCGATAACTGGAGCAAGTCGTGGAGCGACGGACTGGTCGGCTCGTCTCGGCGAAGCATTATCGTCTCGAAAACGTCCGCGTCGTACCAATCTTCGTTGCGGCGCATGAAATTAACGACATCCGCGGACTCGTCGAACACTTTGTATTTCGCGAACAGTTTGATGATCGCCAGGGCGCCGCTTCCGTCCAACTCGTATTCCTCGGTCTCGAGACTGTTGACGATACTCAGAGCGCTGGCGACTATCGTCAATTTGGATCTCTCGGGCATCGATTCGGAAAACGCTGTTCTGTCGAGGCGACTCTCGTCGAGGAAAACGAATTTGGACCGATCGGCGCCGTTCTCCAACAGTGCGTGGACGGTGTACGGCAAGAGCTTCGCCACGGCCAATTGCAGCGGTGTCCGGCCCTTCGGATCCACGGCGTCGATCTGTACCACACGATTGGTTCTGTTGATTATCTCGAAGAACGACTCGGCCCAATCGTCGTCCTCCACTTTGTCGCAAATCATGTGCAAAGAGGTCCGCCCCTTCTCGTCGGCCGCATTCGGATCGGCTCCGTTCCGCAGCAGCACCTCGATCAACTCCTTGTTGGGCTGATACAGAGCTATGTGCAGCGGCGTCCGACCCCACTTGTCCCGTGCGTCGACCTGCACCGTCGACTTCTTGATCTCGTTGCTCACCTTGATCAGCCATCCTATCTCCCTGGAGCAACCTTTCCAGCTGAGCTCGTGCAGAAGAGTCGTACCCGTCGTATCGGCTTGATTCGGATCCGCCTCGTATCTCAGCAGCAGCTTGACCAGCTCCTCGCTGCAGTGATGGGAGACCAGTGCCACGTGCAACGGTGTCTCGCCCGCGTCCGTGCATCTCAGCCCGTACATCAGCGAGGATGCTCTCTGGGTGAGGCAACGATTGGGATCCACCCGGCCGAGCTCGAGGAATTTCCCGACGATGTCCAGGCAGTTGAACTTGCAGGCTATGTGGAAGTGCGTGTAACCGGTCTCGCCGATGTAGTTCGCCTCGCAGCCTGCGTATATCTCGAAGAGCGACTTGACCAAGGCGCTGTCGGTGAATTTTGTCAAGCCAGCCGCGTAATGCACCGACGTGGTGCGACGCAACACCGGCTTGCCATCGGCGTCTACGTCCGGCTCGTCCTTGTAGCCGGTCGAGTTCACGAAGTCGATGAATTCTGCTACTTTCGCACGATTACTGTCGTATTTTTTTACGGCATCGCAGAGAACGTTCTCGATTTCTCGGGACCCGGGAAAAATTTCTCGTAGGTTTGGATATTGGCCCGTCCAGTTCTTGATCAAGGAACACAATTGATCGAAGAGTTCGTATCGCTCTTTTTTGTTATTCCAATCGACCTTTTCCAGTAAGATCTTCATTTTTTCAATTTTCGTCTGGTTCGGATCAATCGCATTTTCGTCGTTCTTCGGAGTCGTCGAGTCCATTCTTGATTTTTGTTCGCGAAAATCACTCGCCGCGATCGATGAGATCGATGAGATTTCTGGCCGTTCAGGCCGTTTGACTATACAGCACTAGCCTACGATCTAAGAAGAGAAAGTAATAAACACGCGTGTACAGAGTAAGAATCGTTAAATTTGCTGACGATTAGGAAAAGGCAGATGATGTACGGGCCATGTGTTTGTGTAAATAATAACAAAGGTACGTTTGGATCCACACAGACGTTTAATACGACTACAGAGCCGTTCAATGTTCAGGATGATTTTCAACTCAAAATCAAATATTTTACGCGATCCAAAAAAAGTTATACGAGTAACACATACATAATATACAAACGTATAATCGTCCGAGCGAAAATATAATTTCGCTCTTGCGCGGCCTACGAGCTCTACAACCGAGTTTCGAAATGCCTCCCAAAAAATAGCAGGAAAGAAAAAGAAGAAAATAATAATAAAAAATAAGACCAGCAACGTTGACCTCGTTGTCCATTGAGCTCGAGCCAGCTGATGCTGTGTGTATATAAAAGCAATATCAAGCGCCTCGAGCCGCGTGCAACTTTTTCGAGGCTCCACGCCCGGGATTATACATCCCGCGCTGAATGACGTTCTTCGGCCCCGCGTCGTGGATACGATATACACGTATATGTACGCGAGTACCACTACGTCAGCGCGGCGCGCACGATTATGAATGCATTCCGAGTATACTGCAGAGCTTTTACTATACGTGTATACCACGTTCCGTATGTAATAGCTCCGGCTCTCGAGTATAGTATAGAGTTGAAAAAAAAAAAAAACGACGACGACGACAACTCGATACTCGCTCGCGCGGGGTGCAGGAGTTATAACGAGGAGAGTTGACTGAAGTTATATACATGCGTGTGTGTGTGCAGGGCCTATAGGACGTAATCTGGAAATAATTAATAAGACCCGCATTGTGCCTGATTATCAGTCGGCGCGCAGCCAGTCGCGACACAAAGCAGATATAATACACGCATACACGATGATGTATCAGAATCAAAGTGTGACGAGGGTACGTGTATAATAATACATTGGCCTAAAGAGCGGCAAGATGCTTATGTATAGAAGAGCGGCAAAGGCTATCGGATCACCACCCACGCACACATACACAACGGAGGGTGAGAGAGAGAGAGAGAGAGGAGAGCAGTGAAAAGGCGAAAGCTCGATCAGGCACTGTGTGTGTGTGCCGCCGCGCTGATTCCCGGCCAAACGCAGCAGCGGCAGAGGCAGGCACGCGCCCGCTGATAAGATCGCGAGAGCGGAGCAGAGCAGAGCAGAGAGAGAAAAGCCTCGGGGGCGCAAAATAATAATCGCCTGGGCTTATCAGTCCACCGGGATCGACCCTCGGCAACTGAAATTGAGACATTCATGCATCGACGACGAGCCATACTCGTTAGCTCTGGCAGCAGCAGCAGCTCTTTTATGCTCTGCTCTCGGTACTCTCTCTCTCTCTCTTCGATCCTGTCAGCGAACCGAACGCGAACGGGATCCGTGATATCTTCGCGCAGACAACGCACAGCCTCTCTCTCTCTCTATATATATTATATGTATATAGGTGTACTATACCGATGTCATATCTGCTGCCTCGTGCCTCCTCCCCCACTTTTCTTTTTTTTTCTCTCTCTCTCTTTTCTCTATTATCGCTGTCCAAAACTATTGTTCGACTCTAGGATATTTTTCTTCGTCGAGAAGAAGAAGAAGAAGAGAAAAAAAAGAACGTAAAGAACAGAGATTCTTTAGAGTTAATACCGGAGC